TAAGATCAATATTAGAATATCAAGGTAATGAAAAACAAAAAGATATATATTCAGATTTAGAACTCGCTAAGGATACAATTACCAAAATAATAGTGGATATAAAACAAAGGGAAATAGCAATGGAAAAAACAACTCCAAATTCTAAAGAAATAGTATTACCGGTAGAAGATCTTAAGGAAATCATTATTAAACTTCAAAAAATAATAATTAAATTAGATAATAAAAGGAGCATTACTATTGAAGATATAAAAGAATATTTGAATGAGCATAAATCAGGAAAATCTAGCCCATTAACTATCATGGCACCCTATAAACTTCTATGACTAGTATTGACGAACAAATTAATAAATTAAATGATTTACTAGCCGCAATTACTATTGAATCAGAACCAGAGATAGAAGAAAATATAGAAAACGATAAAATAGTTCTTGATTATAGTAGCGACGAAAACCCCTATAAAAATTACACAAATGCAAATTACACAAAAACTGAAACTGAGGATCAAGCTGAAACATCACGAAAGCGTGATTTTAATGACTATAAAGATGGTCAACTATTTTTTGATGAATACTTATATAAAAATTCGTATACACCTCGCAAAGGGGGAGGATGGAGTAAAATACTTCAATCTTACATACCAAAATATTCCACCACTAGTTTTAACAGTCCTGATATATTAGATCTTGATTGTTGCGTCAATCCATTAAAAGAATTAGAAGACTGGAAAAATCGAACAGGATTACTAATACAAACTAAAGAAGATCTAAAGAAATTACATCCTAATGAAATGTTTAATTTCTTAATATATAAAACAACTGGGGCAGTTTATCATTATCTTAACAACATGGATATTCCTACTAAAACAACGTTATATGGAACAACGGATGCGACAAATACCTTTGAAAAAGTCTTAAATGCAATAACTCATGAATTCTTAGGACGACATACTCGAGAAGATAAACCAAACACAACCATAAGTCAACAAGCTATTTGGCATTTAACTAATCTTAGAATCTGCAACATGTGCTTCTTAGAACCATTTATTTGTGAATTCAGAACACACTATTATCAAGTCACCCCTTCGATAAGAAAAGAGCTAGATAAATTACTCTATGCTAAATTACCACCTAATGTCTCTGAAAAAGTCGAAGCTATCTTTAATGAAACTGTGATAAAAGAAGAAATACCAGATACATTAGGAGGACGAATATTAGTTTTACAAGAATGGCATAAACGAGCTTGTAATAAGGAAAAACTAAAGAAACAAGCTAAAATGAAACTCTGTTGTGAAGAAACAATAGATAGAGTTGGAAAGTATGGATGTAATGATGATCGTAAGATCATTAAAACTCGAAAAAAATATAGAAATTATAAAAAATGGAGAAAAATACCTTATAAAGAATATAGAAAAAATAGGTTTAGAAAACCAAATAAATATTTCAGAAATAGAAAACAGTTTAAACAAAAATCAAGACAACAAGAATACTATCCTAAGGGGAAAACAAATTGTAGATGTTGGTTATGTAACGAAGAAGGACATTACGCAAATAAATGTCCTAAGAAAAATACTAACACTAGAAAACAAGAAGTCCTTAGATTAGCTTACGACTGTGGTTTTGAACCAATCGAAGAATCAGATTTTGAACTTTCCGATATAGACATTATTGAATATATTTCAACCCCAGAAACCTCTTCAGATGAGTCAGAAGAAGGTATTAACTAAGGGCAATCCTAACGCAACATTTATATAAAATTGAAATAGAGAAGAAAAACTTCTTAGCATACATTGATACAGGGGCAACCTTATGTTTTGCCAAAAAATCAACCATAAAAAAATGGGATAAACTTGAAAAACCTTTAAAAATTATAGTAGCAGACAAATCTATCCATGAAATCTGGTATGTAAAACAATATGTACCAATAATCATTGAAAAACATATCTTCACAGCTAAAACAATCTATCAACATGACTCAGGACTAGATATAATAATAGGAAATAACTTTCTAAAATTATATCAACTATTTATCCAAAGGATTAGAACAATCAGCCTTAGATGTCCTAAAACAATAGACCAAGAATCTAAGATAATCACAACCAGAATAATCACAAAAAATGAAGTGCTAAAAATTGTACTTCAAAACCTCAAAAATAGACTAGAATATATACAGATTACCTATAACATTCTAGAGGATACTTTAGACCAGGTGTGTAGTGAACACCCTTTAGATAAAGATAAAAATACTAATCAAGAACTTATCGAAATTAAACTAAAAGATTCTAAAATGGAAGTTAATGTCCCTAACAAAATTCAATATACTCAACGAGATGTAGAAGAATTCCAAAAGGAATGTTCAGAGTTGGTTGAAAAAGGTATAATACGAGAGAGTAAAAGTCCTCATAGTGCACCAGCCTTTTATGTAGAAAATAATAATGAAATTAAAAGAGGAAAAAGAAGAATGGTAATAAACTATAAAAAACTAAACGAACAAACAATAGGAGATAGCTATAAACTACCTAGGAAAGACTATATATTAGAAAGATTAAAAGGTCAAACGTGGTTTAGTAGTTTAGATGCTAAATATGGATATTGGCAACTTCGTCTACATGAGAATACCAAACCTTTAACAGCCTTTTCATGTCCACCACAAAAACATTACGAATGGAATGTTCTCCCATTTGGAATGAAACAAGCACCAGCTATTTACCAACGGTTTATGGATCATGTCTTAGAGGGTTTTCAATCGTTCTGTTTAGCATACATTGATGATATTATTATCTTCACAAATCAATCAGAAGAAGATCATCGTGAAAAAATCTTGATAGTTTTACAGAGAATAAAAGAAATGGTCTAATTATCTCTAAGAAGAAATCGAAACTTCTTCAAAGAGAAATTGAATATCTCGGTATGAAGATTAATAATTTTGGCGAAATCGAGTTGTCACCAAACACTAAAGAAAAAATCGATAAATTCCCAAACCAACTTGAAAATAGAAAACAAATTCAACGTTTTCTTGGATGCTTAAATTATATAAGCGAACAAGGATTTTTAAAAGATTTAGCAAAAGAGAGAAAACATTTACAGAAAAAGATTTCTGACAAAATCCCTTGGACATGGAATGATCAAGATACAAAAATAGTTTTATTAATGAAAGAAAAATGTCAGTATTTACCAAAATTATATAACCCTTGTGAAAACGATTTTCTAATAATTCAAACGGATGCCTCTAAGGACACTTGGGCAGGGTGTATGTTAGCAATACAAAATGGCAAGAAATTATTACAAATGGACAATTTTGGTAATGTCAAAATATACAATAACGAGGCTACTTTCTCTGGCCAAGAGCCTAAAGATTATCAGTCTTCGGACAATATTATTGAACTATCAAGTTCTCAATCATCAGTTCCTTTCAACAGTAATAAATATTCTAAGAAATTATGTAAATATATTTCTGGAACGTTTACCGCCACTGAACAGAACTATCCAATCCACGAATTAGAGACACTAGCCTGTCTCAGAACATTGAAAAAATGGAAGCTTGAATTATTATCTACAAGGTTTGAACTTCAAACCGACTCTAAATATGTAACAGGTTTTTGGAGGTACAAGCTTCAGGCAGATTTCAACAAAGGGAGATTAATCAGGTGGCAGCAACAACTCCATTATTACAATCCTTATCTGAAGTATATCAAGTCCAGCAACAATCCATTCACAGACACACTGACTCGAGAATGGAAGGATTCATAAAAACCCTCATCAATCAACTAAGGCAGAAGCAGGAAAAGAGTGCAGCACTGGAACAGCAACTTCTCCTTTGCCGGGGGGAGGAAGAAGCAATAATTCAATCAATCGACGTCATTCAGCAACAGTTAAAAATCAACTACATCAACGTCAGTACATTAACAACTAGCTCCACTAGTGGAAAGCCATCAACACTCACCACAGAACCTGCTGAAAAAGAAAAGTCGACAACAACACAATCATCCACCACTACCAGCAATAATATACAAAAGACGACACGATGGGCAGACATCGTTGAACAAGAAGAAAAAGAAACAAAAGATTCCCACTATGAAGAAGACGACAGAAAAGGCAGCAAGTGGTATGTCATATTTAATGGACCATACCGAGGAGTATATCATAACTGGGTCATTGCTAGCCAGCACATCAACGGCAAACCAGTCGAACCTACAACAATGCTTTTGCATTAAGGTTTTCCATACTTACATCATACACATCACAATGAAAACACACAGAAATTGCAACTAATAGAGCAACAATAACACGCTTGGTCGTCAAGGCAACTCCATTCATTTCACGCTTCATATGTGTCTGTTCTTCTGCTAGTATTTTGTTCTTTGCATGCAGAATGTCTCTCTCGGCCTCGACTTCTTAGTTCTTACACTTGTTCACAAAGAGATACAATAACTTCTTTGTAATGTGGAATGTCCAATTCTAGATCATGGAACCTAAAGAATCTGCAGCCTCCTCCTTCCATACTCTTCGAATAACGGTAAAACTTTCTTCCTGGATTCTTTTGTGTTCATGAATGCAGCCGCATCGCTCTCATGCCACACCAACCTAAGTACCTAACACATTCGAAGTGTGGTTTCCAGCAGGGGCGGAGTCAGGATTTGATGATCGGGGGGCCGGAGCTATATTTAGCGTATAACTAAAAAAAACAAACAAAAAATTATTATAAGAAAAATTAATAATTTATTTTCTATTATTACAATGACACAAGGAAAACTATGAGCAAAAAATTAATCATGCATATTCCCGTCTAGTATGTTTCTCTGTATTTTTATAACTGAAAAATGAATGTTCACAAGTATTATTGTTTGAAAAAAAAGAAATAACCAATATATAATAAAATATTTATTAGAAATAAGAATTTAGATGAAGTTACTTGATCTATTTTGAAGTCACATGACTTATAAACACAAATTAAGAAAGTTATATGATTAAATGCAATGATTAATATATAATTAAGAAATTCTTTAAAAATAAGAATTTAAAAGTGGAAGAAGTTACTTGAACTACTTTCAAAGCACTTGACATGTAATTACAACCTTCATTTTATAATTGTACAGACATGAACCCAAAAACATCCCATATGAACTGAAAACCAAACCATGAACCCAATCCATTAGCCGCCTCTCTACAGACGACGATAACTGAGAATTCGGCTGACTTTAAATAGCCTGGAGTTGCTTGAACACCTACCACACCAGTGGAGCTTCTCCCTTTTTTCCCTTCAATTCATACATATAATTTACATTGTAACACCATCACCCTGCTCAGGACACGATCGAGCCATTTGATGCTAATCAGTTGTCAGTTGGTCGGCGTTCTTCCTCCCTCGATCCGATCTGTCTATTGGTCGGCGTTCTTCTGTTCGTTCCGTAACAAAGGCAATGTTAGAAACAAAGACAAGACATGTATCAATGTGCAAGAAAAGAGAATAGGGAACATAGTGTGACAGGATGAAGTAAGTACCAGCTACTACAGGAGTCGTCGGTCCATTCATTGCGCGATTTGTTGGCTTGCTGCTGCTGCAACTCTGAACCCAACAGCCGTAGCTTCCATCATAGATAACTCGCAATTCCTCGTACCTAGGAATCGAAATCGGCCAACAAGAAACCCTGGGATGGAATAGCGCCCAACGAGGTGAAAGCAGTACTCTAAGTTCGGAATGGAACTCGAGGTCCCCTCTTTTCAAATCACAGGACAAGACAGCGCTCTTCGTGTCAAGATAATGGACCAAGAGGATTTCCGGATTCTCTGGATGCAGATAAGGCAACACAACCTTCTCAAGTGATGGACTCATTGTCCTTTCTAACTCTAGGTAGAAATCATGGAGTTGCACCCCAGGGTTAGACCTTGGACGAGCCGTCTTGAACACCCCTTCACATACTAGGCTAAAAGATCTATGGTCATCTTCCAATCTCCAAACACTTGACGCCATCCTTGAACAGCCACGTTCAGGTACGCCGTCGAATACAGATACGTGCAGAGCACCCTGCGATACCGAAATATCCCACCACGGCTTCAGAAAGAGTCGAGGATCGTCGATACAAGCCGGAGGTGTATCGGGGCGGAAAGGATCGAACACCGCAATCCTTGGATGATGCTGAATATACACCCAAAACAACTTCCCCTTGCAGGAAACTACATTCTTGTCGTTCCACAAGAAATGCTCGTCGAGAACAAGCGGGTGGTCCTTGTTCCATTCTCCCGACTCGGAACAAAACACGTCCAGCCTGGTAGCACAACCAGACTCGGTCTTATATCTATACACACACACAACTCGGAATCGATACTCGGAGTAAACAACAACAGACCCTGCTCGGCCATCTCCTAGATCAAGATTGTAAGAAATTCGGGGTTCGCAAACTAACCTCGCGACCAATCGCGGATACCTCGCCGGCCCGGCGGGCGCCAGGGGAAGGGCAATCCATTGCTTCGTAAACGGATTGCAGACGAAGTAGGACCTGCGGAATTCGTCATCGAGGTCCTGTGGCATCTGGAACCCACAAAGAAGCAAGTCCTGGAAGGAGTCCAAAACTGCGAAACGCAGGTCGTGGTCCACACTCGGCATGGGGACAAACCCCGGGATGATCGATTGCTGGTCTTCGGAGGAAAGTACCAGAGGCGGTTGCAGTTCGTTGATGCTCCGGCGACGAGAAACGAATCGGCGATTGAATCGAGGACTGGAGATCAGGGAGCACCACGGCTTGCCGACGGCTTTGCAACGGCAGGCGGATCTAGGAGTCGGGAGGCGAATCAGAATTTCTTCGAGGAGATCCTCCCCGAGTTTGCTGATGGAGTTTACTACACCCGTTGAACGGATCCCCGGTCGTCTTTCGGAAACGTAACGCTGCGGACCCGAAGCCGAATCGCAGTTCCCGGTCGCCATGGCAGAGCGAAGATAACGCCGCCGGAGGAGAAAGGAGCGGTGCTGCGGTGGAAAGGAACAGCGGAGGGTCGAAGAAATCTCTAATCGTCATGGACCTTAACATCTGTTGCGGAGGAGTGGCTGCCGCCTCGTTCTGGTCGGACTTGGATTTGTTTTTATAAGGCCTTTATGTACAATAAAAGCCCAAGAGGAGACGAGCTGGATAGTGCAAGTTCATCGTCTGGATTTTCGTGATTTCTTCGCGAAAGATTAGACTTCTTTGTGATACGAATACAATTCATCGTGTTGAATTGAATGTTGATGTCATTGACTCTTTTCTCCGTCAAAAAGTCATCTTTGTTCGCTTTGAAGGATCGAACAAGCGAGACCATGTTGGAAGTACGGGTTTTGTTGGGTTTGATCAATACAGTGCCCCGTTTGCATTTGGTAAGTTCTATGATGGCATTCAAGACTTTTTTTTTTATGAAACTTTTATTTTTACGTGATGCAATGAATTGGCGTCTAATCCGGGTTTCTTGTTTGTGAAATTTATTCTATGGTGGCTCTCAATTGGTGATACGTTGGGTATTGATGGGGGAGCTGGCACATGATTTGGGTGGAGCACTCCTTGAAGATGTTCGCCGACTAGCTCATAACTTTGAGTTTTGCTCCGCGTAGCTTTACTAGAGCCGCCCACCTCCGCGAAGCTTTAATAAACCCGAAATTGGATTTCGATGCCGCCGTTTTGTTTTCTCTTTTCGACAAGGAATGCTTCTCTTACATGCATGTGTGCGTGACGGAAAAGGTAACCCATAAGAGGAGAGAGTTTCAAAGATGGGAATAACATGCATATTGACCTAAATATTCCAGTTGAGGTCGATACTCGAACCCATAAGACATATGGCACTGATCTTGCCGATCCTCGATGTGGATGGTGAAGATATATGTTATGTTTTGTGGGGCTCGCAAGAGTGGGAGATGTTGTTGATGAAATAGAAGAGAGTATGTGAGGACAACAATGAATTTTGCTTGTTCTTTATATATGTTTTGGTGTGTTGGTTCTGGTTGAGCATTCCATGCCTTCATATGGTTGGGTGTAAAGTTCACATTTATTGTGTTTGTTGGCAAAAAAAAAAAAATTATGAGTTTTAAGTATTTGAATACTTATTCGTGGGTTTTCAAATACAAGTTGCGAGAAGTTTCTAATTAATTGGAATATGAGTGTAGGTTGTTCAATGCCTTCAGAATTATATGTGGCCGCACCATTAAAGTGGTGGTCGTGCTCATAATTTTTGGCAATGTTGGAATTAAAACTTTTGTCAGACTATTACATACTAAAACTATGGACTTTAGAAATAAAGAAGAAAAAAATTGCCGAATGCTCCACAATGGTCGTCGAGGATGAGGTAGCACTCACGGTAACATTAAAGCATTGAGATATATACAAATCACTGTCATGTTGAATAAGTTTGTGGCAAAAAATTCTATTGTCAATGATGGAGTGTATGCGAAAGGCCGCAAACGAATTTTTTTCATATGTTGAATAAGCGATGGACTCACATCAAGAAACAAGGATGACGTTAAATTAATTATTAAATCATCGTATAATATAATAAATGTAGTTTAATTATTATTACATCCTATTATAGGATGATGTAATAAAATTTCACAATAATTTAACATCTATCCTTTCATAACAAGATTAGGTTTAAGTTTCACATTCAAGAAATTTTATTACATCATCCTATAATTTTCTTTCACACTAGCAATAATTTAACTACATTATGATTATTCAATATGTTAAATTATGGACAATAAAAAAAAGTTCACAGGTAACATCATATGCTAATCAAGAACAACATATGAGAACATATAAATTCTATTTAGGACGGTAGCTCCAATTTTTGATTTAGGTTCAACCTTTGAGTTGGGTCGATGGATGCATACGAAATGTTGAATCAAACCGAGCCAGGTCCAAGGACCAAGGCCAAATTAATTCTCTGGGCCGAAGGAAAAAAGAAACAAAGTGATGGGTTAAGGCCCAACGTTAAAAGGAAGAAGGCCTTTTGCCCAAACTGGAGCTAGAATAAAAATGAAAAATGAACAAATAGCCGTTTTGCAGCCCATAGCCCAATCCAGAACAGCCATATAAAAAGCCGACAACAGATAAGCTTATCCCTTCGAATTTTCGAAATCATTCTCTTCTTTCCCCGCACCAGAGCGCGAAAAAAAAAAAAAAAATGACGGCGAAGATACGATTCGCAAGGCTCGGGTGCAAGCACAGGCCGTTCTACAGGATTGTAGTTGCCGACAGCGAATCCCGCAGAGACGGCAAGTTCATTCAAGTCGTCGGCTTCTACGACCCGTTGGCAGGTCCGCAAAATTTTCACCTACTTTCTGTTTGGTTTCCGGGAAAAGCTTTGAGGGAAAATTTGTGGCGCTAATTTCCTTTTCATTTTGGGTTCCTGTGTTTGTGGGTTTTGCAGCAAAAGAGGACACGAAGAAGATGAGCCTCAATTACGACAGGGCGAAGTAAGTCTTACTCTTTTTTTTTTTCTTTCTTCCTTTTGTTGGGTGTTGAACTGTGAATGGAATGTTTGGTTTAGCTTGAGAATGTGAAATGTGGGGGTAATTGCACGTTCACGGTCTGGATTTTCGTGTTAAACTGGCTGTCTATTTCTTCATCAAAGATTAGAATTCACTGCGATGGCACTTATTATGCTGTAAAAAGAAGGGAATGATTTTGATTGTTTCCTTGTAAAAAGTTAGAGCATTTGAACTAGTCCTTCACTCTCTAATCCAATTGTAGATGGCTTATAATAGCACCACAACCATTCAAATGAGAGACTTTGGTTTTGGCTTGCATCTTTGTGTATGTTTTGTATTGGTAGCTTTGGAGACTGAACTGAAGAGAACTTGGTTCTCCCAGGTTTAGTCTTTTAGAAATAGCTTTTCACTTTATATCCATCAGAAGATCAAAGAGCACTGCAATGAAACCTTAATCCTTATAGCCAAGGAAAGCTGAGACCACCCCTGTTGTTGAAGTCTTAGCCTTTTTGTTTGAGTCGTGGATCTTCGTGGGAGTAGAATATGCTAGTTGTTGCGTTGCTTGGACTGTCGGGGGAAGGCCACGACTAACTATCCGTGTAATCTAGCTGGCTACTCGATTCCCTCCTTTGTTTATATCTCTTGTTTTGGTTGCTGATTACTTGTTGCATAAGCTTTTAGATGTAATGGAGATGTGCAGACAGGCGTTTGCTTCTGTCCACTCTGACCAGATGCCCTTTTTCCCTCTAAATAGCTTCCTCCCCTTCTGACTACTAACTTATAGCCAAGTTAATGTTGATCGTAAGAATATTGGATGAAATAGCAACTATTGGGTGGTTTTTGTTTGACAGCTTCCCAATGCCATTTTCTGCAGGTACTGGTTATCGGTCGGTGCACAGCCTTCAGACCCGGTTCGTCGCATCCTTATGCAAGCTGGTTTGATCGAGCCACCACCGATGGTGGTAATGGCACGCAAGGGCGGCGAGGGTGGCAGCAATGATGATCAAGCATGAATGATGGACCCGCGAGGCAAAAAGAAGAGCACAAGGGATGGATGTAGAGAAAGCCTGCAGCTTTGATTGAGTGTTTTGAGAGCTGTTTTTATTCATCCTGAAGCTGTGCATTTTGTTGCCCTTTTCTTTAAGCTGAAGAAGATACATGGAACTTCTTTCTTCTTCTCTCCCCCTCACTTCTCAGCTTGCATTCCCCCTAATTGTACCGTATCGATTTCATCAAGTTTGGCTTCTGTTGGTTCTGCAACTTTTCTCCCGAGGGTGGCTAACAGGTTTCGGTTTGTTTTTTTGAGTAACCGAACTTGTCAAACCAAGAGGGAAATGAACATAACCTGGAAATAAGGGAACGTGGATCTTTCAGAATAAATAATAATTATGTGAGCCAAATCTGTACGAACCTCAAACTTCAGGGGTCATTTTGTAATTGACCATAGTTCTTGCTGTCCTTTCACTTTCAGCCTAGCGAACGGTTGGGCTTTTCTTTCACCGTGGCAACTAAAGCTGAAATAGCCAGCCAGCAAAACTACACTCACGCTACTGTGACTGTTCAGCCTTACAGGAAGAAGGGAGAAGCTTCGAACGTTTCAGAGAGATGGCATCTTCGTCTTCGTCACTAGCAATGAATCCGTTGAATTCTTCCCAGTGCAAATCCGGCGGATTCCCGACGTCGGAGTCCATTCTTATCCATCGGCGCCAGGCGTTCCCGGTCGCTTTTCCCCCTCACCGCACGCTGAAGCAGCGAAGTGTCATTGCTCGGCCGCATTTCCCGTCTCCGGTGGTATGCAAGGCCGTCTCCGTCCAGCCTCAGGTCACCGGAATCGAAGGACTCAACATCGCCGAGGACGTCACTCAGGTTTGTTTTTTTTTTTTTTTGGTTTCCGGAATCTGAATACGCGCCTTTTGGTTTCTTCTAGTTTGCTAGGAATGAGTGATGTAATTGAAATTCGGATTCAAGTTGTGATGGTCTAGTGCAATTTTGCTCGGTTTTTGTTTGTGGCAGCTGATTGGGAAAACACCTATGGTATTTCTTAATAAAATTGCCAAGGACTCTGTTGCCAGCATTGCTGCCAAGCTGGAGATCATGGAGCCATGTTGTAGTGTCAAGGACAGGTGAGGATGTTACAGAATGCGTATGTACCACTTGTAGTAGTTGAAATTTTGGTGAATTCTAGTCGGATTAGCTCGTTTTGTAGCATCATTTTGATATTGTGATATCAGTCTTGTGGTGTTTCGAGTAGAATCAGCTCGGGTTGTACTTTGCATTATCATTTGGACATGGGGATACCAATCTAATGGAGTAACTTGACATTTGTGATACCAATATCATGGTGTTCTGAGTTAAACATAGGTTTTTCTGTACTTTGCGCCGACAATATATATTCTGTTTGTTCCTGTTACGTTTATGTGGACCTTTAACTTCTCTTATTCTAGCTCAATATAGTTTGTTTTGATTCCAGGATAGGGTACAGTATGATTGTTGATGCCGAGAAGCGAGGACTTATAACGCCTGGAAAGGTAACAAGTGCCCACGAAATTATGTTTTGAGCCCATGTTTTCCTAAAGCCTGGCCTTTCTTTCTCTGTTTTGGTTCACTCTAATTCCAGTTTTCTTCAAATGTAGAGTGTTCTAATTGAAGCTACAAGTGGTAATACGGGTATTGGGCTTGCATTTATAGCTGCATCAAGAGGATATAAACTTATCCTAACAATGCCAGCGTCAATGAGTATGGAGAGAAGGGTTCTGCTAAAGGCCTTTGGAGCGGAGCTTGTTCTGACTGAACCAGCAAAAGGTATGAAGGGTGCAGTTCAGAAGGCCGAAGAGATATTGAAAAACACTCCCAATTCGTACATTCTTCAGCAATTTGATAATCCTGCAAATCCTAAGGTTAGTGGTTAATTCCCTTTAGCTGTTCCTTGTTTTTCAATGGGTCGATACGTCTAGATTGGTTTATTTAATTGCTTGTTATCATTTACATGGATGTTTTACAGATCCACTACGAGACTACTGGTCCAGAAATCTGGGAAGACACAAGGGGAAAAGTTGATATCCTTGTTGCAGGTATTGGCACTGGTGGAACCATTTCTGGTGTTGGGCGGTTCCTTAAGGAGAAAAACCCCAAAATCCAGGTAATTGTTCTGGTTTCTGACCTTATGAGCCATTCTTGTTACCCCCAGAACTCATTGTAATGGTTGTACCTTTGCCCTTCTGGATATTGGTGCTTCATATTAACTTCCACAATCGTATTAGTGTTGGAAGCTACTTAATACTGTACTTCCATAAGTACAACGAAGAACTGAGTTCACTTTACCTAAAAAGAGAACACAATCTGCTTGAATATATGTTTGCTAGTTTTCTTGATTGTTCTCAATTTGAATTCACCAGATAATTGGTGTGGAGCCAGTTGAAAGCAACATATTGTCTGGGGGAAAGCCTGGTAAGGACTAAGGACACAATCTGCTGTACTCAGCCTATGTGAGACTCAGTTTCATTCTCTTTCTCCAGTTTCATTAACTTGTTTTTGTGAACACAAATTGAAGGTCCTCACAAGATTCAAGGGATTGGAGCAGGTTTCGTACCAAAAAATTTGGACAGGGATTTGGTTGATGAAGTTATTGAGGTCTGGTTCTTCATTCTGTTATCTATCCTGGGTGTCCTTTGTGTTTCTCATTTGAATCTGAGGTGGATTAGGATAATAACATCCATTGAGTCAATTTGGTGGTTAACAACTTAATATCCTTGGATATTGTTTTCCTCTCCCAATTGACACGGAAATAACTCGCGTTTGCGATGCCATGGTAGACATACTAACTGCTCCTTGTGCGGGTTTTTGGTTTGTATTATTTGGTTCTTCGGGAGCATGTCATGATTGCAGCATGTAAATGATTGGTATGAAGCTCTAAACTGTTAATCCATATCTGACAGGTGTCAGGCAGTGATGCTATCGAGACTGCAAAGCAAGTAGCACTACAAGAAGGCCTACTGGTTAGTTGCTGATAGCCTCTTTTTGCCAGTTATCTAACTGATAATAAACTTCAAAATTGGAATTTGAAAGACATCTTTCTACAACTAGGCCTGCTCGATTCTCTATCTATGATAGGCTTCTGTGTTTATAGTAGTCCTACAAAGACCAGGATCTTCTATTTCTCATGCAACATTTTCTCCTAGCGTGCACTCTTTGTTTGGTCTTTAACAATTTTATGCCATAAATTGAACACCAGGTTGGCATATCTTCCGGAGCAGCAGCAAATGCCGCAATCAAGGTTGGAAAAAGGCCAGAGAATGCAGGAAAGCTGATTGCAGTAAGTCCTTCCCGTCCCCCCATCGAATCGAACATGACACCAAGAGAAATTCTCGTATTGCTCAATTATACGACTTAAATATAGTGATGTGAGAAAGCATTATGGAGTTTTTTTTTTTATTCTGCAGCTCTCTGTTTACTAATGTTCTGAGGATTTTGGGACTCATTTTCTCAGGTTGTTTTCCCAAGCTTTGGCGAAAGATATCTGTCGACCGACCTCTTCTTGTCCATCCGACAAGAATGCGAGAAACTCCAACCCGAGCCATGAAACGTGACGCTGAGCTCCACCATTTCAATGAATCCAGAAGAACTGAAGCAACCATAAAGAAATAAAAACAAAATTTGCAGCCAAATGCTGAGAATCTGTGTTGTACTGCTTGGAGTTCATTTTTTTTTTTCACATTTAAAAGGATATATATTGCAGTTCTTGTTGTAGCACTTTGTTGTCTTCCACTTCTCAGTTCAGCAGCAGCAGCAATACTCTCCAGGATTAGTCGTCGAAAAAACGATGAACTGGAAAGACAGAATAATGGTCATAATCATTTCTCCTGTGCAGTGACAATCGTATGAAATAGAAATAGTTAGTACTCCCCAGCAAGTCAGCAACAGCAATTCATATGAATGAACAATACATAAACGCTCCGTGGCTGTTGATGGGCCTGATTTGGGCCCACGTTATTTAAAGCCCAAGATAGAATAGAGGCCTAAAACTATCGGACCGATAATGGTCGACGTGGACCAAAAAGCCCATCACCCAAAATTCTCTTAACTAACTAACTAAATACCGTTTTGATAAATTAATTAACTAAATATTTATATTAGCTGGAAATATTTTTCATACTCGGTATAAAATGCGGCCAGGTGAGACGTAGCCCCTGGAAAACTAAGACGGTTTCCATTTTCCGAGTTTGTAGCGCTGAAACCCTACAGAGCAGAAAACCCGCGAGAAACCGCCATAGCCAAGAGAGGATGGATCACGTCAAAGCAGCTCCGCAGGCGACTCTCCAGCAGCAGACTTATCAGAAACTGAAGCGGAAGATCGAAGACATGGACTCAAAAATTGCAGAGCAGATCAAGCCCGTCGACGATCACATCAATTTCACACTCCATGTTCGCGCGCTTCCTCCCTCCAATCTTTCGTTTCGCTGTTTGGTTTCCGGGGAAATGCAAACAAGAATCCCGATCTTTCTCGCTTGCAATGCGCTATTCGTTTTCCTTTTTCCCCCGAAATCCTTTCTTTCTTGCTTGCTTTGGCGTTGTTTGATTGATTGATGAGGATGGCGATTCTTGTTTGGTTTTGCAGAAAGCGTACTTCAAGTGCGCGTGCGAATGCTTTGAGACGAAGAAGAAGGGCGAGATAGAGAGCTGTATTGAGAATTGCGCCGTGCCGGTTCTTACTGCCAGTTACCTGTACAGGATCGAGACTGCTAAGTTTCAGGCAAGTTCTTGCTCTTCCTTTGTTCTTCCGGTTTTCTTTACTCGTATTGTCTGGAAGATGAACGTAGGAAGAACCAGAATTACTAGCTAGATTTAGTGATCTATTTCGTAGAAGGTAAGGAATGAGGAACTAGTACTGCCTTCTCGTTGTTGTGATTAGAATCATTCAGTCGATTGCCTTGGAATGACAGGCTGGGAGTTTGAGCCGTAGGAAATGAGTTTCTGAGTTAATGCAAACTAGCACAGAGTATATGAAATCGTAGCAGGATCTTTCTTATTGTTGTGAAGCTATCTGTGATTGCTTGCAAATTGCATTTTTAGTTGTTCCCAGTAGCAGGGGAATTGCTTCGACTTTGATAAACTGGCGGCTGGCGCTTTTGCTGTTGGAATTCAGTCTGCATGCTATATGTAATGGATTCATCTGGGACAAGTGGTTTGTGGTTTTCACATCCTAGGGAGCTGGGGCTAAGTTAATGTGCCTGGCTGGCATAGACTAAGCAAGGATTCATTTGCATGATTCTCACTGTCTGTTTAAGAACATTACCTCTTGCATTTTGATGGAGTGATGAAATCATGAAGCATTAGATTGAGGGAGGCCATATTGGCAGGGCCCTGGCACCAATATTCCTTATTGCGAATAGAACGGTGTGAAACATGCTTGGTTAAGCTGTTATTCAGCTACAATAATAGGAAAATCAGTAGTTGGGGGATTAGAGGTCCAGGGAAACAGGAAGCCAAGCTGTTCTTTGTTCTTCGATACCTATTATTCGTCGTGAGAACAGTCTTGATCCGTGTGTAGTATGAATGATGCTTATATAGGCTCTCGTTGTTCGAACATACCTGTTCTTCATCATGAGAACCGTCTTCATCAATGTGTATTACGAATGACCTCCTCGTATATGCTGCAAAATCTCGAATCACCAGCTGTGTCTCTTGAATTCTACAGGTCGTCTAAAGTGTGGCACTGAATTGTTCTTTGTAACACAGTGCAGTTTTAAGTTTTTTTCCTGTTTTAGCTGTCAAATTCATGGAAGCTTACAACTGTCCTGATGTCCATGTTAGATTCTTTTTCTACGATTTAGTGAACAAGCTGTTGAGAAGAACTTTTTCTTTTGTTTTGATTGATGCAGGACAAGATAAACCGGTATCTTAAGGTTTGCAAGGACAAGTACTTAGCAGCTATGCTTCCAACAGCTGGACCAGACGACATGGCCACCGTGGAGTCCTGTTTCGACGGAGCAATCGCGAAAACCACAAAATGGCTTCCAAACGTGGTCGAAAACCTCAAAGCAACGGCTTAGATCAGAGACGAGATGTAGCAAGTGACCACATGATCATAACAACCACCACTGCTCATTTCCCGCAACTGGAAATTTCTGAATATGGGTTTTAGGAAGCGAAAAGGCGAGATGCGCTTGAATCGTCCTGTGACAAGCATTCATTTTGTAGTTAAATGAACATGATGTTACAGTAATTGCAGATATTTCTGTGTAGTTCTGTTTCACGACACTTCGAGCACAATGCCATGACCGCAATCGATTTGTCGATTGCAGTGAAGGGAATATAAAAGGCTGGCTACTGAAAGAGTTCTATTCATGTTCCTAGCTTACTGTAGATTCTTGAACAGGTTTTGGTACTGGTGTTAAGCCTGTCAAAGGATTCAAGTAGTTGGTTTTATTTTCATGTGGAAATGGTTTATGGGTTAAATCGAAATTGAAAAATTTCGCATTTGGTTAGATTTGGTCCGATCCAATTTGGTTTCGTTATACGATTAATCGATTTGGTTGGATTTAATTCCGGGTCAGATACCATGAACATGGCCGGTTTGGAAATGTCACTAAGATTGGGGGTTGGTCCTAGAAAAAATAAAAGATCACGAACTCGTTTGATAAGAGTATGGAAATCCAGGGACCAAAGGCGTGAAGAAAATAATATCACGTGAAACGCTGTCGTTTTAGAGCTTATGGGCCGCTTTAGGCCCAATAGTATCTCCCCGCCGAGAGACTTCCAGCGCCCAAAAAAGGATTCCGCCGCGCGGATTTTTGGTCCATCACAGAGCGTTTGCAGTTCTTCTTCTACTACAGTTCATCGATTCCCTCCTAATTCCCCAATCGAAAGCTTTCCCCCGAACTCACTGATTTCTCTGAAACGCGGGTAGGGTGTCTCTTTCGTATTGCTTGATCACACTTCAACCGAAGTTTGTGCCGCTTCGCCATACATGCTCTCGTTCCTCCATTGATTACGGCATCTGGGTTTCAAAGTTTATTGCATGAATTTGCTTTGCTGTGAAGTTATTGCATGAATTGACTCTTGTTTCAGTTCATGTTGGTATTAATTTACTAGCTCGAATTTGTTTCCGTGTAAGCAATGGAAGTTAGGATGTGGGTGGATAGGGACTTTGTCTTGTTGAGCTGGAAAGTCGTGCTTGTTCGAATTAGTTGAAGGGCTCTCATTTTCTTCCCAGTTTCACTTCCACTTGTTTGTAAGCAACTCTTCCGAATCTTTAAGCCAATAGCTTGGGTGAATATCTGAAAAGTTGCAGATTTTGGGACGTTTGTGATTCCAAATATGCAACGTGATCGGATTTGAATGAATGCAGACAACCTGTGTTGTGGTCTTTCTTGTTATTTTAAATGAAGAATGGGAAGTAATTGCACTTGATGTTGTTGTAGGTCCTTTTGCTGTTGAGGGAAAGGTCATGTCAGGGAACCCGCTGTGAGGGAAACGGGAAGAAATGCTTTCTGTTCGAAGATTGAGGCGTATCCAACTTTCTCCTGGAGTCTTATTTTCGCTCTTCACAGATGGTTGTCCTGATGTCACTTGGACTTCCAGTCACCTACGTTCTTCGATCAGAACTTCATGTTTGAACAGCTCAAATGGGTTGATTCCCGTGTCTAGATTCAGTTATCCTTCCATTCATTCCCCTAGATGTTTCTCAAGTATGGGCGATACAGTCTTGGTTCAGGCTCGAGACCCAGGTAAACTAAGCATGGAGATAGAAACTGCACTAGATGAACATAGGTTCAGTGATTCATGGAAACTGTTTGAACGGCATATGCAGATGGAAGGGTTCCCTAGGAAGTCCCTCTTGAGCAAGCTCTTAACAAGCTTTGCAGAAACCCTCGATGCCCCGTGGCTCGAGAAGGCATATTCCCTTGTGGAACAAGCTATCGTGGAGAGTAAGCAGACATTGTTGGATAAGGAGCCATTGATTTATCTCTCTCTCAGCCTTGCCAAGTGTGGGTTACCGGTTCCAGCATCAACCATCTTACGAAAGTTGATCGAGATGGAACAATATCCTCCTGCCAATGCTTGGTCAGCCATATTAGCTCACATGTCATTACGAACACCTTCTGGAGCTTACCTTGCTGCTGAGCTGATCCTCGAGATAGGTTACTTGTTTCAAGATGGAAGAGTGGATCCCAGAAAAAAGAGCAATGCACCTCTGATTGCTATGAAGCCTGATACTACTTCTCTGAACATTGCTCTTGCTGGATGTTTATTGGCTGGAACGACAAGGAAAGCCGAGCAACTCCTCGAAATGATGCCTCGACTTGGTGTTAGAGTCAATGCGTGTTTGTTGATCACGATGGCTCAGATATACTCAAGGAATGGAAGGAGAGAAGAGTTGAAGAAGCTTCAGAGGCATGTAGATGAAGCACCCGGTTTGACTAGTACTCAGTTTCGCCAATTCTATGATTGCTTATTGAGCTGTCACTTGAAATTCGGGGATCTCGAGGCTGCATCTGATATGGTGTTGAAGATGCTGCAGAAGGCAAAGAAAGCAAGAAACTTTATTTCAATGGCTGAACTTCCTTCGGCAGGGGATGGTAATAAGCTGCTGTCCAAAGGGAAGGTTTCTCAGGAAAGCTTACATCAAAAGGAATCCGATCGAGAGGTTTCTCAGGAAAGGTTGAATGACAGAGAATACACAAACCGAGTTGTATCTTACCAAGATTTTTGTAGAGACAGGAACTTTTTGCAACTTCATGCCGAGGCAAAGCAAGTGCTCGAAACTTTGTTGGCGAAATTGCAGGTGCAAGTGGAATTGATTTCAACTGAGCATGGCATTCTTCAGCCGACAGAGAAGATTTATGTAAAACTGGTCAAGGCCTTTCTGGAAGCTGGAAAGATCAAGGAATTGGCTGCATTTCTTATCAACGCCGAGAAAGAGGACTCCCCGGCATCCAACGATGATTCGGCATTAGTCCACGTCATCAACTCATGCATCTCTCTTGGCTGGCTAGACCAGGCACATGATCTCGTCGACGAGATGCGTATGGCTGGAGTTAGAGCTCCCTCTTCTATATACGCCTCCCTCCTGAAGGCATACTGTACAGCAGATCGAGCTCGTGATGCTGGGGCTCTCCTTCGAGAAGCTCGTCGAGCTGGGATCCAGCTTGATTCAACTAGCTATGAAGCACTGATGGAGTCCCGAGTTCTCGAGAAGGACACCCAAGGAGCCCTCCACCTATTCAAAGAGATGAAAGAGGAGAAGCTACCTAGAGGTGGTCATCCGAAATTTGAGATGCTGGTCAAGGGTTGCGAAGAGAATCGTGAGGCAGGGCTTATGACCAAGCTCCTGAGAGAGATCAGGGAAGGGCAAAGTATGGACTCAGGAGTGCATGACTGGAACAACGTGATCCATTTCTTCTCCAAGAAGAGGTTGATGGGTGACGCCGAGAAGGCTCTGAAGAAGATGAGGAGCCTGGGGCTCACACCAAATGCAGCCACGTTTCATTCGATGGTGACTGGCTATGCAGCTGTCGGAGGAAAGTATATTGAAGTGACTGAACTCTGGGGAGAGATGAAGTCTATTGCTTCGGCTACTACGTCGTTGAAATTTGATCAGGAACTCCTCGACTCCGTGCTCTATACATTTGTGAGAGGCGGGTTCTTTGCCCGAGCTAATGAGGTTGTGGATGCGATGGAGAAGGAGAAGATGTTCATAGACAAGTACAAGTACAGAGCACTCTTCTTGAAGTACCACAAGACACTGTACAAGGGAAAGGCTCCCAAGTTTCAGACAGAATCCCAGGAGAAGAAGAGGGAGGCGGCATTGGCTTTCAAGAAGTGGTTAGGTTTGGGTTGAAGCTTAGGTTACAAGGCAGTTCGAAAATTTTGTACCATAGAAATGTGCACTCTTGGCGTACCAATATACGAGCATTTTTTGGATGCAGATAGGAATTCAGCTGTTTAGACATCGTTCTCGGAATTTTAGAATCTTGTAATTTATTTGTGTTGGAACATATTCGAAATGATAATCGCGGCAGCACAAATGTAGTTTTCCCAGTCATTTCGCATAGCCAATTCCGGCATCCAAGAGGTGTTAGATTGTCACCAGAAGTTTCATAATCGTGATGCAATACAGAGGGCTTTAAGCCAAACTAACAGATTTCAGTAGCAATTACTGCAGTAACACCAAGAGGCAAAGCTCATCTATGCTTCAGAAAGATCAACGTTCTCGTTCACATCAGATGACGGCGATGGATTCTGGGTTCCTTCAACGACCTCGGAAGAAGATGGTTGAGATTCGTGCTTTGCAGCAGCTTGTAGGACTCTGTTTTGAACGGCGGATGATGAAGGCGATGTTGGTAGGCCAATGCCGTTGGTTTCCAACTTCTCAGCAGCCCATGAAAATGCCCTTGTTCCCAGGCTTACAGGAACCAGCAACAAGCTACAAGGGGAAAGAAAAGAGATCCCCAAATTCATCAAAGGAATTGAATTGGCCGAAAAACAACATGCTGATAAATTGCTCAACATAAATGACAATTACAACTGTAAGAACTAAGCAACCTCAGACCTCAGGAACATAAACGAAAAACTACACAGGGAAGCGTTGGTAAATCTCTCCCAATCCTACCAGTCACTAACGTTACCGGCATAAGTTTAAGCGAGATGAGAGATGTTTTAGAGCAGGGTTTACCTGGCATCTTTTCTCAGGTCCTCTGATGTCTCGTAGGTAGCGAGGCGGCGATAGATTGTCTAGTCGAGTACAACAGAAACAAAAATTAGGCCACGCAGTGGCTTGATTGGAAACTTTTGCATATTGAATAAAAATTATCGGAGAACCTGTAGAAGTCCAACAATGGCGATAAGTTGCAAAGTCTTCTCCCATTCTGAAAGAAAAGATGAGATAGTGACACTGATTTGAGGATCCATACCAGCAAAGATGAGATGTTATAGCATACAGTTTATGCAAGAATATCATGAATTTCCAGTCCTTGATAGAGCAATCTCAAAGGGGAAAATACATACCTAGTAGTGCATATGAGGCACCAAGCAAGCCCTGTATATTGAACAAAACAGAGTATTAGTGAAAGACTTGCTGAAATGTCGGGTAGTTGAACCAGAAATTCCAAGTCCGGTATGGCTACGATGTGAAACGCTAAGCACAAAGCTTAACTAGTGAGCTCCACAAGAAAATAACAGAGAAGGAAACACTGACAGTGTTTCTCATCATGATCCAGTTCCACAGAACACAAAATAAATATCCGGACAGAAAGAAATTCGTCTTTCAAAAATATAGAGCCTGCACTTACCACGCCATAACCAATTATTTGTACAGCGCTGACGCCTTCCAAGATTGCTTCAGCTTCCTGAAATAAAGACAAATATCAGGATATGAAGAAAACCAAATATTAGTAGATCGCAATTGTCTACCAAAGATAAGTTTCCAGAACCAAATGAATGGGATGCAACCAAAATGTAAAGCAGACCAGAGAGAAGTTAGCAAAGAAATGGAATGAGGTGTAGGGTATATGTGGGTTGGTATGAAGAGGACATAGCGATAGAAGAGTTGCGGCCATGAATTTCAAGGAAAATCGAATATTATGCAAGATAACAGACAGAAAACATCAGTGGAACTTCCAGTAATTCAAAGACTGTTCAGGATTACGTCACCAAGTTGTGCATACCTCATTGAGCACAGTTAACGCTGTCTCAGGTTTGAGTTCCTTGATTCTGAGGTCATGCTTCAGCCAAGACTTGAACCCACCTTTGACCAAGTATGCTCTCTGTCGCAATAAGCAAATAATTATGTCATGTGAGTTGGATTCACTAAGAAGATAAATTCAGGCGGTAGCCTCCAACCATTCTCTCTTGAATGTTTGAACAATTGAAAAGAACATCAAGACATGGTGATAAGAGGTCACGAGATTACTATTCACAAAGAGTGAAATTCTTTCTTTTTGGTTCCATGGAAGCCCAATATTTGAACAGCAAAGAGCAAGGAGGGAGAAAGAGATACAAGGAAAAACTTGCCTTAACCCCAAGTTTGCTCAAGGATCTTGCAAGTCCTTTGGAGACAGATCCATCAGCATCCATAATTATGACCTCAGACCTGTCCTACAAAGATTATAAGAAGGAAATTCAGTGATCCCATAATGAGGAGAAACAAGAAAGCTTCCAGGATGATGACATTACAACCCCGTTATAAGAAGGAAAATCATTTAACTTGCACAGATACTTGAATTCCAAATCCTTCTTAGACAGTAAATCGTAGTTTCTTTCCACCTCCTACAACAAGAGTTGTTACAGCATCCAAATCTTCCACCTTGTTCACTGATTGTTATAGCACATATCTAGCAACACATTTGCAATACAAACATTCATACCGACAAACCAAAAAGTTTTCATGTAGCAGAGTAAGTTTGATGTACAAGAATTTGAACCCATCAAGCACCTTCATTCTGGATCTACACACCTGAACAGATTTTAAGTTTCTTATAACTGCAGCTAGTAAGAAGTCCTCAACTTCTCTTCCGCCTCTTAACAACTTGCGAACTGAGCTGTCAACCTGCACAGAATTCAAGAATTTGCATGAAGCCGGCATTGAGGAACACATTTAGACATTTGTGTAAACAAAAGTCCTGACATGAGTAAGGAAAGTAATTGCTCTTTTGATACTCCTACACTTAACTAAAAGTACTCCACTGTAAATTTTAAAATAGCATGGCAAATACACACCAACCTCAGGTAATGTGACGCTGGCATAGCGAGAGCGAGCTGCTCGCCTGAGATCAGGAACGCCATCTCTCTCTCTAAGAATCTTGCCAAATGCAATAACCAAGGCCAAATGTCAGAGGTGACCAACAAAAGGGGGAAAGGTCAGGTGTGTAGTCAACCTTGCATTCTTGTCAATCTTAGCTGTGAGACTTGACACAAGAAATACCAGAAACAGTTCCTTCTTCTCAATTTCTTTAGCAGTTACATTGAATAAAGAAAAGGAGATGACATTTCAACTAAACTAAACAAGAAATGGAGGGAGGGTTTAGATTGTATGTGACTGCTTCTGAACACAAAATAGCACAGAAAATGTAGTTGTCCCAACCTCAGGTCGGATATCAATGAGCATAGCTTTCTTCTCCGATTTCAAGAGTTCAAAAGTTTCTTCAGCAGATAAATCTCCAGCATATCCAGCATATGTCCATGTCCAGTAAAAAGCCCTGCATAAATCTGATAAACAATTGAAATCACTCTTGTACACATATTTAAGGGGGAAAATGTCTTTATACACATAGAAGAGCTACCATAAAGCTGCCAAAGATCCAAGAGAAAGAATAAATGGGATAATTGGATCTTCAGGATCTACGCCAAAACTTCTTTCCAGCCCACCAATAGCAGTAAATACCTGTTCATGAAATATTGAAGAAAATTACAGTTCAGAGAACTTCCAAAACTATAGCGGCATCAAATACTTCAGAAAACAGCCAGTAGTTTGTGATAGACACGGACAGACCCAACAAGACTGTTATTACAAGGATATGATTTCTTTTAGTTGTGTGGAATATGTCAGAGATGAAAGAAGCCATCTTTGGCGAATACTATTCAAGCACATACCATACTTATAGAAGTTTGTGTGCGACTAGGGGAATACCTGCTGAAAAGCTGTTCCAATGGGTCTCAAAATCTTAATAGCTTGGTCTTCTGTCACATTTACTCCGTCTTTTATCTCTGGAGGGAGCAATTCTTTTGCAGAGCCATAAGAATAAACAACGACATAAGCCCCCTTCACAATAGAATCCTCCACTGCAATAATCGTCTTTCTCAACGCATCAGCTGAAACTCCAGTTAGTCTGGTTGTGGCTTCTTTTGAATTATTTAACAAACCAGACAATCTATTGCTAGCCAAATCTCCTGATTGATCAATATTAGATAAAACTCTGCTCCATATACTGTCTACTGCTTGAGAAGCACTTTTAGTGATCGAGGTGAGAGATGAGTTGATTGTGTCTAGTGAGTCTGTCACAGTACTCTCCCCCTTATTCAATGACGTGCCAACCGAGTCTTGTATCCTTGATAAAAGATCATCAAAACTAGCTGTTGCACTGGACAATGAACTACCGCTGACAGCACTTGAAGCAGATTCCAAGTTTGCATTTACACTTACTATGCTACTCAAGGTTGTAGTTTCAGATTCAACGGGTCTTATCAACCTCCCAATGTTTTCACTAGAAAGGCTAGTCAGGTCCAACTCTCCGTCTGCAGCGGATAGATTGTACTGCTCCAAATGGACCGTTCTACTTCCTATTGCCCGCATTTCATTTGTTGCCTGACCGAAAGAACTCCAATCATTATAAAAGCTGCATTTAGCATCCTCCAGGTAGGAATTATTTTCAGCGAAAGTCACTAATGATGCTTGAGTGTTGTTTTTGACGACGGAGTGGGCAGACTTTGCAACTTGCGTCCTGAAGGAAATTCTTTGAAGATGATTTTCTTTCCAAGATGGTAATAGAACTCTGTCTTCTAGGATGCTTTTAAAATCAGAGTCCCTTTGGTATGGGCAAATGAACACTGGGCCTCCCAGGAACGAAATCTGCAGTGTTCACAGCATTAAGCAAACCAACTCTATGTTTCTAAAATCAAATTGCCCACTGGCGTGGTGGGGTAAACCAATTCATAAAATGTATGTAAATACAGAAACTAAGGGAACATGGTACTAGCTAATTGAATCAATTTCACATGTTATAGTGTCTCCAATACCCTTTATGCATGGGTCTAGATTTCGGTTAGGCAGAGCAACAAAATATTAGATGAACATATCATAAACCACTAACATAATAATGATCACGTATATACACGGGCTACATCCAAAATACAGGTCTTTGTTAAAGAAATGTTCTTTCTTCTGAGAATCGCAACTTCATACTCCCAGTCTGAGGTTCTCTTACGCCATCATTCAAACGGGGTATATCTACATTTCAGACGGTTCAACATCGGAAGTAGCACTACTGGACAGACTTTCGTTTATATTCTCCTTTCAATCAAAGTGAAGGTTACGATGTGAAGTGCAGGGTGCTGTAACGATCACAAGTTATGTTCAACTAGCCCCTAAGAAGTTCTACATGACAATGACTAGAGTCCAGGTTTCTGTATAAGCTATAGCTATAACACAGCTCAACATTAACGAGGAAAGAAGTAGAAGAAACAGAACTACAGGAATTCGCATTAAATTGACAGTCGTAACAGAGACATTAGTTCTCACCTGAGAAGAACAACAATGGGCCGCAGAGCAAACTGGTAGCATGTTGTGGCCGATCAAAAGGAAAAGAGTAGAACTGTTTTTATCAAGCTTCCATCTGCATAAAGAAAGGAAACAATATCTTCACATCAGCTTAAACACGGACAAGATGCGCCAAAATGTCATTGCACGTAACCCTAGCAATTGCAATCAAGCGGCATTCGAAATTCTGCCATGAAAGGAAGCGAAGGTCAGCTAACGCACTGCGTGTCTCAGCACCCGCAAACCAAATACAAGTTCTCCATTGAAAGATGTAAAGATTCCGGGATGGTAACGACTAACGACGAATAATTTGTTCTCACCTGGAGTCGGGAATCAGAAGTTCTTGAATCCTTTCGGCGAGCTGGAGATCAGTTTGACTGTGTAGGATGATGAAAGCTTTTTATCTATCCAACAGTGGAAGAATCCAAGATAGGATGAGATGGCGAAAATCGTGTGGCCTTTTGTCAGCGCCGTTCCTCCGCCATTAAATCCTTTCTTATTCCTTTGCATTCTGCGAAGCTGTGAGCCTTACATTTGGAAAATGTGGGGCCGGAGAACATCTGTTTACTTTGATAGTTGCTACCCGCCAATTTGGTAGAAAGTTGCTCATTTCCGATCATCCAATTTTTAAACGAGTTTTAAAGAAGTCCATTAATTTTTAAAAATTACTATTTTAGTCCATTCTGCAGATAGTTATGCTATTCACTTGATGTTCGTGAAACCAAATCGTACTGGTAAGACGATGTACCAGCGATCAAGTACGAACTTGGTAACGGTTCTCTAATGCAATTATTTTACCATTAAAATAAGTCTCGCGAGTTCGATCTGATAGTTCCGCTGAAGGCATAGCGGGACATAAGGAACGAAAGCACGAAACCGACACTACAATGGAGTCCAGAGTAAATACAAATAACTGAAACACACAGTTGTACAGTGTTGCACTCTGCCGAAGTCGTCCAACATTTCAATGTTACAGATAAGCGAGGTAGAAAACTGGGTTAATCCGAAGGAAGTGAGGGCTTATATCTTCTTTGGATCCTTCACGGTTCGGTATGGGACACAAGGAAGCTAGTTGAAGAAGTAAGCTGAAGAACTGTTTACTCTTCTTCACTTCCATCCATCTCATCTCAATTGCGAGCTCAACCAGCGTGAAAACTCGTGAACATCACCGTTCGCGATTTATGAACTGGTTTCCGAACCACCAGCAGCAGCCTTCTTCTCCTTCTGTTTCTCCCTTTTCTTCTTGTTTTTCAGCGCGTTTTTGCTCATTTGTCTGTGTAGAGTACAAGAGCGAAACATATTACGACAATTACTCTACAAGATTCTGGTTAATGCAAACAGAAATTGGGCCACAGTTCTACTTACTCTGCACTGCTGTCACGTCCAAGTAGCTTTTGTTTCCCGGAAAAAAAAAGAGAGGAAGACAATGAAACATATCAGAATAAGATTAATACAACCTTCACAAGCCACAAACAACAGCTACCCGACCACTTCTCTAGTTTTGTCATTTGATTTATGATTCAGTGCGTGAATGTGTGTGAATTTAGCGCTAGGAATATGGCATGAACTTAGAACAAGAAGTTCAACATCAACTGGAATATGGAATCTGCGAAAATGACAAAGAAACACAACTAGATCGAGCTGAACAAGCATTCAATCGGATTCCGGTTCTCATTTTTCTTTTAGTTTTGATTCATCCGTCATTGAGAGACCAGTTAATTTACCTCTGCCTGAATGGCTGCAGCCTGTTTTGCATGTGGTGGCCGGTACGCAGCAGGTTTTACAGGAGCCTTCATAGGAGTAGGTTGAGTTTTCCGAGGGGCTGATGACCCTTGTCCTGTTAAATGAGTAAAGTTGATAAGATAAACTGACCACCTTCATGCCCAAACAAGATACATAGAGTAGATGAGTAGGAGCAAAACCTTGAGGTTTGGCATCTTTGATTGCTAATGAATCAACAGTCTTGATAAGGTCAACAATTTCAGGAAATTTATCTGGTGATTCTGGCCTCCAGTCAGCCTGCAGCATACAGCAAACAAGAAAATTTAATTCCAAGAGAAGTTGAAATGAATATAATTATAAACTGGAGTAGGATCAGCCGAAGAAGCTAATAACTTTGTTATAAAACTAACCTGGTACAATTTGTCATACATCCTTTTGAAGAATCGTGACCCGTTATAGTGGAAAATCTTAATCCTAAAATAACAAGAGTTGAGTTTCTAAGGACAAGTTAGAGAAGCAGACATACATATATGAATACACTGAGGATAGTACTTGGAACAAAACATTCACTAAACCACATAAGTCCAGCTTGGCATAATCACAGAACCAGTCATCATCATACCCATTGTCAACTTGTAGTCTTGGTGCAGTAGTAGCAGTCATGAAAAATTGGCCATCTGGGGACCATTCACTAGTAACAGAACATTCAGCCCTGGTTGCTCCAAGTTGTTTATTTTCTTCATAGTCCCAAAATGCCTGAAATTTTCAGTTAAAACATCAATCAGACTGCCTTAAGTACAGGACCACAGATGTTGAATAGAATCAAGAGATTATGAGAAGTATTTGCAACATCAAACAAAGTGGTGCCAGGAACAAGCGAACAACAGGCTGCACCACATAACACTAGCAAAGGAAAAGAGGGGAAGGGGTCTACAAACTCAACAGCAATTTTCAAGAATAAGGCTAATCTCTTGGATTTTGAAGCATATGAGAAGCAAATAATCAACACAAAATATCAGCATCCTTGCTTACCATGTCACCAGGCAGGTTTCCGAAACCAGCTATGCATATGACTATGGATCGGTCAAGTTCGCAAATGAAGAGTTAAAGCTCCAATAGAAAGCTGCTTGAAGTTGGAGATAATCCTATCACAGAATTTTTAGGATTAAATTTAGAAAATATTTAGTAGAAAGGATACATTTTCCCTTGGGATTCCACCGGATAGTATTGTAAGGGCCTGATCCTAGCTCAAGTAGAGGTCTGCACTTCCTGTCGAAAATTGTTGCAGTTGCAGGCATGACTGGTTGGCATCAAGGAGGAAACAATGGCAGAAAACAGACTGGCATATAAATTACTGGCAAAGAAGAAAATGTTCTTTTACTGACCAAGGCATGTATGAAAAATTAATGCACGGATACATCATTCGAATAATAAGCTCAGTTGCACCACCTTGAAAACAAAAGAAGCCACAAGTGTGGGAGGTATCATGTTATGTGCTGCAAATTACGGCACATGCTTCACTAAAACAAATTTGTCAACCACCACCCCCAAAGTGTCTGGCCATTGGTTGTACGCTAATAGTTCAAATAAAGTTTCATACAAACAGATATGCTCAGTTTTGCCCATCAACTTATAATCAATAGATACATGCTTCGCACTTTAAAAGAAAACATATAGATAACACAGGCATTTGGTAACTTCAGATTTAGATAAGGATACACCCATAAACAACAGCAAACTTTGTGCCACAATATGACCATTGAACATCATGAATGGGCCCTTCTTTGCCTGCCATTATATCAAACAATCAGTACATTAAGTTAATTAAGTAATGAAGGGAAAATTGAGCTAGAACATACGCAAAGACACTAGCCCCTCATGGCTCCCATCTGTGGTAAGATAGTTGAGCTTTGTTTCCCCATAATAACTTTGATTGGTCTTATCAACATCAGCCTGCGCAACTACCAGAAGTCCAGTAGAACCTCGATTCCAGTGCAGCTGGACTGTAGAACACCGGAAAAAGCTCCGACGAGCAACAGCCTGATCTTGCAATTCCTTCTTGCAATTATATATCTGAACACTGGCTGGACTCCCCTAAATGGGAAAAAGAAGGAAATGAATAACTTACAACACAGATAAGTAGAAAACTACTGATCAATTCTAGCATTCTGATTTCGGAGATAGCATCAACATCTTCTAGCTCAAAACTGGTACATTGCAGAAAATTGGTCCCTGAAGATACAGACTCAAGGAACTTCCTTACAATCAACATATATATACATTGCCACATGTTCAAATCAATATTCAACAAGGAAGAAACCAACTTTAACCAACTATCATCCTACAAATTTACTATTTTCATAATACCAGTAAAGAATGAAGATAAGCTCTGAAACCACTTGGCCCATTTCCAGCAAGAAACCATACAAACATTTACACAGACGCTGCCTTGTAGAGAGCATAACATACCTTAGACTCGGGAACAAACGCAGCAACATGGGATCCCGGTAGAGCTGAGAGCTCAAATGCAGCAATGCTTGGAACTCTCAAGCGATTCACAAACCCCTTTGAGAAATCTTTGGGGTCAAAGAATTGTATCTCATTGGTCGCCAGACGACATGCAACTATCTCGTCAGAGCTAAAACGGATAGAAGGCCTGAAAGGCAAAGCACATTGAGACAATCAATTAGCTAAGAACACACATAGAGCTCAAAACACCCTCATCCCGAACTCAGAATTCCACAATTCAATCCACTACAAAATATGCAACTTAACCAATAAAAAATGCGCTACTGAATTTACCATGTGGCTTTGCTCGTATTCTTTTGGAAGTGACGGTGCACAGCATCACCAGTCTTCGTCTCCCACAGGGCGACATTCTTATCCTGGGGAGTCGTGGACTTCTGAAACGTCTGAACAAAGGTTCCACAAGGAGACAGGGCAGCGGACACGAGATTGGGAACTTGGAATGAGCGGATCTCCGTGAACTTGCTATTGCAATCGTACAGGCTGATAACCGAATCTTCCTTCATAATCATGAGCACGGAGCCATCGTCGCTGAACTTGGAACTGTTGCAGCGAATGTTCTCGACCTCGACGCTCGGCCCGCCGCCGTCCTTGAACGGCGGCCCCTTCCATATACACGCGCCTTCCGATCCCCGAACTTCGAAATAGAGGGGAAAACAAAATTACAATAGAGAACATACGAACATGGCTGGAAAAAAAGCGCAGTAATGGCGAGGATGAAGTGTACCTAGTATCTCCAGAGGAGGCAACGAAGGTTCCATCGCTGGAGTTTCTGAGACCAGTAAAAGCTCCTTTCACTGTCGAATACAGCGAACGGATTCGTCGGCGGCGACGGCGAGTAGGGGAATTGGAATCCGGAAAATCTTCTGATGGTGAAAATGGTTGCGGCGGCGGGAGTGGTGAGTCACGCCGGAAGAAGGTAAATAACGAATAGGGTATCAAAATAGCAGGTTGGATGACTCAACCTTTCAGGAAGTGCATGATGGTCCCTGAAGTTTCTTTTTAACTACAAATTTGTAAGGACTAGTATGAGCTAGCCCGCTTTACTTAATTGTACTACGGTATACAGCCCGCGGTGAAACCCAGCCCACGAGTCCATGAAAATGACACACTTGGCCCATGTAAAAAGGTCCAGTCTTTTCTTGGCCCATTTATAATGAGGGTGATTATGATAAAAGATAAGCCCGATGGCCTCACCAAGAGAACTTTGGTTATCTACACTATCAATCGTGATGCGATTCGTTTAACACCAACTTGCTCGCTAATTGTCCTTCGTTGAATAATTTTTGAAAGGACCGTAAACATATTGGTTTAGGCCTTAGGGTCAAAATTTGTGTTCATTAATGAACAATTTGGGTCTAGATAGAGGACATTTGTGCAAAAAAAAAAAAAAAAACTCTCCTTCTTCGTATCAAATAATTAAGTCAATACGTATGAGCTAAAAGTACGAGCATTAATAAAATATATGATGTTCTCTCGTCTATGCTAACCTCTCTTGTGGTTGTGAAGGCGATGAGCTTGTGGCCTCGGTTTCAACTTTCATCCCCTATGCAGCAGGGAGGACGAGTCTCGTGCATTCGTATTTCGTCTCTTGCTATTTTAAAGGTTCAATTCGAGTTGGGATTCTTATCAGTTGACTTTTCTAGCATAATTTAACTATTGTCCTATCTCTCCAACACACTAACAAAGTTTTTCAAGTGGAATATTACTTTATATAAGAAAAACAAATTAGGTTTGAAGATATATAGTCATCTATCCTCGTTCTATGGGCAAGTCGGCCCTTGTCTTGATTAAGTTATAAAGGTTAAACTAGACACATAACTCCAACGCGCAACCCCTTTCTATAGTGCCAACTTGCTAACAAACTTAAGGAGCAGAAAACGGTTTGATTAAAAGGGGGACTTACAAATTTAGACCAGAAAAGAGGGGTCAATTATAAATAATTAACAAATTAATTAATAAACCGGAAAACTGTTGAACAATTAAAGTGGGGAGAAAGTGTTAATTATAAAATTATCATTTATAAGTTACTAGTAATTAGTACTAATTAATAATGTATCACCCACTTGCTACAACAAAACCACTCTTATCTTGGGACGGTATTATCGAGTGAACACGTTTTCAATGAAAAAAATCCATTGATAATGCAATTACACAGAATGGTATAGAGTAATTTACAACTATATATATATAACTACTCGAGATCCCGAAATTCACCTTGGCTCGAGATTAGGACACCAAAACTATTGTTAATATTCTCATCTCATCCATCAAAACAAATTAAAAAAATATGTACATACTCCAACGCATGCATGCATGCACGTCGAACGTCCATCATGAGGATTATTTGCGAGTGAAGTAAATTTGAGGCCCAACTAATGCCGATTCAGAGACAACACATATCCCACATGTTGCATGTTGGTCAAGTCAATTCCTTGCTATTTTACGTTAATAACTAGCTTGAAATTAAGACTCCCCGATTATACATTGATCACGTATATATAGTTTGTCTCTTGAAACGTACATTTCTTCCACTTTGAAGTTTAAACACGAGCTAACTTTGGGTTACAGTATCTGCTCTGTTACTCATCGCGATGATGATTTGCCTAATCAGATACGTCCTGTCATCATGTGGACATTGCATGAGCGACAGACCTATGAAATGCCAACGTCATCGTGACGAGTATTATGCGCATGCGGGTGTTACGACGGAAACGCGGTAAATTGAAAATTAATGTAAGAAAGTAAAAAGCAAATAGATTTACATCATTACGTGTTGTTTACTAAAACAATGTGTATTAACTAATCCACGGAAAGGTGATACGAGTCACTAACTATACTTGAACACATTTTTTCCAGATGGTCTATGGTAACCCTTATCTAATTAACTTGGAAGGGGGGAAATGTTACAAAATTTGACCCAAAACAGAACAACATATGCGTATAAATTCAAAGCCTGACGTAACAACCACCCAATCAACGACAACATTAGTGAATCACCAAATTAATTACCGTTTGATCTTATCAAATCAGCCGGCCAGGATCAAAGCTTGGAAACGGTGTTACGCGGTTTCCTCGTTCCCAATTAACCAAACAGAGAGAACGTCGGTGAAACGGTGAGCAAGCAAGCAAGCAATTGAATTAACTTGGGGGTGACGATCGAGCAGAAATTTCGAAAAACGACGATATCGCCATGTGCATGCAGAGAGAGAGAGAGCGCGCGCATTTCCCCAGAGCCAGGCGATGGATCCGGATAACACGTCTCCGCCACCGCCATTTCGTCAAACTTACTCTTCCTCTATGTCCTCTCTCTCTCTCTCTCTCTATTTAACCCACCACCGCAATCGAAATTAATTCAGAATCCGCCGTCCGCAATTTGCAATCAAACACACGCACACCGATCGCCGGCCGGAGACTTTTTTTTTTCTTCCTTCCCTGGTGGTGAGGAAATGAGGACGATGTTGTTTCCCGCGGCGGTGGTTGCCTCGGTGGTGATACTGATGTTAGCGGTGGAGGACGGCGGAGGAGGAGTGGAGGCGGCGATCGGGCTGCAGCAGCCGCTGAAGCTCAAGTACCAGTACTACAGGCGGCACACGACTTGCAAGTACGCGGAGGCGTTTATTAGGCACCAGGTGACTCTGTACTGGAACAGAGACAAGACCATCACCGCCAAGCTCCTCCGCCTGCTCTACTCCGACTGCTTCGTCACCGTAAGCTTTTAAGCACTAAAGCGTGTGTGTGTTTTTTTTTTTAACTACGTACATAATTAGTGATAAATAAATAAAAATACTGACGGCGACTGCGCAGAAGCGTTTTGATGAGCCGGAAGTGTAAAGTCGCGCATAAGTTTTTTTTTTTTTTTAAGTTTGAAAATACGATTTTGACTGATATTGGTGTGATGGGTAATGGCTGGCTGGCAGGGGTGCGACGCGTCGATACTGCTGGACGGGCCGGAGTCGGAGAAGACGGCGCCACAGAACGCGAGGCTGGGCGGGTTCGACCTCATCGACAGGATCAAGAAGGTTATGGAGATTCGATGCCCGGGGGTCGTCTCCTGCGCCGATATCCTTAACCTCGCCACCAGAGATGCTGTTCACTTGGTACGTAAAAATTAAAAAAAAAAGTTAATGCTAAAAAAGTTTATGTACTAAAATGTAATTTTTCATCGATATTTTGAGGAATTATATGCAAAAAATTTATTTTAGGTACTAAATCTAAAGATCTAATAAATTTAGGTATCAAACTGTAATTTTTATACTGGGTATGGGTAAAACCCAAATCCATGAATAAAAACTCAACACAACCCGAACAAATAGGTATGGGTACAAACCCATCAACTTCTACCCCATATACAATCTATTTGAATTTCATACCCAACCCAATTGAATTGAATAGCAAAATACCTATGAGTATGGGTAAAATTGTCATCTCTAGTTGTAAGTGTGTTTTATAGCTCTCCCTGCTGCAAAAATCTGAAGTTGATCATGGTTTAATTTGTTTAAATGTGTTTTTACAGGCAGGGGGGCCGTCATATCCGCTGTTCACGGGGAGAAGGGATGGAATGACGTCGAAGGCATCGACGGTGGATCTCCCGTCGGCTTCCATCTCGAGCAAAGCTGCGTTGGCTTACTTCGAATCCAAGACCTTGGATGTTCTCGACATGACCACCCTATTAGGTAAATCTCTAAACTAAATAGAAGAACCAATTAAAGCCAATTCTAGACACATGCAAATGCAGTTACTTGGTTCTTACCCAAAAGTTTAAGAAGGTGTTAGGCGTTAAGTCGCTAATCAGGTGTTGAAGCACTGCCTAACGTCTGGCACGCTTAAGCAGTGCCTATGCGTTTTTTTACAAAACAGTCGTTTTTATTAGAAATCAGAAATTTATTTTTGCATTAGTTCAATTTCAAATGTTTGATAACTTAGCTAACCCACAAACATAATAAATATGTGTCAAGACCCAGCTAGAATTGCAATTCCAAATAGATGAATGGGTGAAGGATATGTTGAATATAGTACAGCTAGAGTTAGCGTCATGTTGGAAAGATTAGGTACATTTTTTTTAATCCTTGGTCTGCTAATAAGAGTGCAATTAAGCGTGTCTTACTTCGACTAGTCATGCCCCACTCTGCTTAAGCGCGTCACTTAGACATTATGAATGCCTAAATTGTCTGTCCAGTGCCTAGACAATGCGTTTTTTTCTCACTGTCCATCGCTTAGAACGCGTCTAGGCGCACGCAGAATTACGCCTTCTTGCGAATCCTGTAGTCTTACCATGCAATATGGTCCTTCTCCAGGTGCACACGCGATCGGAACGACAGACTGCAGCAACGTGGTCGACCGACTCTACAACTTCAACAACACGGGAAAGCCGGACCCAACCATGAGCCAACATTTCGCCGACCAACTGAGGAAGACCTGCCCACGTCCAGCCAACATGAGTGGAACACAAGCTAAGAATCCTTGGGTCTATCTGAACCCGGATTCAGGGCCTAGCTACCAGCTAGGGAACTCATACTACAAGAGGGCACTGGCTCACCAGTCTGTCCTTGGAGTCGACCAGCAGCTCCTCTACAATAACGATACCCGAGAGCTCACCGGCGAGTACGCTGATGAGTACCCGTGGAAGAATGGCTTTGAAGGCTGGCGGAGGTCCCTTGCCCTCTCGATGAACAGGATGGGGAACATTGACGTGTTGACCGACAATTCGACAGGGGAGATACGAAGGAACTGTCGGTACACGAACTGAAGAGGCTAAAAATTTCATAATGATGGATGGATAAACATTGTAGTATTGCTATGTATATGTGTGTGTTTCGAATTCTTCTATCAACTGCTCGGGAATGTAGGCGGAATGATATCACAGTTTATAAATAAGACGACAAGAACAAGTATCTTGTATTTATTAATGGAAGAAGAAAAACAGATTTGAGTATGTTGGAGAAAAGATATCCGTATCGATTAGTTACTCTTTTTAAATTAGTTGATCACTCTTTTATAGTTAACCATTATTTTAGAGTAACACATATTTCTTGCATTATAAAATTAATTTTTTATTATTTTCTTATCAATTGCTCTTGTACTTTCAACCAATCTACCATGGCGTTGGAGATCACATCTCACCACTCTTCTAAATTAATTATGAGGAAATGTAACAATTTTTGAAGAAAATTTAGAAAGTAATATGTGGGAGCCAAAAATTAAAATAGTAAATACAAATTTTGAAATGAAAAAATAGTTTATTGTTATTTTACGTACTTAATGTAGAAATGAAAGAAAGAACACCTTAACGTAATAAATGGAAAATCCACAAAATCGGGAGAGGTGACAGAAAAAGAGAGGTTGCCAAGATCATCAACCATTTCAACAATTAGAAATTTTTATGATTTTGCAATCCTTCACCCTTCTTCCTTAATTTCTATGATTTTGCAATCTTTATGAGTTGAATTTTCTATGAATTTGAAATCTTTATGAGTTGAATTTTTTTTATTGATATTATTCTCTTTTTTACATATAATAACAAAAGAATTAGAGTTTGATAATTCTTATCTCTTGTCATTCTCCTCTAAACTCTCCATTGTTCACCAACCCATTATCTTTTTTTAATCCAACAAACAGAAACCCCTTTATTTGATGTTTAGGGAATGAGCAAATGTACATTGCAAGGGTAAAATATTGATTGAAATTTCATAATAGCTAGAAATTTCCATCTAAAAGGGCACAGAAGTTAATTAATCATGGGTGCTACAACTCCCAACCCAGCTAGGGTTATGAGATTCACCAAGGAGTTGTCAAAGGCAACTATAATAATAGGTATGTTCAATAAAGAGAAACCAACATTATCATTGTTTATCCATTTATTTGTGAAGTAGTAATGGTTGGAGACTTTGAATTTTGTGAGCTAAATTGATTTTTTGGTTGCTTCTCAAAGAGAGGCTTCGTGAGTTGGCTTGGAATGGTGCACCAACTTATATGCGGCCTGATGTGTGGAGGCTCCTCTTGGTAAGATCACTTATATCATGGTAATTCGAGATATTGAGATGGATTGGTAAAATGTTTTATTTGATGTTAGAGCCTTTAAATCTGGAGTGTTCATTTTGTATAAATTCTACTAACATCTCAAGTTATTGGAATGAGTAAATTATGTTTCCAAATGAATTTGCATGTTAACAAATAATTTTTGTTAGGGATATGCACCATCTAATTCGGATAGGAGGGAGGGAGTTTTGAAAAGGAAGCGACTCGAGTACCTTGAATGTGTAGCCCAATTTTATGACATCTCCGATCTCGAACGTTCAGAAGATGAAGCCAACATGCTTCGTCAGGTAAATTTTAATTTTAATTTTTTTTTTGCAGAGAAATCTTAACTTTCATACTATCTTATCAATGATCGATAAAAGTGGTAATTTTATAGCCCTATCATTTTAAACGAATTACTTGTGTAGATATCTGTCGATTGCCCAAGAACCGTACCAGATGTCACATTCTTCCAACAACCGGAAGTTCAAAAATCCTTGGAGCGTCTTCTCTACATATGGTTAGCTACTGTGATTCAGTGCCTATAGTCAGAGTTTCACTAGTCTTCTTCGTTATGTGTTTTCCTTAACTTTTTTTTTTCCCCATCATTATTAGGGCAATAAAACACCCAGCAAGTGGTTATGTGCAAGGGATAAATGATCTTGTGACGCCATTTTTGGTCGTTTTCTTGTCTGAGCACTTGGAAGGCGACATAGATAGCTGGTCTATCTTTGATCTTCCTCCAAACAAAATTCTGGATATAGAAGCAGATTGCTATTGGTGCTTGTCCAAGTTGCTCGATGGAATGCAAGACCATTACACGTTTGCTCAGCCAGGAATCCAAAGGCTTGTTTATAAACTCAAGGAATTGGTTAGACGAATTGATGGTAATTCAGGATTTGTTTTATGTTAATTAATGTGAGTGTATGCTTGTTGTGCACCAGATTTATGATTGTCATCCTTGATGATCGCCCGATCCTCTTATAAAAAACAATCTCATATCTTTCATTGTGTAAACAATAAGCAAAACATTGCATGAACTTTATACGAAAATCAATTACCAGTTTGGTTGCATTATAAGAGTTTATGAAACTTGCTCGCACGATGCAACTTTCAAAAACTTATTTGATGATCATAATAACCATATTGAGGCATAATTGTTTATTTTGTCCCTTCAGAGTCCGTCTCAAAACACATGGAAGAACAAGGACTCGAGTTTATTCAATTTGCTTTTCGCTGGTTCAATTGTCTCTTGATACGCGAGGTTCAAGCTCTTAAAATTCTCACTATTTAAAAAAATAATAATGTTTATCTTGCACTCTGTCTTAGTTTTCTATTAATTAACCAAGTCATTTCAATTATTTGATGGGTATAACCTTGTTGTATGCTTCTCCGTTTTATGTCATTAAAAGAGCTAACATATTTCACACAAAAAGAGCTAACTTATATTTTGTTCATTATACAGATCCCATTTCATCTGGTCACACGATTGTGGGATACTTATCTTGCAGAAGGAGATACACTGCCTGATTTCCTTGTTTACATATTTGCTAGCTTTCTTTTAACTGTGAGTTGATAAGTGTCATTCTATTTGCAATTTTACTCTTGGATTTATGTTGTGGATATAGACATTATTATAGTTTTTTTAGCATATAATATTATTCATCTGGCATTCTCAAGTAAATCAATAGATTACATAGTGAGTACTCGGAACATTATATTATTAGATGAATTATTGACTGCCAATCCAATCCATCCATTTTATAAATGCAAAATAAGGCGTACAAGTAATCGTACTTATAGTCTACAAACATCCTATATGTAGTGTTAAAACATATGTTAAATTTAAGATTTTGAAACTCTCTATTTACCTCTGATTTTTTCTCCTAGATACACACATATTTTAACACTTGCCAAATCAACCAAATTACAACTTTCAGTTAATCTAATCATTATAGTTCATTTCTCATACACAAAATGATGTTTTACTTGTTTGACACTTAAATATTTTTTTTTCCAGTGGTCTGAAACTCTTAAAAAACTAGATTTTCAAGAGATGGTAATGTTTCTACAACACCTTCCAACCCACAATTGGACACACCAAGAGCTAGAGGTGGTACTTTCCCAGGCATATATGTGGCATAGCATGTTCATCAACTCTCCAAGCCACTTGATGACTAACTAATTATTAATCATATGCAATCTCCCATGTATGTACAAATATTTCTATCAATATTATGGATAATCAGTTTTGCAATTTATGTATATAAGTATCTAATTTAGAACCGACATCAAATGTTTTCGATGTAACATGTACAATTTTTTCCTTTTTATTGAAATGTAACATGTACAATTGAGTGAAGGTTAACACTACATGTATCATCCTAGGTCTCTCTTATCTTATGTATAATAATTGTCTGTAAAAGCCGCCGGGAAGAGTAACTAATCTTACTCCGTCGTTGGCCGGCAGAGAAACAGAGATGCCGCCGGGAAATTCTCCGGGGCCATTTTCGAATCACAGTCAGTATATCGCGATAATATTAGTCAATTTCTCGCGTTTCGAATTGGAGTTCCGAAACGTGTCGGGTTTCCCGTTTCTCCCCCCTGAAACTGGTTTTTCGGTTGGTTCTCCTTCCCCAGCTGGCAGCAGGTAGAGGAAGCGAGGAGGTGCGTAAACAAACAAAGATGACGCTTATGTACAGATATTTTATATGGCTTGCAAAGCAGGAAACAGAAAATCTCGAGAGCAACGCACCAGAAGAATTTTTTTCCTTCGAGGACGAGAGAATCAAAGGCGCGCGAGCGCGAGAGAGTCGCAGCCGGCAATTGAAAGACGAAGTGAACAAACGAGGGTAAACCGGAGATCCAACTGAGCGACGGCGAGCTCGGTCTAGGTATCGTCCTTTTGCTATGTTCGAAATGAATATGATTTTCATTTCTTAGCTGAGTTTCGGCCCTTGCATAGCGAAGGAAAGTTTCGGCGCTTCAGTTAATCGTTAGGGATTGATTGGGATTTGATTGAGTTTCAGAAGACGTGAGTAAGGCTAGGTGAAGTTGAGCTGAAGCAGTGACGAATTTCGGTGGGTTCAGGGTTAGGAACGGGGAGGAGGTTAGCTTGTGTAAGTGAGTAATGATTTCTCTAAGTCGGTAGTTTAGTTTGGTAGCGTGTGTATTATATGAACATGGAGTATCCCTTTTCTTCGAAAGTAAAGGCTCGGCCAAGAGCACAGCTGGATGAGATAAGTTCCGCTCTGGAAGACCCAAATATCAAATTTGCGGAGCTGATGAACTTGGATGCCTATCCTGGATGGTGTAATGGCTCTCCAGCGATGGACCACTGGCTTGTTTCAAATGGGTTGTCGCCGTTGCAGCCCTTTCCATTAGGTTCTTTCGATTCACTGAATCTTACTGCAGAACAACCTGGTTATCTCAGCCCTAGTGTCCATGCAGCATCGAATGGCCATGGTATCTCCCACAATTGTGCAGACAACGTAACCTGTCAGCAGACTGATGCAGAATTGGTATATCCATCGGGATCGAATCCAGGGAATCAACAAGAGAATTTCATGGTGGAGGCTAGCTGTATGGTTTCTCGCCCTCTTGGCTTCTCGCTTGACGAGAAGATGCTAAAGGCTTTGTCCTTTCTCAGGGAGTTCTCTGGGGATGGCATTTTGGCACAAGTATGGGTTCCGATAAGGCAGGGGGGTCAATATGTGTTGTCAACTTCCGAGCAGCCTTACTTGCTTGATAAAACCTTAGCAGGGTTTCGTGAGGTCTCTAGAACGTTTACCTTCTCTGCGGAGTTGAAGCCTGGCCTTCCATTAGGCCTTCCGGGACGTGTATTCGTCTCTAAAGTTCCAGAATGGACCTCAAACGTAGTTTATTACAATAAGGAAGAGTATGTGAGGGTGAAGCACGCGGTTGACCATGAAGTCCGGGGTTCTATTGCGTTGCCTATTCTAAATCCTTCTGGCACGTCCTGTTGTGCTGTTCTGGAACTTGTCACTGTTAAGGAGAAGTCTGATTTTGATTCTGAGATGGAGAACATTTGCCATGCACTTCAGGTTAGTTTGGTTTTCATCTGTTTCATATGTTAATACTTTGGAGTCAGTAACTTCCTTGAAATTTTCTTTCCCTAATCGTTTTCTTAGAATCAGCTCCTTTCTACTGAAAATTGATGACGTATAGAGCAGTGTCATGTATGACCTTCTGGTTGATGCTTGAAACTTATACAGTAGCTGTGCTTTGTAAAGTTGTAATGGTAGGCCCTGGGTAGATGAGTTAGCAGAACCAGCTTCTGTAGTATCAGATTTTGTTATCAAAGATTGGTTATGCGAGCTCATGGCTGCTACTAGATATTGTCATTGCACTATGCAACAGTAATCAAAAGCATGCAAGAACGTACTTGCTGGCTTTTGTAAAAAAAAAAAAAAAAATCTACAAGCTTCATGATGTTTTGTTTCAAATGGTTTTAGCTTAAGTTGTCCTGGTCATTTGGGAGTTAAGCAACACCTGTTAACCACAATAGTTGTTTCTCTGCCATTTGTTCAGTGAGTGAAAATTTTATGTTCTTTCTGGTACTGAAACTGAGTTTTGATGCTTATTTTTCAGGCTGTAGACTTAAGAAGTACTCTACCTCCTCGGCTTCTACCCCAGGTAATTACGTCCACCTATTTTGCAAAATAAGTAAATAGAAAAAGTAACAAACACCGAAGGCAAGTGAATTTAGTATAAGAGATGCTCATTTCCAATACCCAAGTATCTCCCTTGACATATGACTATAAGGTCATTGTTATTTTACAGTGCCTGTCAGATAACCGAAGAGCCGCTCTTGCTGAAATAATGGATGTCCTACGAGCAGTTTGCCACGCACATACATTGCCTCTTGGTCTAACTTGGATTCCTTGCCATTATACTGAGGACGCTGTTGATGAAATCATAAGAGTTCGTGTAAGAGAAGGTAGTAAATCACGGCCTACTGGGAAATGTGTTTTGTGCATAGAGGATACAGCTTGTTATGTGAACGACAGGTCGATGCAAGGGTTTGTGCATGCTTGTGTGGAGCATTATATTGAGGAAGGCCAAGGCATAGCTGGGAAAGCACTTCAATCAAATCATCCTTTCTTCATCCCAGATGTGAAGGCATATGACATAACCGAGTATCCGCATGTCCATCACAGTCGTAAGTATGGACTAAATGCTGCAGTTGCAATCAGGCTGAGAAGCACATATACTGGTGACCACGACTATATATTGGAACTCTTTCTTCCGGTCAACACAACAGGGAGTCAGGAGCAACAACTCTTGTTGAACAGCCTCTCAAACACAATGCAAAAAGTTTGCAAGAGCTTGAGAACAGTTTCTGATGCAGAATTAGCTGCTGGTGAAGGTGATAGAGTTGGATATCACAAGGAAACATCGGCAGTCTCCCCTCAGATCTCTATATCAGAGAAAAACTCTCAAACCGCATTATCAAGTGCATTTTTGGACACTGCAGGCATAGTGGATTGTAATGCATCCAGCTCCAGAATCGATAGAACAGAATCAGGCAGTCAGAATTGTCGGGTAAGTCCATTTATTCCTAGTCTTTCTTCGTGAATTGGTTACAGTACTTTATAACCTAGAGCAATCATTTTTTCCTGAATCATGTAGATTTCATTTCTTCTTTGACAAGTATATGCTTCATCCTTTGTTAGTTTTAAGTCTGAGCAGGGCAATTGGTCTGAAGTACTTTACATCTATATCTAATAATGGCACTCCTTTCACTTACAGATTATAAATGTACTGAATTCTGTCAATGAGTTCACTTACAATACATGGCAGACTGTCATATATTTGTGCTCTGCATGGTTTATTTGAGGGCTTGTTCATTTGACTAGGGTGACTTGTAGTCTGCAACCACGTCTGACAGGTTCCTGACTGTTTTTTTAGGCCACCACTGGGCCCAGAAAACAGCTGGAGAAGAAAAAGAGCAATGTAGAGAAGAATGTGAGTCTAAGTGTTCTTCAGCAATACTTCTCTGGAAGTCTCAAGGATGCTGCGAAAAGCATTGGCGGTGAGATTCTTATCTCCATCCTGTGTTGATGTTCTCCATGAGACCAGTTAAATAATACTAATATTTTTGCGACTACTATCTTTAATAGAAATTAGAATAACAATATCCTGCTATTGACCCTCGGAAATTTAGTAAGACGATGAAAGATTAAGTTAATCATCCTACCTGATGGTTTAATTTGGATTTTGGTTGATTTTGAAAGCTAGATTTTGGTTGACTTGTAGCTCTCTTGCTTCTGCAGTTTGCCCTACAACACTGAAAAGGATATGCAGACACCATGGAATATCAAGATGGCCATCCCGCAAGATCAACAAAGTGAACCGCTCATTAAAGAAAATCCAAACTGTGCTTGATTCAGTTCAAGGAGTAGAAGGTGGATTCAAATTCGACCCTTCTATTGGTGGATTCACAGCAGGGGGGCCCACACTGGATGAACTCGACACGGAAACTCCATTTCACATTCATCATCCAGAACCACTCGCCGAACCTGCTTCTGTTGCCGCAGTCAAAGTCGAGGACGACTTAATAACCACCACCATGACACCCTCGATCGACTGCAGCGAGGAAGATTCAAAGCCTCGACGATGCGGTCCCCAAGAAATCACACAACTCGACAAGTCAAGCTCCCAACATCCGTCCTGGAGCGACAACAGCTCGTCACGTGGGTCTGAGTCAATGCATGGTGGAGGCGGGGGATGCAGCTCAAGCTCTCAGACCTTCGAGGAAGGGACGAGAAATGCTGGTGGGAAGATCTTTACTGTGAAGGCTAGTTACAAAGATGACACGATCAGGTTCAAGTTCGATCCTTCTGCAGGGTGTTTCCATCTGTACGAGGAGGTCGGCAAGAGGTTCAAGCTGCAGAGCGGGACGTTCCAGCTCAAGTATATGGACGACGAGGAAGAGTGGGTGCTGCTGACGAGCGATTCTGACCTGCACGAGTGCTGCGAGATACTCGATTACGTCGGGAAAGAGAGCGTGAAGCTCGTCGTTCGAGATGTGCCCTTTGCAGCTGGGAGTTCCGGTAGCAGTAATTGCTTTCTGGCGGGAAGCTCGTAGCCGTGTGTGTGTGTACAAACATAGTCATCCATGGTTAAAGTAAAACGCAGGCAAGATAGAAAAAATACCTTGTATGGTTTTGTTGTTGTACTTTACATATTATCACGCTCGTGTTTAGTTGAATAGAGGGTAGTGCTGAAGTTGGCAATAAAGGTCTGGCAGGACCAATGATGTTGGAAATGGATATATGCCATCATTTCCTTCTTCACTTTTGGTATATGTACTTTGTAGATGTGTAAGGTTAAATACTAATTTCAATCACCCTACTAGGTCTCGTCGAAAATTGAACTCGACATTAAGACAATTAAAGTATCAAATTCGTTATTGAACTATAATCTTCAAGTTGTGGTGTTTTTGATTGAAGAGATCAAATCTAAATAGTTTGCGGAGTAAACGATATGAATGGAAATCAAAGTTCAATTCATTAAGTCGGTTACACTACTTAGGTACCTATAATCATAAGGGGATTGTGGTCGACTTAGTACCAAAGGGTTATGATCTACGTGTTCAGTATTTGAAACCGACGAACAAATATTCGTTGATTATAACAGAGTTTCTAACTTTTAGACAATCAGTGTACCAAATTGCAAGTTTTCCGGAACCTTATGTAGCTTAGAGAAACTTTTCAGTCTTTACTTTACTTTCCTTCTTTACTCGGCGAACAGTACATGCCAGTCCTTTTTTCGCAAGGGAAACACAACTGAGGAAGCAGGTTATAGCGGGGAAACAAAAACTGGGAAATGGAAATGGAGGCTGTCGAGTTACAGACGAATCGGAGATAGTCCGTCACCTTGTTCCTTCTGAAGAAGAAGACTGATCTGAGGTCGCTTGATTCCGTTTGGTCCAGAGAGGATCCGTGGAGAGAGGGGAAGATCGGAGGGAGAGATCGGCGACTGAGGTGAATTTTGACAGTCGCAGCGAGGACTCTTCCGAGCTACGCAGTTAGCTAGCGGCGATCGAAAGTGGAAGCTCAAGGAGCGGCGTCGTTGCATCGTCGCTCGGTCACTGAATCTCACTGTTTTTTCTCTCGCTCGCCGGTGCTTCGAGACCTCAGGGTAAGGATTTTCGATGCTAATTCTCGTTCTCCGATTGCTTGACAATACGATGATTCGTGAATGTGGAGTAGGAGATGACTGGTTTATTTGATTAACGGAATTGCTGAGGTCTTTGCCTGCATGTGTAAGATCGAGTGAGGGCCTACTGTTGTACGTCTGCAATGCTTCTGGTACAGAAGTGACATGGATTTGAGGAGAGACTTAGGAGCTAATTGGGATTCTATAGGGATTTTGTAACCCTGGATTTCTGATTTAAACTTGTTTTTGAAGTGCCCTTTGGTCGATTCGTTGCTCAACTATGTGATGGATGTGGATCTGCTACGACAGTTGATGAGAAGGGTGGTAACCTTTTTTTAGTTTTTTGAATGCTGTCTTTGATGGGAAGTTGTTTGTAGCAGTATGAACAGCAGGTCCCTTCTGCATTTTGTTGATCTGATTCTGCTGATTTGCTTGCTTGACGGAAATGCATGTTTGGAATCTAGATGACAATGTTAGCGGCAGTTTGGGGTGTTTGATGTCTCTTCAGTGATATTTTATCAATCTTTTGTGCGTATTTGAGGTATTCATAGGTTGTTTATGTTTATTGAAAGTTTTTTCTGAGGTCTCTTTTCTGATGTTTCAAAAGGTGTAACGTGGACCGTGAGGGCTGTCAATGTGACACATTCGACTCGAAGTTTGGGGTTGGAAGGGCATAAAAAACGGAGGGAAGGAAAACAAACAGAAAAGGAAAGAGGGGGGCAGTGGTGTGAGGCTGCCATGAGGAGCAGCAATGACGGTAATTCAAACTTGGATTCGAGATTCAGCCAAACCCTCAAGAACGTTCAAGGGTACTCTTCCTACATTTTAACCTGGGCTTTACGTATATTATTTTGATAACTGAACGTTAAGCCTCAGTTCATTCTCCAGAATTAGAATATATGAGTTCCCTTTACTCTTCTAGTCTTCTCCTTTTTCTGTTGTGCGTTTTGATTGACCATTGTATGTTCTGTTACTGAGGGGAGAAAGAGAACAATTTTTGAGTCATTGGAAAATGAGGTTTTCCATAAAAAAGTTGGCTAGACTCTAATGCTTTCTCCCTCTCATGTCTCTTTCATGTATTCAAGGATGCTCAAAGGGCGTAGTATTCCAGGTAAAGTATTGCTAACCAGGAGGTCGCCAGCAGAGGAGGCAAGTTTACAAGAACATTCTCCTACTTTTCATAGAAGCTTTTCTGAAAATGATGCTGGTACAAGTAATCGGACTGACACATCAAAGGAGGTAGGAGTGCGCAATTGACTTGCAATTTTCAGTTATCATCCCTGATAAATTATTAGTATGCGTGCCTTATGAAATTACAATCGCTAATTTGTTACCTAAATGAGGAAACTCTTCTTTGTTGTGCAGGATGATGTGTGGACTGCAAAGAAGCCAAATAGTAGTTCCATTGCCAACAAACTAAAACCTAGTCCCCCCAGTATCGAAGTTTCATCTGGAGAAGTTCAAAAGTCCAGTGTGGGTGCTAGAGCTACCGATTCTGCAAGAGTTATGAAGTTCACCAAAGAATTATCAGGAGCAACTGTAATGTTAGGTATGTTAATTTTGTTGAGGTGATTCTTGTCTAATTTTTAGTCACTACCCTAAAATTTAACTTTCTGCTCGGAATTGGATTCAAAATCAAGATATTTCTTCCAATGTTTTAATCATAGATTTACAGCATGACTGCTATAACATGAGAGGCATATAGGCTTGAGCAAGTGGTTAAGCTTTGATGATTGAATGAACATGATGTGAGAGAGCTTGTACTGGTTGTAGTTAGTCGATGGAGTATTGTCTTTCTCTTAGATCTTTACGTGCATTGCGCCATTAAGAAACGAGAATGATGCAATAGCTTCAGATATAACTTCTGTTGTGGGGATGAGAGGATTCCCTGAAAGCAGTGCCTGAAGTGGTATCTAGGCATACTTTTAAAGGTGAATACTGAAAATTGATAAATTACTTTTCTTGAAGAGCTGTCTACAAACAGCAAAACACACTTCATGCATTTTTATTGCTTGTTTCTCTATATTGCTTGTTCTAATCAAAGAGATGATTCATTTTTCTGTTCCTGTTATAGTTTATAGTTTTGCTGATGCTAGTTTTGTTATGAATCTAAATTCATGATCCTCTTATACTCCACATTTATCTTCATAATATGACTTTCTCGGTTCTTTGAGTTTCAGCTTATTTTTTAGCATCTCATCTGAGCATACTTTTCGAATTTCATGACATAATTCTCCTTATTCATCCAATTTCTGTATAGATAAACTTCGTGAGTTGGCTTGGAGTGGTGTACCTCCATATATGCGCCCAGAGGTTTGGAGGCTTCTCTTGGTAAGCTTTATACCAGTACTAGCTGTCCTTCTTAAAAGACAATGATACTATTATCTTCTTTTTGAGATAGTTTCTGTAAGGTATTGGGTTAGCTAGTGGATATTGCATCTGGAAATTTGTATATGAGAACATATTCAAGCTTCCAATATTTTCACCATCAATTAACACAATATGTAATGGTGGTCAATTAGTGGTCAAATACCTACTCTGCTGTTTCTTGGCTTGTGATAGTTTGCTTCCTGAATATAGTTGTTTTGCTTGTTTTAATCAAATATGAATTGACCACAGGGATATGCACCATCTAATTCAGATAGGAGGGAGGTAGTCCTGAGAAGGAAGCGGCTGGAGTATTTTGAATGTGTGGCTCAATTTTATGACATCCCTGATTCTGAACGTTCAGATGATGAAGTCAACATGCTTCGCCAGGTTCTGCTGTTATTCAGTGGATTTCAGTTTTGATTTTACATTATCCTTCTGATATACCGTTTAACTATAGTATATTGGGTTCTTTTTGTAGATTTCTGTTGACTGCCCAAGAACTGTGCCTGATGTTACATTCTTTCAGCAGCCACAAGTTCAGAAGTCCTTGGAGCGCATTCTTTATACATGGTTAGATATTTGTGCTCTTCAAATTTGCTTGTTTTGCAAACTCACCCCGTATCTTCTTCTCCCTGAACTTAAAGCATGCCCCAAAACTGTAATATAACTGCTTGATTGCTGCAGTTGTTACTTGTACAAAAAAAAAAAAAAAAAAAAGCTATTTGCTGGAGTTGTGGTATCTAGGGGTTGTTATTTTTCTATTCCGCTTACCTATGTGCTCAATTTTTTGGGCTAACTTTCTAGAATCAGGTTGGGGTTGTGGAACTGGAAAGCCAAAAAAGGGAGGGACTTTGAAATTGGGTTGGTGCGTGCATCAGCTTCATTTTCACTGTCCATCTTAGTGTGTGAAGTGAGAACAAGAAAAACAAAAGAGAAATTATGAAAATGGTTCTGTTACAATGCCTCACCTTGCGGGTCAAAGCTAATCTTATGTTCCTCCATTGTCCTTAAGGCTTTACCATTATAATGTGGTTAAAGCTCTGTTTTTGTATTTTGTCTAGTTTCTGTTGCAATTTATACTTTGTTGGCGTGATTTGAGGTGCCTGTGGTGGTAAGCAGTCTCCTTTGAGGTTTTTAATTTCTTTGCTCATTTGTAGGGCCATTCGCCATCCAGCAAGTGGATACGTTCAGGGTATAAATGATCTTGCCACACCATTTCTGATTGTTTTCTTGTCCGAACACTTAGAGGGAGATATAGATAGTTGGTCCATTAGCGATCTCCCTCTGGAGAAGATCTTCGATGTGGAAGCTGATTGTTACTGGTGTTTGTCAAAGTTACTGGATGGCATGCAAGATCATTACACATTTGCTCAACCGGGGATACAGAGGCTCGTGTTTAGGCTAAAAGAGCTGGTTAGGCGCATTGATGGTAAGTTCTTAAACTCAAGCAGCATCCGTAAATTATCATTGAAGATTAGAGCTTCCATTAGCTGTTTATATGGTGAAGGTTTCTTTTACCATAATCCCGTAGGTGTTGGTACTTTAGTTTTGCCACCCATTCCTTGAGCATATGTTTGCATTTCCATTTTTACATGTTATATGTTGTCAATTAGCCCTCATTGAGGAGTCTGTTTTGGTATTTCTCAGAATCCATTTCAGTACACATGGAGGAGCAAGGGCTTGAATTTCTTCAATTTGCATTTCGGTGGTTCAATTGTCTATTAATTCGGGAGGTTCGATCCCTCGTTCCTTTGCCTTAACCTTTAATTATTGTACTATCAGGAATTTCAATTGCATCTTTTGATGTAGGCAATGATCTTTAGAAGCAATTTAGAATAATGTCCTCGCTGCACTGTTTTTGTTTTTGTTTCTAAGTGCAGCCTCTGGCTAAATATGGTATGTTCGTAATTCTACAGATCCCTTTCAATCTTGTTACCCGACTGTGGGACACGTACCTTGCTGAAGGAGATGCATTGCCCGATTTCCTTATCTACATATTCGCTAGCTTTCTTCTGACGGTAAGTAAATAGCCAGACTCTTCGCTTCAGCGCTTCACTTGATTCATGGTTTTGAATGGCTCCTTTTTCAAGCATTTATGAAACAATGATTGCTATGACATTAGAAATTTGAGGCACTGCACATAGATTTAGCACACTCCATCGATCATTGTTGTGTAGTTCTTGCTTCTGAATTGGGCATAGTAACGTTTTTGCAACGTATGAGTGAGGCCAGCCAGTGACTACTACTATTACTATCTGTGTACGAGAGATTGAATCCGAAGTAGGCAGCTGGTTGCAACAATAGTTTGCATACTAAATTGCAGCATGTAGGGTTAAATTCCTTTCGCGAGTTAAAAGAATCCAAATAACGAAACCTACTTCTGCATCTGCAACCCCTAGGCTCTTCTTCTTCTTCATGCCACGCTGCTCCATTGAGAGAATCATTTCCGAGTGTTTTACGCTTGTGTTTGCAGTGGTCGGACAAGCTTCAGAAGCTCGATTTCCAGGAGCTGGTAATGTTCCTCCAGCACCTGCCGACGAATAACTGGACGGACCAGGAGCTCGAGATGGTCCTCTCCCGAGCGTACATGTGGCATAGCATGTTCAACAACTCTCCCAGCCACTTGGCCAGCTAGGACGGTAACATTGTTGCAAGCTCTCTTCTTATTTCCCTGCTCGTTGGCTTTTTGCCCGGCTTGTGTGTGTGCTCTTTGAAAGACGAGAGAAATGATCCCAAATTGTGTATGTCAATGCTGCTTAGTTCTTTTAGTCTCCCCTCACTTGGCTTGCTTGCTGTGATATTTTTGTATCCTCCTCATACACTAAAAACTATCGTCTTTGTATATCTCTAAGGAACGAAACAATTTAAAAGTATTGTACCATAATATAATCATCATTGTCACATGACGTTTATTACGGAGTCGTTTGGAAGTTGCGATTGTTAAATAAATGTATTGTTGAGAATGCATGTATAATATTATACATGTATTATCGAATTTGTTGCATTGTAGAATACAACGTTTGGTATGTGTGATTGTGTATGTCGCATCAGCTTTTAGCTGAGACAAAACAATCTCAACTCAACTATCTCAACAATCACAACTAAAAGTTGAAATATAACAATCACTCAAAATGAGTTATAGTTTCTGTCACATCGCAGAAACAATCCATGTATTAATTCTGCTAAAAAAATAAAAAAAAAATACATTGTAAACAATACATGCATAATGACAATCTCAATAAAATTATCGCAACTTCCAAACGACCCCTACATAAATTCAAGCGAGTTACTTATGCTTAGGCTGGAAAAACTACTAACTAGCGAAATGAAAATTAAAAGCTAAAACTACCGAGTATCATTTGGGCCCCAAGCCTGTAATGCATTAACTCCATTGGCCCAATTCCTCAATCCACTTAGCATTAAACGATGGGCCCAATATCAATTTTCTTCCAATTAAACGACGGTGTCGTTTTGAAGATCCTACCTTTCCTTCCAATTCTCAGAAACAGCCATCTCTTCCCTCCCTCCCCTCCCCTGCCTATCCCGCCGGCCGAGAGAGGAAGGATTCCGATTCAACACCTCGTGATCTCCATTCCCAAAAACCCAATCTCGCACTCTCTTCTGTTCCCCTTTCTCTAACCAACAAGAAAGATCAAGAAAGATGTCTGAGTCCAGACCTCAGCAGCCAATTGCCAGCCAGAAGCCGGGATCACAGCCAGTGAACAATACCAGTCTTTCGCCGGCGAATTTCGCCACCGTGCCGTCAGAGGTGAATTCAAGCGATTCAGACGCAACCGTCTTTGCCAACACTCCCGCCGTTGCCGACACTCCCGCCGTTTCCAACACTCCCGCCGGCGAATCTTCCACGTCTTCCGCCGCCGGTCCAGCCGGCGAATCTTCCACGTCTTCCGCCGCCGGTCCAGCAAGGAAAGTTGAGAGGTACACTTTACTCAGGTGGCAACCGCCTGCCCTGTACCCAAGAATCGTCGGCAAGATGTCCTGCTCTCTACAAAGGCGGCCACAGCAGAGTACCCCGCCAACGCGCCGGCACCAGAATCCTCCTTCCGCCGCGTCGAGCCAATCCAATCGTCCGAGCGCCGCCGGTCCAGCCGGCGAATCTTCCACGTCTTCCGCCGCCGGTCCAGCAAGGAAAGTTGAGAGGTACACTTTACCCAGGTGGCAACCGCCTGCCCTGTACCCAAGAATCGTCGGCAAGATGTCCTGCTCTCTACCAAGGCGGCCACAGCAGAGTACCCCGCCAACGCGCCGGCACCAGAACCCTCCTTCCGCCGCGTCGAGCCAATCCAATCGTCCGAGCGCCGCCGCTGTGGACGGACCGATTTCTGGGTCGGGGAATATTCCACTGCAGAATTCCGTCGCCCCGACCAACAGGAGTAAACTGCAAAGATACAAATTACCCCCGTTGCACCCGCGGCAGCCACCACTCCCACCGGCGAACCTCCGCCGGCCGCCGGCCCATCGCAACCGCCCCAAACACCAGTTGCAACTTATCGTTCATGGGTAAGCTTTCTGCCCAATTTCCCCCTCTCTGCCCAATCTTTCTGCACGATTTGATGCTCGTGAGGACTGCCACTGCCAAAACCCTAGTGCATTGAATATTGATTTCTCATTAGGTCAGAAACTAGGGGCATTTGTATCTTATCGAAGTTTTGTTTGCAGTTGAAGGATGGCAACTTGCCCAAACGTGCTAAATATTCGCCCGCCCTTGCAAATGAGGATAGACTGGTCATCGGTTGTGATGGCATTCCACAGCTTAGAGGTGAGAGAACACAAAGCAGTAGAATCTAGTGAATATGTACCACAGATTGGGGGTTAAGTAGAGGATTTTATTTAAACATTGGTCACAACCATAATTACGAATTGTACCTTCATTCTGCTGCATACAGGTACTCTCAAAGATCATGCTAGAACTGATGATGTTGCTGGAACTGGATCGAGCATGACGGGCAGCACAGAAGGACCCTCACTGGCAGTGGAAGGGCAGCACAATGCTGGGGCTGAGACAACAAAGATGACCAAGGATTTACCGAGTCTTCTGGATTCTGTTGGAGAGGAAGAACACCCAAGGGAGGGGGAGCAGCATGCTGGCGCAGGGTTGGTAAACATGGATATCTCCCTGGAAGTGGAAGTGCAGCAACATGCTGGGGCCGAGACAACGAATACAACCAAGGATTTACCGAGTCTTCTGGATTCTATTAGAGAGGAAGAACCCCCACTGGAGGGGCAGCAGCATGCTGGCGCGGAGTTGGTAGACATGGATATCTCCCTGGAAGTGAAAGTGCAGCAACATGCTGGGGCCGAGACAACGAATACAACCAAGGATTTACTGAGTCTTCTGGATTCTGTTAGAGAGGAAGAACCCTCTCTGGAGGGGCAGCAGCGTGCTGGCGCGGAGTTGGTAGACATGGATCTCTCACCGGAAGAGGAAGGGCAGCAACATGCTGGGGCCGAGACAACGAAGACAACCAAGGATTTACTGAGTCTTCTGGATTCTGTTAGAGAGGAAGAACCCCCACTGGAGGGGCAGCAGCATGCTGGCGCGGAGTTGGTAGACACGGATCTCCATCTTTAACCTTTGAAGAGGAAACAGTAAGGGAGAAATAGTAGAAGCATGTTTGTTACTGAGTGTGAATGTTGTCAATTTTTTAGGCACCTGTTGATGACTGGGTATATAGTAGAGTTTCTGCACAGTTAGGCATCTCAGCATCCGAAGGCTGATCTCCCAACCCAACCTATACCAAAAGGAGTTTGTAAACAGAACAAAATACTCTAGCAATATTAGAAACAAAGACAAGACATGTATCAATCAGTGTGTTTTTCAATATGTTCAAGTGGGTTCTTGTGACTCTCATCTTCGTTACTGGTGCATTCCTACCCATCTTCATTAGTGTAGACAAAAAAGAGTAAGTTGCACAAGCAGAGGTAAAAACCAGTCATTGAGGGAGTCATTGGTCCAATTACTGCGGGAGTTGATGGTTCCCAGCTCTCAGTTGGCAGCTCCGGGCTCAGCGGCTGCATCTTCTTCCATTGCACATAACTCGGAAAATTCCTCGTACCTTGGCATTAGAGTAGGCCAACAAGAGACTCTAGAGTGGAAGCAAGCCCAACGAGGTGCATATACTGTTAGTTCTGAATAAAACTCCAGGTCTCCCTTCCTCAAATTGCAGGACAAGATAGCACCGTCACTAGAAACGCAAGGGAAATGATGAAAGAAAACAATTTCCGGATTCTCAGGATGAAGATAACAATAATAGATGCTGCCAAGTTCATACTTGCACCTTGATGTCCTGAACAACCCTGTTTTTTCCAATGCAGCTAGGAAGGGAGCATCCTCAACATCAAGGTTGTGGTTAGCCCCTGATGTCTTCAGCATCCCTTCACATTGTTTCATCCAATCTTTATCGTCTTCTCCCCGTGTCCAAACAAGTGGATGATTGCAGCTTGATGACTTCAAAACCCCTTCACATACTTTCCTCCAAGACTGTCCGCCTTGTTCCATTCTCCAAACCTTGGAGGCAATCCTTGAACAACCAGGTGTAGGTTTCTCTTCGAATACGAATGCGTGCAAAGCACCTTGCGAGACTGAAATATCCCACCAAGGATTCGCGTCGTCGTGGAGAGGGGAAGCATCATACGCAGGAGGCATATCCAGGCTGAAAGGATTCAACACAGCGAGCCTCGGATTAAACCGGCCAGCTTCTACCTCTCGGGTCTCGATATAACTCCAGAACAACTCCCCGTTGCAAGAAACTACATTCCTGCAATGCAATTTGAGATGGCCTTCAAGAACAAGAGCCTCCTTGGTCCATTCTCCATACTCGGAACAGAAAACGTCTAGCTTTAAGGCCTTCCCATGGTTATAGAGACACACCACCCGGAATCGATACTCGGAGTAAACGTGTACCTGGCCATCCCCTAGATCGAGATTGCTAGAAATACTGGGTTCACAGACTAACCTTGCAGCCAATTCCGAAGTCCCATCTGGCCACAGAGGCTCCAAAGGAAGGGGCATCCATTGCTTCGTGAAAGGATTGCAGATGATGTACATTCTGCAAATTGTGGTGATGTGCTCCTCCCTCAGAGGGAATCCGCACAGAATCAAGTCGCCGCAGGAATCCAAAGCTACTAAACGCAAGCCAGGAGGCGTGGGCACAAAGCTCCCGATGATGGATTGTGGGTCGTCGGAGGGAAGGAGCAAGGGTGGTTGCTGTTCGCTGATGCTCTGGTGGAGGGAAACAAACCGGCGATTGAAGCCGGGATCGGAGATTAGAGACCTCCACAACTTGCAGACGGATTTGCTCCGGCAGGCGTACCTTGGGTTTGGGAGGCGAATCAGAACCTCTAAGAGGAGATCGTCCCCGAGCTTGCTGATTAAGGGAGAACGGGTCCGCCGCTGCTTGCTGAGTGGCTCATAATCCGAATTGCAGGTCTCGGTCGCCATGCCTGACCGAAGAAGATAACACCGGCCGGAGGAGGAAAAGATACAATGGTTGTAGCCGCCGCCGCCGACGAGCTTGGGAGGTAAAATCGAAGAAGCCAACGAAGACATTTAAAACCACTGAACCCTTCTCCTGGTCGGATTAATCTTCCACCATTTTTCTATAAAAATAAAATAAAATAAAAATAAACACCACCAAATATTACTTCCATTTATTTTTTTTTAGTTCATCCGAAAACTCCAGATGGGCTTTGTGGTTCTTGGACTGGGCCAGTGTTTGATCAAAGATAGCAACGAATAGGCTGATCGCGACATAAAATTCATACGAGAAACTACATCGATTAGAGTGATCTTTCGAATTTCAAATTAAAAGCAAGAAATATAACATTGTAATCTGAATCTATCAAGATAGTAATAGAGTTATCACATAAAATCTCTTTCCCTCAAAAGTTCCATTCCATGTATATAAAAATAAATAGAAAAAGTGTTTTATTGCGTGGATTATAAAAAGAAAGTACAAAACCTTGGCCCAAATAAAGGTTGACGGGGACAACCTAGTTAAACTACTCATAAGGTAAGTTGTGAGTATATACTCACAGAGACAGAGAAAGGGGGTCCAGAAATTAAAAAAAAAGATTGACTCATTCTCACTATCCAGTTACATAGAAAAGGAGGCCCACAAATTACAAAAAAAATCATATGTGAGTCTTCTCCTCTCTTTCCATCACTTCGTCAGAATAAAACATCCACACAAAACAAATATCCAACCACCCAGAATAATATCCGTTCACCATAACAAATATCCTCTAAGACCAATATCTAGTCAGCCCATAATTAATATCCTCATCATAGAGACTAATACCCACCTCTCACACAGACTAATATCTGACAATCGCAGACAAATACCCACGACGAACATATTAATATCTGACCATCGCATACAAATACCCACGATGAACATATTAATATCTGACCATCGCAGACTAATACCAACTACACATATCCGAACCACCTAAACTAATCTCCATTCATTGCAAACAAATATTATTGTTTCATGGGCCGAAGGCCCATGGGCCTTCGGCGGGCAGCCCTAACTAAGGTTGCAAGCCTTATGCGTTAGGATTTGATAGTGTGTTTAGTTTTGATGAAGACACAATATCCATTACTTCGCAAACTAATATCCATCGCATGAACATCATTATATCCTATCATCACATACTAATATCAGTACATAAAAAAAATCTATCACTGACCAATATCCATTAGAAAAAGAAATAAGAGAGAGAAAGAGAGTTAGAGAGTTGTGATTGGGAATTTAGTGGGCCATCACTTCTCCTTTTTGTTTACCCTTGTTGCTGTGAGTAGATACTCACAGCTTAGCTTGTGAGTAGTTTAACTTTTTCGTGACGGGGATGTATCCTTTCATAAAAACCAAACCGTTATTTTGAGAGCCAACAATCTTCCCAATGAGCCTGGCCCACGTAAGCGGCGCTTTCAAGAGCCCAACGATCATTGTTAAGTGTTAACTGTTACTCATCCGAACCCACGGGTACCCACCCGATCCAACCCGGTCAATGTGGGTAAAACCCGTGTTGACGGGTTTTGGGGTGGGTTTGGGTTTAAACCTGTTTACTATTCACCGGGTTGGGTTGGGTTTAGGTAAACCCGCCCCATGGGTACCCGCCCACACCCATATAATTAATTTTTTCGGTATATTTAATATTCTAAACAACTAATCTTCTTTATGTTTGTGGAGACATGTCTAATTTTTTCTTTCTAATTGTGTAGAATGAAGTTGATATTATCAAGTAGAGAGTGAAGAAGTTTAATTGAGGAAAAAGATTTCAATTAATCACGTTTTTATGGATAATTTGTGATTTGCTTCAATTTTCTAGATATTCGTGTTGAACAATTTGTATGGTTAATTTGTGATTTGCTTGACTTTTCTAGAATGGTTTTTTATAGATGAATAATTTGTATTGAGAGATTGATATTTGACTTTTATTTTTATAGGAACTTGTTATTGTAAATTTTTTACGACAAAAATCCATGGGTACCCATGAACCCGCGGATACCCAACGGGTTGGGTTGGGTTTGAGTTTTTCAAACCCAGTGGGTTTTACCCCGGGTTTTTTTCACGAATAAACCCATAGGTTTGGGTTTGGGTTTGACAACACCCGACCCAACCCGACCTATTGCCATCCCTACCCATCACTTCACATGGTAGGACAACTTTGAATATGTACACGAAACTCGTTATTGATCCAACTCGACTTCATTGGTCGAAAACTTAACATAATCGAATGATTTACTACTTTTTGACGACTATTTTATGTATAAAACAATATTTGTTATAAGAGAACGACAAAAAATTCAATCGCGACATAAAATTCATACGAGAAACCACATTGATTAGGCTGATGGTTCGAATTTCAAATTAAAAGCAAGAAATACAACATTGTAATATGAATCTATCAAGATAGTAATAGAGTTATCACGTAAAATCTCTTTCCCTCAAAAGTTCCATTCCATGTATATAAAAATAAATAGAAAGAGTGTTTTATTGCATGGATTATAAAAAGAAAGTACAAAACCTTGGCCCAAATAAAGGTTGACGGGGGATGTATCCTGGAAAAACAAAGTAATACACGAACAGGAGCGTCAACTCGGGTGTCAAAACGTACTTTTCCCCGGATGATGAAACAAGAAGGGGCCAACAAAATATGAAAGTTTATGATTTCATCCTAAATTTTTACATTTATAACAATCAAGTCACCTAGGTCATCCATTAAATTATAGAATTGCAAGTTTATGGCCCGTTCACTTGCCAATCAAGTGGATTAGCACACGAGATTCGTGTAAATCACAGTATGATAGGACTCGTGCAAGTTTGCTTGAATCGGTCATTCATGACGAATTGTGTTTCCTGAAAGAATTATTATTGTTGTTGTTCAAATTAGTGTAATGGAGTGTAGATGAATCGTGCAGTCCTATCGTACAGGGAAGAGACATATGTCTTGTATGGTGGAGTTTGGCAAAGTAAAGGAAAAAATTAGATTGTTTCGAGTATTTAAGAATGGTTACGCACAATCCATTTGTGGCTGATTCGGTCTCGAGTATTTTCTTTCGATGTGGCTAGTTAAAAACAAAAAACTTCCAATTTTCGTAGTTGCATGAGGTAAATGCGATATGAGTTCCCGATAAGATATTTTCCATAATTTTATCTCGTTAATTTATAAGGATTCGTTATTAGGAGTTGCTTCTAACTTAGAAGGAAGAGACCTGTTTGAAAAAGAATTAGGGCCGCATTTTTTTTTTTCAAATGTACATGACCTAATATATTTGAGCTAATTCCCGCGCTTATAGGGAACGTAATTGAGCGGCCGGCTATCTTGCTAACTCTGATCATTCCTTTCATCTTGGTTATGATTAGTTGATTTACTAACAATGATCAACCCTTCAAGATTGAATACACTATGTTTTAATAGGATTTATTTATTACAAGGGATAATAATAGATGGATCTGAGAGGACACAATATAAATTTGTAGGGACTAAGTACAATCCGTTGAGAAAAGAAGGAGGAAATGTGAACTTTGTCCAGATAAAACGAACAATATATATATTCTCGCTTTCGCCTTCAGAAGTTCCAACGCCGACGAAACAAAATTTCCGGCTCTTCCCAAATTCTTCCGTCTCTTTCCCCCCCGGTCTCGGGCTTCCTTTCTCATACTAGTTTCTCGCCTGAAATCCGTATATATTTTCCGGCTCTGAACTCAATTCAACTGAATTCTGGCCTCCAAATTTCATTGCAACTTGCTTTGCTCGTCGTCCTCCCATCGACGGTGGCGGCGGCGGGGTTCTGAATTGGCGGGAATTCGAACCGCAGACTGATTCCGCGTCAACTAGATTTCGAGCCGAGCTTCAGGGCGGCGTTCCTTTCTGGGTTTCTCAGGAGAGGCGAAGGTGGTGGCTTTCGGGGAGGTTTTGTCGTTTTTCTTCGCGGTCTGTCAATGGCGAATCCTTCCGGTACGCATCTGCAACATCAAGACGCTACGAATGCAAACAGCAACGCTCCTTCTTCTGCGCTCGACGAAGCCAATCCGGCCAACGGAAATCCGGTGAACCCGACTACGGCTTCCAAGTTGAAGCACAACCCCGGGGTCTCCAACGACTGGGCGCCGGACGAGCAGTCAATACTCGAGGATGGCCTAGCTAAGTAAGTTTCCGCTCTCAGAATCAACGGAATTCATGTGTTGAATGAGTAGAAATGTGTCGATTCATTATTGAATTTGGTCATAGCCTGCTTGAACTAACCGAATTTGGTATGTTTGTCCTGTTTCCGAACCATAGGAGATAAAAGGAGTTTTGATTCTAAGATTTTGGTTCTGTGAAATTCTCTGGAAGTAGAGCAAGTTTATGAGAAACGGTGGACGGAATTGAGCAATTCTTGCATGTCAGATTGAATTTTCATAGATGTGTACTGTGTTGTTGATATTTTTGCTCAGTGGGTCGTCCAAATTTTGGATCTTTATTGGAGTAGAAAGCCTTTATGTTTAGTTGATTACTTGATTTGGTGGACTATTTGTAGTTGTGATTCTCGATCTGCATTCATTCTGCTTCTTCAATAACCATTTGTGGTTTGGGTGTTGGTACAGATATTCATCATCGTCGAACATAATCCGATATGCAAAGATAGCTGTGGAGCTGAAAGCTAAGACAGTCCGAGATGTTGCCCTGCGTTGCAGATGGATGACTGTACGATTCTTATTTTTCAATTTTGTTGCACAATTATGTGGACTCTCACTCTGTTTCATTGGACTTATATAACTTGCTATTTTGAGTGGATTAAACTCCATTTTTGGTTATATTAGGAAAGTTCTGTATTGAGTTCCATTAATGAGTCCCGTTTCATGCTTCATCTAATGCTGTGTGCTCTGTTTCCTGGCTACAGAGGAAGGAATCTGGCAAGAGAAGGAAAGATGACAATTTAGCACGAAAAGGCAAGGATAAGAAGGTACGGTTTCCTTTCAACTTTTTCCCTCTGTTTAAGGTGTAACACATCATTTGGAGTTCAATGAAAAGAGAAAAAGGGTGTCTGTCCCCAGCTTGTGGTTTTCTTTTTTGTTTCGGGGTGGGAAGGAGAATGAACACTGTGATGCTTGAGAATGTGAATTGTCATATGTACAAGACAACTATTTGGAAAACAGTTTCATTCTAGCAATGTTAAGATTGTTTGATATGTTCTATTGGAAACTAATATTTCCTTCTCTTTAGAGAGATGTTAGGCTCAATTATTTTTCAAATGCATTCACAAAGCTATGATGTCTATCTGGTAGCACTGGTGGATTCTGAGGTCGTAAGGTGATTACTGTTTCTTCCATCAATAGATGCTCATGAATTGTTCAAATCTTTTGTTTTTACAGGAAAAACTTACTGATGCTCCAACAAAGCCATCTTCTTCTCGCGCTAATGCTCCTGCGTATACAAATACTGTGGTTCCTATCGACAGTGACGATGGCATTTCTTTTAAAAGTGAGGTCCCAGCTCACCAAATCCTTGTTTTTTGCTTCCTTTTAAATTAAAATGGTGTTTCATGTGTTGTTCTCTTCTAGTTTACACATAGCAATTGCCTCTTTAAGCTTGTATGATTTTACACTGCAATTGCTTTTTTAAGCTCGTATTGCTTTTTACTATGGAATGATAAAGCTTCATTTTGCTTCTTCCAGCTATCGGTGGAGTCACGGGGGAGCTCCTTGAGCAAAATGCTTTGGCGTTGAGTCAGATTACTTCTAATCTTTCAACAATGCAGGTGACTACTTTTGATGGATGTTTAATTGCTGTCACATCATTACTGTTATGAATTTAGTTTCATTCGGCTATGTTCAAATGGGCATAAGGAAATTGTCTGTCATGTGCAATTATGTGCAACTGAATATTTCCTCCGATCCCAGAGGTTTTCTGGATATGTTTCATAAATGGGCTAGCTACTGAGATGCATCATTTACATGGATTTGATTCCACGTTAAGCATGCGATGCTTCACCTAGATCCATGTCCCCGTTTTTAGCAGCATATTGTCTGGGTAGCTATTACTCAGGAGATTCTAATGCTAGTCAACTAGTGCTGAACTACTTGTGCAACCAACCCAAGGAAGGTTTTCTATCTTATTTAGGCAATATGACTTTCCTTCTGTGGATTGAATTATTTGATCATTCCCATTAGTCATCAGCTACATAGGCTGCAGACTTTTTTCATACTATTGGTTGTTCTTTGGCTTGCTTTGAGTTTGTATTGGGCTGAGCAGTTAATGCTTTATGGGCATAGGATCACGTCCAGATTCATTACTTCCATCATCAATGCTGGTTCATGACTGTTAGTTTGACGCCAATTTCCTTTTTCTTCTCCAGATACAAGAAAATGTCAACCTACTTTGCCGGACTCGTGACAACATCCTCCAAATTATGAACAAGTACACTTCAGGACTTTTCACTTCTTTTATGATGCTGCAATATATCTTGTTACTCGGTGCAAGTTGCTCCTTCGTCTTTGTTATTGCCTTGCTGCTTTCGTGTGACCCAGATGTGTTGGTCTTTGTGAACACGTCGTGCCTATTTAATGCCTCTTTATGCAATTTTACATGGACTTTTGCTTTGTGACGTGCTGCAAATCATTTCCTTCTTGTGCAAGCCTGAGCCTTGGCTAAAATGAGAATAAATTCGAAACATACTAGTACCCACCTTCACGAGCTAGGGTCTTCTTGTTGGTTCTTTGTGTAATCTTGGTGCGAGAGTGTCTAAACGGATGGGAACCTGTCGAATTGACTTCACCTATCTGTTCCCCTGATTACATTTCCATAGTTTATGATATAGGCATCTACTGCATAGTGGAAAAACTTCGTTGGAAGATCCTGACTCTCACTCGCGTTCTATTGCAGCTTGAATGATGCCCCGGAGGTGATGAAGCAGATGCCACCCCTTCCAGTAAAGATGAACGAAGAGCTGGCCAACACCATCCTTCCCCGCCCAAACATCCCATGAAATAGATACCCAAGGCGAGATTCAGCAGCGGCGAAATCTTCTCAGCACCCCAAATCCATACTTGAGCCTCTTTAGTAGTCACAGTTAAAATCGTTTTTGTTAATGGTGGTCAACACCTAGTCCTAGTTTGGTTGGTTGGTTTTCTTTTAAAAGCAGTCCTTGGTAGGAAGAAGAAGAAGTTTACTCAGAATTTTACCTTTTCTTTTCTTGGGTTTGTAGGCAATTAGGCTTACAGACAATAAGCAAAATATGTGATCTTGTTGTTAATCTTGTCTCTTTACCCTCTCTTTACTTCTTGTCATTGAAGGGCTAGTGCTTAGTAACTTAGCATTTCTTCTTTGCTTATTTCAAGTAGCCCTTGGAAAGAAGAGAAGAAAGGGTTGTTTTATTCAATTGTTTTTATCTGGATAATGAATTTATTATGAACCTTATGCAGCTATAGTAACCATCTCTTTTGGTCCAATTAGGAATCTATTGGATTCAGTTCATACATCTTGGCACCAAATTTGTTGTTGAATTTCAAAAGTCCACTTAAAATTGGAAAAAGGTGGGCTGCTTACCACCAAAGCAAAATCCAGACTTTCTCATTAGCAAAAGGACCTTTCAAACCCACTTGGCTACAAGCCTACAACCTTCCTTGAAGTACAAATACTTATACATAATCAAAATTAGTAGTTTATTTTATCTAAGAAAACACCACACATGTTGCTAAATTTATTGGCATAGATGATTTTATCTCGTCCAGAATCTAGTCGAATCGTGAGTCGAGCAAATCCATAGGTAAAAGAAAAAACGAGGCCTCACGATGAGAATTTCTTGTAGCCTTGTATGAGTTCAAATTTGATTTGTTTTTCCTTCAAAAAACCCATGAATCGAAATCAATCCGACCCAAATATCGACTCAATTAACCAAAATGCTGCCTAACCACTGTTCTCATGTTGAAAACAAAAGGGTCCTGAATTGGACTGGAACTTTATAACGTATGTTTCGTATTCTTCTACTTAGGAGGAGGGCTTTGAATAATTCATCATGACCACCAAAAAAAGTACTCATAAAATCTAGGGAGACACACGCTGTCGTGAATTGACCGGTAAAAAACGAATTTTGGTTGCAAAAAGTCGGCACATTACATTACCAATACTTTACAAAACGACCCATGATGAGATTGTGTCCACATCGGAAAAGGTTTTCCATATCCGTATCTGTATAGGAAAAGTCTCTCTTTTGTGCTTTGCTTGCATGTTTCTCTCTATATATTAATGTAACGCAGAAGCCCAAATGAGAGAATCTTAATCTTCTTCGAAAACAAGCAAAATAACAGAGCATATCCAGAAGCCTGTTTCCCCTGCCAGCAGAGAGATTGCATCATTTCATTTACATCTACTTTTGCTGCAAAATCCTTCGACGATATCGACGCGTGCTCGCGTCTTTCGATCGTGCTTTAATTATGTAAGTGTCGCGCGCGAAACTCTTATCTATCTATCTATCTTCCTCCTCTCTTCTCTTGACGATCTCATCAGTTCATTCGTGTGCCAGCGACGAGATTTTTCATGTTCTTGACGTTGTTTCGTGTTCTCTCGTTGTGGTTTTACAGGTTCAAGAAGAAGGCATCATCATCAGTTGGCAAAAACTTGGCTGTGTTAGGCGTAATAGTCATCTTAGCAGCCTCCTCCTTGGACTTTGCTGCAGCGCAGCCAGCAGCCGTTTCCAACAATGAAGGTTTGACTGGTTTTCTTTAGCGACGAAAATTTGGTGGCTAAAAACTCTGCAAATCACATATATATAGCGTATTTTGAGCTGTTACAACTTACAAATATTGCGTATTAACGTACCAAATTATGTACACAGGAAATGCTAAGTGGAGTAGCAACGATGATGGCACGGTGAGGATAGACCCTCTGGACAAGTTCAAGAAATACAGGGGAGGGTTCGACATTACTAGCAAGAACTACTGGAGTGTGAGTAAATCCAAACATTGTATTCCGACGTGCGATTCAATTTCTCGCATTTCGTATAATCCGCGATTAATAATTTGCATCTTTTTCTCTATGTCCAGTCGACTGCATTTACAGGCATATACGGCTACGCCATTGCCGCACTCTGCCTCTTGGCTGGAATCTGCTATGGAGTTTTCAAGCTTGTTGCTCTTTGCTGCAAAAATCGGAGTAGGAAGTCGAAAGAAGGCATCAAATCGTCACCGTCTAACAACGAAAATTATGTGATCTACAGACGCTTAGTTATCGTTGTCCTCCTCACCCTTGTGGCCATGTAAGTAAATGATAAAATGTCGTCGTAATTTTCAATTGTCTAAATACATCGTTTGAAATTTATTCTGACCGTAACCGAAATTTCGCAGAGTGGTTGCAAGTGGAGTCGCACTAGGAGGTAGCGCGAACTTCCACAACAGGGCCAAGAAGGCAGTGGACATCATCATCCACACTGCAAACAATGCCTCGGGGACCATCTACGATGTCACGTCGGCGATGACCGGGATTGCTCGTACTCTGAAATCCTCCGCCGAGATCTCGAACCGATTCCCGACGGCCAGGGCCGCGTCGAAATTCCTGAGCTACGTGTCGCGGAGGATGGATCGCGAGGCGGCCAACATTGAGAAGGAAGCCAGGGACAATAGGCGACTGATCGATGTAGCCGTCACTATTGTGTACGTTATAAGCGTCGTCGCTATTTCTCTCAATTTGGCCGTCGCCATTGCTATTTCAGGTATGTTTTTAACTTGAATTTAACTCGTTACTATTTCGTTTTAATCACCACAAAATTGTTACTGAAGGTCTTTTTTTGATGATATTGATGCAGCTTTTGGGGTACTGAGGATTCGGAAAGCAATTAGCTGGTAATTAACTTTAATGCATCTTTACTTTCTGCTAAATTAGTGTTCATTATTAGTCATAATTAACTATATAATTATTATAACTCATTACTAAAGATTCTGTATTTTCCATTGTCGCAGGCTTCTTCCATTATTTTGGTCGCTAATAGTCCTCTGCTGGTTGCTATTTGGCATCTATTTCTTCTTACACAAGTAAGCCACATTCTACTTGATCGATTTTCCATCTCAGTATCAAGCACATCAACTAAACCGTTAAACATAGATTATTATGTTTTTTAGCCATGATATTAACATATTTGTCTCTCATTTTCACTAGTTTCGCAAATGACACGTGTCGAGCCCTCGAGACGTTCGACCATAACCCTCAGAACAGCAGCCTGAGCTCGCTCGTGCCGTGTGACGACCTAGCGGCAGCGAGACCAACTCTGAGACGGGTCAGAGAGGGGATTTACGACCTCGTCTCCCAACTGAACGTCGTCGCCGCCAACGTGACGGCGGCGTACGGAGTGCCGGCTAACTACATTCAAGTTTGCAACCCTTTCTCGCCGCCGCCGAACTACCATTACCAGCCCCTCGATGAGTTCACTTGCCCTCCTCCAGCATTTCCCATCGGCGACATCCCAAAGGTACAAACACATACGTTCGTTTTCCCCTCATTATATTACTATAATCCGCGTTTGTAAAATTATACCGGTAGTCCGACCAGAAAAATTAGTATATCAAAGTCTAAATGGATAGATGATTTTTAGCGATATAAAACCGTTGAAACACAACTAAGCTACAATTCAGTATAAAATACTCTACCACAGACTTTTTCGGTATAACCTCTTGTACGATTTTACGATGTTTGAACCTATGGTATACTAAACAATTAATGCTTGACCGTGTTTCTACAGGTAGTGAAATTGGTGACATGCTCAGACGACGGAACATGTGGGCACCAGCAGTTCGTATCCGCCGCCGATTACAGGCTGGTGGAGGGCTACGCCAGTTCGATCCAGAGCCTCGTCGACGCCTTCCCGGAGATGCAGAGCCTGGTGGAATGCGACTCCGTCAAAGCATCGCTGTCTCAAATTGTTCACCGCCACTGCCAGCCGTTGAAGAAGAATGCGAAGATGGCTTGGGCGTCATTGGTTCCCCTCTCTGTTCTCGACATGGCTCTTCTCGTTTTGGTACTGGTGATACAGAGGATGGCATCTTTAAGGACGAGCGGTTCCGTTGGTACCGTCGCTAAAGATGATGCGCCGCCGGCGCCTCTGCCTCGCCGTTCTTCGTCGTTGGAGCTAGCCGGCTCCGGCGGCCACCGTGATCAGTTGGTTTGAGGTTTTTAGTGAAGATACTTCATTCTTTATTTGTTTGTAATTGTAAATATTCCCACATCTTTCATTTTATTTTGGTTAACTATTATATTTTACATAGTGGTATAGAGTGATAGGTAATATATTTTTTTTTAAAGAAGGATTCATTTTATTCATTGAATCGATATGATGTACAAAATTAGATATGTAGTTATTGGAAAGTAGAAATAATATTTATGATAAGGACTCAATCAAGGGGAAGAGAAACATTCATAGTTAAGTATGTAATTATATAGTTTTTTTGTTTGATGTATGTCGATGAATGAAATTTCGATTTTGGTCGATTGTTTAGAGATAACAGAATGTGAAAGATACGGAGTTTTGGAGTATTATACTAGATATTTTTGAAATGGATATATTACGTCACAGGTGACATAATCCGCTTATGAAAAGTCAAATCTTATCCACCACATACTCAATAATTAGAGTTAACTATACATTTTGATGGTGAAATGCATTTTAAATACGACGAAAAGACACAATGCTTTGTGTGTTTGCTTTTGATTTTAAATTCACTAGCGAGTGTGGGATGGTACCAAATGGTCGAACTTGAGACCAAACTCTTAAAGTGTAGACAAGTAGCATGAGGAATCTATCATCAAAACGACAATAAACATTGAGAAATTCGATTTTAATGTAACTACTAAATACTGAAATTGTATACTACTAAGTATATTTTTTTAAGAAGGATATGAATATAGAAAAATAATTTAATATTTTTTAATTGGATTCAAACTTATCTTTGTCATTTTAAATGTTCTATAAACATGTTCTTAAATGAAAAATAAACTAAATTAATTTTAATGAAGGCAAATACAAAATTTAGTTGCATATGACCAAAGTCAACAAATTGTCTAACAAAAAAAAAAAAAAAAAGTCGCTGGGGCGCAGCCCGTCAGGAGAGACAGATGGCGCCAAAGCTGTTAAAACCCAAACTGCCGGACTCTCGTCGCCATTGACGCTTTCTTCACTCACTCTACAGTCCACACAGCAAACTGTTCTGTATCTTCCCTCCGATGAGCACACGCAACGCTGCGATAAAGACGGACGGATAGAGACGGCTTCTGGCTTCGGCCGTCGTTCCCGCTTCATCTCGTCGTCATCAATTTACCATGAATAGCCTCGCCTCATTTCGCCCCAAATCGAGAATCGGTACTACCTCTTCCAGCAGCTCCTCCTTCTACGCTCGTCTACTTGGCAGCTCAATCGACGCATCTCGCACTCGTTCGCCCGCCAATGCGTCCGATTCCTTGGCTGTCCTTTCTCGCTGTTCGTCCTTGGTTCCAGCGCGAACCCTAACGGGATCTTCTCTGTTCGGGTTCCGCAATGGGAGCTCGGCCAGTCTGAGTAATTTGACGGGATGCGGAGGGAACCAGGGCGTTGCCAGGAGATTCTGCAGTGATGCGGCGGCGGCGGAGAGGGAGTCGATGGAGTATGATGTTGTGATCGTTGGGGCTGGGCCTGCTGGATTGTCGGCGGCGATAAGGTTAAAGCAGTTATGCGGCGAGAAGGGGGTGGATTTGTCTGTTTGTATTGTGGAGAAGGGGGCCGAAGTAGGTATGTTGCTATGCCACAAGTTCGCTTGCTGTGTGCTTGTTTGCTGGTGGTGAATTGAAGTTTGAATATCACTTTGCGCCATTTCTGATTTTTTCTTGGATTGGTGCGATTAGGTGCTCACATTATATCCGGGAATGTGTTTGAGCCTCGGGCACTGGATGAACTTCTTCCAGAATGGAAGAAAGAAGAGGTGATTTCCTCCACTCACTTCCCCGTTGATTTCATGAATTCGCTTCCCATTGATGTCCTTTGATTTTGATGCTATGAATCAGTGATTGGTGGTAACAAGTTCGTTCTATGATAGAAACTGAAGTTCATGAACTGTTATAATTTTTGTTGTTTTGTTGTGTAATGTCAAGCTGATTGGAGTAGATTCTAGCAGTTTTCTTTTTCGTTAATTTGTTGTGAATTAACAAGTTCAAGTTAAATGGGTTTCAGATTCTAGTAGTTTTATTTTGATCAGTGCATGGACTGTATTATGACCTTTGAAGTTCAATTAGACGGGCAAAAAGAACAAGCTGTTAGTACTGAGCAACCAATCAAGATTCAAGTGATATGTAAAATCTGTCGTGTGGATGTCCTCCTTACACTGAGGATCTGTTTCCTAAAACTTTGCAGTTGTCTTTTCTTTTGTTTAACTGCAGGCACCAATCTCTGTCTCAGTTTCTTCTGACAAGTTTTGGTTTCTCAAAAAGGATCGTGCATTTTCACTCCCAAGTCCATTTGATAACAAAAACAATTATGTCATAAGGTAATATGAATTCGCTTGCTGTTCTTGTACTGAGACATTCCATATATTACTTTTGAACACTCCTGCTTTCCTCCTCTCTATATTGGGAATAATTTTAGATGTTTGTCTGATAAATATGTGATATAAGTTGGCCCTGTTCACAATCACACTTGCTTTATTGAAATTTGACTATGGGTGCTACAGTATTATTAGTAGCCAGCAACATGGTAGTACTCGGTATCACCTTGTCTTGCTTTCTTTTGTTTTTTGTTTCTGCATCCCGTGTATATCAAAATCTGATTTTCCTCTGGCCCGATGGACCAAAAGAAAGAGGAAGGAGAGGGGGGGGGGGGTATGTAACACTAATTATCTTAAATAAGCGAGGGGAATTGTGGTAATTCTCGAAGCCAACTCATTACTGTAAGTCTTTGCACAGCTTGAGCCAATTAGTGCGTTGGTTGGGCTCGAAAGCCGAAGAATATGGTGTGGAGATATATCCAGGATTTGCTGCTAGTGAGGTAACTCAGTTGGCTTTTATATTTCAATACGTTCTTATTACCCAAAAAATTAAGTAAATCTTTTTGGTGTTTGTAGATACTCTGTGATGAGAATGGTAGTGTAATTGGAATTGGAACTAATGATAAATTGCAAAAAATGGATCTAAGAAGGAAAATTTCCAGCGTGGTGTTGCATTGAAAGGTGAGTCTCCTGGTTTCTCTGGAAACACAATGATTCAAGTATTTGCTTCGACTATAAGTTATAACTGTTGCCTAAGTAACAAAGGATTCCTCTTTCTGTAGTGGATTGATTTACTATCAATGTTGCTTTATGAGGCCATAAAACTTGCAGGTCGAGTAACGCTTTTTGCTGAAGGTTGCCGAGGATCATTGTCAGAGGTTTGCAAAAGTAACTTTGTGGCTTGGTTACTTTTTCTCATTAGGGTTAACCAATTTTTCAATTACACTAACTAATTGCATATAGTTTTCCTATTATCAGAAGATAATCAAGAAGTACAATTTGAGGGAAAAGCGGAATGCTCAACATCAGACATACGCGTTAGGAATCAAAGAGGTAATATACTTTCTAACGAGCCCGGTTTTCACTGTGTTTGATGTTTTAGAACTTTGTTTCTTTGCTTATCAATTTTGTTAGAAAGTACTTATAGGTTTGACATACTTCCAGATTGAACTGAATTATGTTGGTATTATTATGAAATAATCAAGACTGCAAAGTTCCCTATATCCACTCTTACCGATTATCTGTATTTCATCCATACAATCAGCCCTCACCCATCAAGTGCATTTTATATATTTTGACTCGTTGATGGATGTTTTCAGGTTTGGGAAATTGATGAGAGTAAGCATCAACCTGGTGCAGTTATTCACACTTTGGGTTGGCCGTTAGATCAGAAAACATATGGGGGTTCATTTCTGTACCACATGAGTGAAAGACAGGTAACTACAGTTCTTGCTGCTTTCTGTATCTTAACTTTATCCTTGAGTATATGGTTAGCTTTGATGTTTGAGATCATCATTATCCCACAAGGATACTCTTGTTGTGAAGGGAAACAAGAGTATCCCTAATGCAAATACTAGAGAGGGTAACCACCTGAACAAGTGCTAGTGAAGTTTTTCTTCAGTTTAATAAGGATTCAGAATAAAGTTTTTTGTTTGGATTAAGCAAGTAGTAGTTCAGTTCATTTCATTTTCGAGATGATGATTTGCAGCACTAGCTATAGTTTGTACAATAGACTTGTAAACTTGTAAGTTCATGTCTGGGGTAAATTCCATGCAGTGTTCCTACTCAGATTTTCTTCTATGTTGTATCATTTAGTTTGATGCCCTGCTTGCCTTTGCAAGTTGGAATGACATTTACCAGTGCCCTTTGTTTCATGGAGTTCTATACTCATGTCATTGCTTTCCCTGTTGAGCTTGCAGGTTGCTATATGTCTTGTGGTGGCTTTGAACTATAAGAATCCATATTTGAGTCCTTATGATGAATTTCAGGTAAAATGGGTGTGTTGGTCTTTCATACACTTTGGTTCATGGTTCTGATTCTTGTGGAGGCTTTCAACTATCAGTTCACATTCCTGGTCCATAGCTGAAAGAAAACATGATAGTACATGTAGAGGTGGCAATTAAGATCCAAATCCATGAATCCAATCCAATCCATCCACCAAATTATCCACCTAATCCAATCCATTTAAATCCAATCCATTTGATCCAAATCCAATTGGATTGGTGGATTCATGGATCAATCCATAGATCCAAATGGCAAATTACGATTTGGTACTATATTTTTTACATTTTACATTTTGGTACCTAAAATTTATATTTTTATACGGAAAATATCCTTGGAAAATTACATTTTGGTACCTAAAATTTTTCATTATGACATTTTAGTACCAAAACTTTTCAAAATTTACATTTTGGTCCAAGCCTTGGATGTCATTTGGATTCATGGATCAATCCACCAATCCATTTGATCCAATCCATGAATCCACCAATCCATTGGATCCAATCCATTTGATCCATGGATCCACCAATCCAATCCACGAATCCACGAATCCGATCCAATTGCCATCTCTAAGTACATGTATGCAGACTAGTGCATATTTGAACGTATAAGCTGGAAGAGCTTCTTAGTTGGTTTAAAACCTTTTCTAGCCATTGAGTTTCTCCTTTGATTCCACAGAACATCTATATATTTCCATCATATGTGGATCATAAGTATTTCAGGACTTAGTGAACTTTCCTTCTCTGTCTTTGTCTTAGAAACTGAAGCATCATCCTGCCATCAAGCCAATTCTTGAAGATGGAACTGTTGTTCAATATGGAGCTCGAACTTTAAATGAAGGTGGTATTCAGGTGAGTGTATGCTTTCTTGTGTAGAAATGCTATTCGTCTCCAAAAAGCTAGGTTGCATTTAAGAATAACATATTTGGAGAAATGTTTTATGTTAGAAATGTAAGGAGCATGTTCCACATAAATGAGACCGTAGTTTTAGAATTTCACACATGCCATATCACCTGCTTATGCATGTTTTACAAATATGATGTGATACTTAGATAAATTTCAGTCCATTCCTTATCCAGTTTTTCCTGGAGGAGCTATTATCGGGTGTTCGGCTGGCTTCTTAAATGTACCAAAAATAAAGGGAACACATACGGCAATGAAATCAGGTACTTGCTCCATTTCTTGATGATATGGCTTTGTTTTGCTCTCAGGGCTTCCTGCTGCATCCTCTTTTTCTATAAATGAGTATAAGGTTTCATAGTTGTACTTGGTTTTCCCTTTTGGTGAAGAACTTCCTGATTGTGCTTCTTTGAGTAGAATAAGAATAATTTCTTCACATAGAAACTCAAGCTCTTTACATAGTGCAAACTACAAACTATCAAATTGTGGTACTGTTTTTAACACATATCTTTTGTCTGTTTGTCTATCCTTGAACGGTGAAGGCCTTGGTTTTTCTACAATGCATGCATAAGAGTTCAAGAATTGGAAGAAAAAGAATCATAGAACGTTCCAACCCCAGAGAGCTGTCCATTAAAGCATTATGTTTCTGTAATTGGCTAATTGCCCAGGAATGCTTGCTGCAGAAGCTGCGTTTGGTACGCTTCTTGAAGGTTCGAACTTAGACTCCTATTGGACAACTTTGCAGAATTCTTGGGTATGGGAAGAGCTGCATAAAGCACGGAACTACCGACCTGTAAGTGAAAATTTCACCGCCGTCCTTTTCTTTTTGTTTTCATTACCTTATTACAGTTTCTTAGCAAATTCATATTTATTTAGTCGAATCATGTCTTCAGTCTTCTTATTTCATGAGCCAACTTATATGACTGTAGGCATTTGATCATGGGTTTATTCCTGGAATGGCCATCAGTGCAGTATAACAGTAAGAGTTTAGCCTCCATCAAATTTTCTTTCACTTGGATTCACAGTCACATTTTGATTAGTTTTCTGCCAAACAGTTACTTGTTTAGAGGGAAGTCACCATTTACACTTAAGCATGGGAAGCCTGATCATGAAGCTACAAATGTAAGTCAACATGTCTAAACAAGCTATTTATGTGTTAATCGTTGAATTTCAATTATACACTTATGTTAGTCCAATGAGGCCACATAGTAAAGTTAGGCCCAAATTCAAGTGTCTACACGTTGACTCCCAGGCTGCTGGCAGTGTGGTATTTAGCTATTAATAGTTCTGTAGTTTAAAACTATGAACAACCAGATTCTGGTTTTGCTATATCTCAATTTTCGTTTGCTGCCTTTACACCTTGTGAGACTTAGGTGAATAGACAACCAGTGACCAGTTCGCATTACAAGTGGATGATGATTAGCTCACCCTTCTGACTGCAGGTGGCAAGGTCTCATTCTCCAATCGAATATCCAAAGCCTGATGGAGTTCTGTCATTTGACGTACCCACCTCTCTCCACAGGTTTCTGAGCCTATCTCATAGAATGCTCAGATATTGATAGAAGTATCTGAAATTTCAATACGTTTGCACCAAAACAGAGTTGTTAAGGATGGCACATGATATCCACTGCAACCCTAGTTGGCATTTCATTAAATAGCAGCTCATTCTTCAGCGTCTGATGGTGGCTTACCACATTCTACCTGTAACTCTTTTGGATCTCTATTTTTATGCTGTTTTATTCCCCTTGTGCAGGAGCAACACAAATCATGATCATGATCAGCCGGCACATCTGAAACTGAGGGACCCTGAAATCCCTACCAAAGTGAACTTGCCGGAGTATGATGGACCAGAGTCACGATACTGTCCTGCTCGTGTGTACGAGTATGTGCACCTGTCATGACACGGTTTATGCATTTAGCTTTTCATTTCTATCTCTTAAGGGTAGAATGTATCTAACATAAGAGTTTTCCCCAAATCCCGGTGGGCGGGGTTGCAGGTACGTCCCAGAAGAGAGCGGCCAGTTGAAGTTACAGATAAATGCTCAGAATTGCCTACACTGCAAGGTACTTGTAAAAACCAATATCCTAGCAAGCCTATGATTTATCTTTTGAACAGTCCGTGTATACATAGAGAAACAAAGCTGATTGTCGACGATAGATAACTTTAAGATTCGTAATGATGAATGACAGTACTGCTTCTGATGAGTGTTCAAGAGATATATGGTGCTGGAAATGGAATAGAGCAATTGCATTAGAGAAACCTCTTCCGACGAGTCGCGAAACATCTGACGTTTGGTCTGATCTATTTTGCAGGCATGTGACATCAAGGACCCAAAGCAAAACATTGAGTGGACAGTCCCAGAAGGAGGCGGCGGCCCAGGCTACTCAGTTATGTAAGTTGTAGTAGTACTCTAAGTAGTGGTACTAAATTTACTGAAAACTCAAATAAAGAAGAGCCTCGCATCGTCGAACTTTGATTATTGTAACGAACTTGTTACTGAAGTTTGCAATAGATGTAATATAAGAGTAATTTCGCGAGGTCCTTTCGTCGGGATTGATCATGTCTGCTTGTGATTCATCAAGATGTTGGTTTTCGGTATTGTCAGTTTGAAGTTTGAACTGGATAAAGTGACGGATACGAGTTTAAATGTTCCGTACAACTGTTAGCTAATTACTCGTATCCGTACATTTTGTTAAAAATAAAAGTTTGGTGGATTGTTTTGTCTATGATCCTAAACTTTAGTGACCATTTATGTAATTGTTCCAAATAAGTGGGCGAGCCCAAAGAGAAAAAAGTTTGGCGGAGAACGATGTGCCCGGCAAAATAATCGCGCGGCACAAAGCCCACGAGCTTCGTCACCCAATTGAGCGCCTTCCCCTCGCTGTCCGCTTCGTGGAGTCGCCGCCGGCCTCTTCAAATGGAGCGGAGACTGTAGCTGTAGAAGGAGGACCCCGGTGGAGAGAGAGAGTAGTAGACGGCTGCGGCGGAGGTCGGGCGGCTTTGCAGAGAAGGCCACTGAAGTGGTTTTCACTAGATAGGAACGGTTTGAACGCCGATTCCTCGTGAAGGACTTTGCGAGTTTGTTTCAGTTCCGGCGGCTTAGTTTTTCGAGGGCTCTTGCTCTTCTCAGACCTTTGTAATGGCATGCGTAAGTGTTTCTTGATAGAAGAATACCGAGGGCTCTTGCTCTTCTCACTCCGTCAACCGTAACGGTAATGGCGATATGATTTTTTCGGACAGGGGGTTATCTAGCACAACAACGGTGTCTCAGTGAATAAGCTCTTCATTCACGAACGGTGAATCAACTCTCCTTGAGCTTTGCGGAGCTGCACAGACATTGGGAACTATGCAGCAGGTCTCCCGCAAGGTACTACTACTATTACTGTTGCTTCTCACAACCATCAACTGTATTCACAACGTGACCCGTTTCTAGGATTAATTTGCTTTGTAGAAAGAAATGGGATCGAATTCCTTGAGCTTTTTGTTGCTTAGTGTTTTCCGTGGTTCTGTGATGGTCTTTTAGGCTACTCGACTTGACTTGTTTTTGCCTCCCATTGTGATCCTGTTTCTTGAACTGAGATGGTGTCATGAGATAATAATTATTCCTATGCTGAAGTAGAGATGTGTGTGTTATAACTGTGGGCATTGTTTGCTAGATGCTAAAGCTGGGATTTGGGGTTCGGTTTCGTATTAGGAAGTTATGCTCTGTCCCAGGCATTGCCCGAGTTGATTATGAAGACTGCTCAATACCAGATGATGCTGCATCTTCGAAACCCGACATCCAGATTCCTCCAAACATGGTGGAAATCAACTCTCAGTTGAAGCTGCTGATCAAGACTAACCGTTTGACAGATGCTCGGGATATGTTCGACAAAATGCCTTGTAGAGATGAAATTTCATGGACCACAATTATATCTGGCTATGTGAGTGCCATGGACAGTGCCGAAGCATTGGCATTGTTTTCGAGGATGTGGGTTGAGCCGTTGCTCCAAATGGACCCCTTCGTAATAAGCCTTGCGCTGAAAGCTTGTGGGCGGAGGTCGAGTGTGCGTTTCGGCGAATTGTTACATGGATACTCAATCAAATCTGATCTCGTTAGCTCAGTTTTCGTGGGGAGTGCTCTCTTGGATATGTACGCTAAAGTCGGTAAAATTGACAGATGTCTCATGGTCTTTACTGATATGCCTCTGAGAAATGTGGTTTCTTGGACTGCTATTATAACTGGACTTGTCCGCATTGGCTATTATAAGGAAGGATTGATTTACTTCTCGGAAATGTGGAGGTCAAAAGTTGTTTGTGATTCGTACACGTTTGCAATAGCGTTGAAAGCCTGTGCTGATTTGGGTGCTTTGGATCGTGGGAGGGAGATTCATTGTCAGACTATAAAAAAAGGATTCCATATCTGCTCATTTGTGGCCAATACTCTCACTGTCATGTACAATAAGTGCGGGAAATTGGACTATGGTTCACGTTTATTCGAGCAGATGGAGTTGAAAGATGTTGTTTCATGGACAACAACTATAGCAACATGTTGTCAAAATGGGGATCATGAAAATGCTGTCATAGCCTTTAGAAGAATGCGGGAAACTGGTGTGAGTCCAAATGAATACACTTTTGCAGCAGTGATGACTTCTTGTGCTAATCTTAGGAGACTTCGATGGGGTGAACAATTACATGCTTATGTTTTCCGCTTGGGATTAGTTGATCATTTATCAGTGACCAATTCCGTCATAACCATGTATTCAAAATGTGGTCAGCTTGACTTAGCTTCTAGCATTTTTGAGAGGATGACTGAAAGAGACATCATATCATGGAGCACTATAATTGGAGAGTACTCTCAAGGAGGCTTCGGAGACAAGGCTTTTGGTTACCTATCCCAAATGAGAAGGGAAGGCCCACAACCAAATGAGTTTGCTCTTGCTAGCGTTCTAAGTGTTTGCGGGAACATGGCGATTCTCGAGCAAGGAAAACAGCTTCATGCTCACACATTACGCATTGGTTTGGAACAGGATGCCATGATACGAAGTGCTTTAATCAATATGTATTCCAAGTGTGGTAGTATACCAGAAGCTTCGAAAGTGTTTTCTGAGGCTGAAAATGATTGCATTGTGTCCTGGACTTCCATGATCAATGGTTATGCTGAGCATGGGTTGAGTGAGCAAGCAATTACTTTGTTTGAGAAATTTCGAACATTAGGTTTAAGACCAGATTCAGTTACCTTTATCGGTGTTCTCACAGCTTGCTGCCACGTTGGATTAGTTGACCTTGGTTTTCACTACTTCAATTTGATGAGCAAGGAATATGAGATTTTTCCTTCAAAGGAGCATTATGGCTGCATGATTGATCTTCTTTGCCGAGCTGGACGACTAAATGATGCTGAGGGCATGATTGAGAGCATGCCATTTCAACAGGATGATGTCGTTTGGTCAACTCTTCTCAGAGCTTGTAAGATCTATGGAGATGTTGATCGTGGAAAACGTATTGCTCAGAAGATTCTGGAACTAGATCCTAATTGTGCTGGCACGCACATTACCCTTGCTAACCTGTATGCTGCCAAAGGGAAGTGGAAGGAAGTAGCCGAAGTGAGGAAAATGCTAAAATTGAAGGGTATAACTAAGGAGACTGGATCTTCATGGATAAAGATGAAGGATGAGGTTTCTACATTTGTATCTGGCGATGACAGTCATCCACAGGCAAAAGATATTTACAATGTACTAGGTTTGCTATCCTTAAGAGAAGATGAAGATGTCATGGGGATAGGTTATGATCCCGTTAATGTTGAAGATCAGCAAATAAATGCGTTCTTGTATTGATCTGCACAGGAGGATTAATCATTAAATTGTCGTTATGACTTGAGCAGGAGGTCTTATTGGCTAAAGATGTCTTGTGATATCTCAAAAGCTGAATCTTCCACGTTTACTCTCTCATTTGATGGTTGTGATTAAGTGCACAATTAGCATTGACCCATTGGATAATGGGTAAGGCCTGGCTCAAGAACTTCCCACCATCAATCAATATTGGTTAATCCACATTTAGCATCAGAGAGGGGTTGTCTGCAGTTTGCACATACTGAATTCTCGATCCATCATCTTTCTAGCATATGATCGAGAAGGTTCTTCTTTGGTGCAGAGAGCAAAGAAAGAAATAGGTAAAGCTCGCTATCAAAATACTGTTGCTAGATACAGTTGCTTATCCACAACTGTTAGTTCACCCTTAATAGGATCTTGTGCATGCTCGTTATTCCCCGATTTTCTCTCTTGCCTCTCCGAGCCCAGTTCCAATCATACAGTCCTAATGTTTCTGCTTTGAGGTGTTTTTAGAAACTTCAGATAGATTTATTTGTAGTCGTGGCATTAATGGGTTCTCTCTTTTCCCGTAGGTTTTGCACAGAGCCAATGGCTACTGTCCACAGCTTAGGCAATTGCTTTCTGCCGGGCACGAGCAGAACCTCTGTGGATGGGTCAGTTACTAATGTGAGATCTTCGCTCTTTTATGCCTTCGTCACATGATCCATCCTTGCTCAACATGGTCTCTTCAGGCTTCCTTGCAGGTAATTCAATTCTCTTCATCTCCTGCTCTTTTAGTTTGTTGTCTTGAACTTGTCTGCTTTCCAGATATGGGTTGAATCATTTGGAGTTGCTCTTGAACCTTATGTTGCAGTTAGAGGACCTAAGAACGAAATAAGTGAAGTTGGAGTGATCCTCTCTCATGGTTAGTGAATATATACCTCCATTTGTAAATGTGAGCAATCGCCAAATTGAGATTTGGGAACTTCATCGTCTTAAGGATTGATTAACCACTCTCCTTTGCCATAAGATTTCCAAATTGATAACTACTGATTTCTCCTGCCTTCATACGGCGGGTTCAGTAAGTGGGTTTTCAGGGATCTAGCATATTTGGCATCTAATTCCAGAATCGCTTTGTGCAGTTTTGTGTACCATGGTCGGCATCTTCTTCGATCATGTTCTGGGCATCATTGTCATTGATCTGGTGGGGAGAAAATATTATGATCCATCCCTGTCAGATTGAAGCAGAGAGCAACTTGTCCAGCATGACATAGCAAGTGGCAAGAATACCATCAAAGGTTACTGAATATTGTCTTAGCCCAGCTGCTATACATAATGATTGGATTTATAGTTTGATGTAAACATAAAAGAGAAACAGTAACAATGTGTGCAACATTTTCTGTTACCTCATAAATTTTCAAGAGGCAAAATTTTGTTGTACTAGGAACACTCCTTTTACCATAAAACCCTGGACACATTTGGTCCTACTGGGGAAATGTCTGTAGATAGGAGGATCTGGATTGAACTTGAAGAGCAAACTTAGTTTCCATTCTTATCGTTAGAATTCTTTAGATAAACTACATTGATGTGGATCGAACTTGAGGAGCAAACTTGTTCACGTCACGTGAATCGTTTTCATCGTTTTATTTATTTATTGTTATGACCGATAAGATAAGGATTTGCTTTTGTTGGGGTAGTAAGGAAGATTGGCTCTGAAGTTATTACATGCTCAACGAGATGATGACACTATCATGACTTTGTGCATGAAAAAAAGTTTAACCATATTATCGTAGTTGATACTTAATAACTGTCACGTGACAACACATAGACGGAAATTCGGTCCATATCTCTTAAAATGGCAAAAGAATATTAACGATTGTATAACAAACATAACGATCATAAAACGTGCAAACTCGTTAATACAAGAAACCAACTTCAACTATCATAACTAACTCATCAACCATTCAACCTATGCCCATGCTCAATAAAAAAACATCAACCAAACCACAAGAACAATGAAGACACCCCATCCATGGAAACCTCTAGTAGTAGTAATGTAAGAGAGAGAGAGAGAGAGAGAGAGAGAGAGAGAGAGAGAGAGAGAGAGAGAGAGAGAGATCAAAAGAAACAAGAAAAGGCCAACTTTCATATGATGGTTGAGATCACAAACTCCAAAAGCAAAGGAGTATGGGAGACATGTGACATTGTTGTTCAATGTTGGGCGCAAGACCAAAGTTATAGCTACTCCTCAGTCCTCCCATTCTTTAATGATAATTAAATATTTATTTTCATAATTTCTTCCCACTTTTCCAAAATTTTCCAATTTCTCATTTTGATCAATGGCTTGCAAATTTCTTCGGTGGTCGCTGAAGAAGCTCTGGGCTGGGCTGTATAACAACAACACCTCTTTTCTGGGCTGCTCGCCATTTCTTCACAGAGTCCGCTTCTTCTGAAAGCTTCGCGGGTTTCCCTTCTAAAAAGGCGTGGACTTTTCCTCCCCAAATTCCTTCGCCAGGTGAAATGGTGGTGCTTGCTGCTCCAATCAATCCATCCTTCTTCTCGTCCTCTGGCTAACGCGTTCAGATCTCTGCTTGCTTCACTGGGTTAAAGGTTTCTTCTTCCGCTCTGTTCACCTCGATCGTTTTCAGCTTCTGGGTTCGAAAGACTCGTCGTCGGGGGTTTTTTCTGGTTTGTTCGGCGGGTGGACTTTGAATTAGGGTTGTTGTTACTCTGCTCTCGCTCAGATAGTGGTCGTTAAGCGGTGAAGAATCTGCTCGAGTCGGTTGACTTTTCGTTAGGGATTTTGATGCGGGAAGCGCTCTGATTGGTCTTTTGAAAGTACTAGTTAGGGTTGTTTTGTTCTGGTTTCGTTTCGGTGATGGATAAGGATAAATCCGGGGCTCATGGCGGGTTGCCGCCGACTCCGACGGGCGGTCGTTTCCCGAGCTTTTCACCTCCGGGAAGCTCTTACGGTGTGAAACCTGAACCGCCTTCTTCTTCTGCGTTCCCGCCGCTGGCTTCTCCGGATTCCGGCCGGTTCAGCCACGATATTAGCCGAATGCCGGATAACCCGCCCAAGAACTTGGGCCACCGGCGGGCTCATTCCGAGATTCTCACCCTTCCCGACGACATTAGCTTCGACAGCGATCTGGGAGTTGTGGGTGCTGGCGCTGATGGGCCTTCTTTCTCCGATGAGACTGAAGAGGATATACTTTCAGTGTACCTCGACATGGAGAAGCTGAATTACTCCTCTGCGACGTCTGGTTTTCAAGCTGGGGAGTCGTCGAACCCTGGAGCAGCTGGCTCTGCATTGGCAAACTTTCATGGTGGCTCGGCTGCCATGTCAGTGGATGGTGGTGCACCGAGTGAGAGACCGAGAATTAGGCACCAGCACAGCCAGTCGATGGATGGTTCGACCAGTATCAAGGCTGAGATGCTCATGTCTGGTTCCGAGGATGCTTCTGCTGCCGACGCCAAAAAGGCTATGTCTCAAGCGAAGCTTGCTGAGCTTGCTCTTATTGACCCCAAGCGAGCAAAAAGGTCCGATTACTTGACCCTTTGCATTTGCTGTTGCGAATAGACTTGTGCATCTCTTAAGCTTGCTTGATTTGATTTATTTGGTAGAGTGACTTATAATTGACACAAATGTATCGTTTGACACTCTTGATTCACTAGGAAATGGACATGCAATCTCAAACACTCGGGGTAGGAAGTATTTGAAATGTACTTTGAAGAATAGCATGCAAAATGAAATATTTTAACGTGGATGATAAATTCAATTTACAAATACGTTGAATCAAACAGACTATTTAAGAGTGTTGGAAAGCAGTTTTTTTTTTTGTTGGCTTGCTGTCGAGGCGTTCCGATAGAGTTTGCTGTCTTTTTTCTGTAAAAGCTAGATCTTTTAACTTTCCCCTTTGGTTCCTTATGTGGTACTTATGTTTTACTGTCTTGTTTATTTTCCATTTTCTACATGGTGTAATAGGATATGGGCAAATAGGCAATCAGCAGCAAGGTCAAAGGAAAGGAAGATGCGATACATTGCTGAGCTCGAGCGAAAAGTGCAGACATTACAAACGGAGGCAACATCCTTGTCTGCTCAATTGACTCTTCTGCAGGCAAGCTGGATTGACTTGATAGTTCACTTATAAATATGTGAAGTAGGAAGGCTGTTACTTGCTTATCACACAAAGGTTAAAGCCTAACACTTACAATGATGTATGTACTTTCCTCTGTTTTTTCTCTGAACAGAGGGATACAAATGGCCTAACCTCTGAAAATAGCGAACTGAAACTTCGGCTGCAGACGATGGAACAGCAGGTTAATCTGCAAGATGGTTAGTACCTTTCTACTTATTTGAAGCAGCTGCAATCTGTTTAGTTTTAATAGGTGTTTTCTGTTTCGTTTGTGTTTTGCTATTATTCCGTTAATGGCTAAATTCATACATAATTGTTACTGCTTTGTTGTGTTTTAGTTGGACATTGTTGAAGCTTGCTATTTGCATGAGTCTCATGTTTCTTTAGATGGTTTCCAATAATTGTGATGGTTTAATTCGTTAGAAAATCGAGGTTCATAGTCTATCTATCAAAACTATCACTTTCTTTTCTATTTTTAAGATAAAAATAGGTTTGCATTTTGAATTCATAATCGTATTAGCAATAGAGGTATGATTGACATGTTTGAGCTAGACTGACTTCAGCCTCGCTGGTCTCTTGAGTAAGCCTGGAAATGCGTAGAATTTTTCTTTGCTGGACCATTGCCAAAATGACTAGGACTAGTTTTCTAGATTAGTATATGAAACATGACTGCTGCATCTTTTTATTGTGTGTGATTACCATTATTGAGAAAGAATATCAGTCAACATGGTTGCTCCATGTCAGGGATTTTTACTTTTACTTTTGAATGGTGTACAAGTAATTTCAAATTACTAAAAGGCGACAATATGATTTTTTTAAGTTGATTCCTGCGTGCATGGAGTATTAATAAATTCTTTCTAAGTTCAGTATGCTACATCGAGTTACTTATTCTAATATGTTGTGAGTGCCCAATATAGTGCGTTCTTAACCTTATTACTGATGAGTGTATATAATAGAAGACTGGTAGACCTCTGTTTGTGGGTTTCCTTGAATTAGTTTGTAATCTCTTGGTCTGAAATTTAATGAGGGGCTTCAATTCTGCCTTATGAGGAAGCTTCTCTGACGGAGAACAGGAAGATAGGGTTTGAGAATGATGTTAGATCAAATCTTACCATCTATTTCGGAAGAGTTAACCACCTTTTAATGTAGTTTTGGTCACGGCATACTCGTAATAGGAAAATTGGTTGTCGCCCTATTACAAATGCTTACCCTAGACGGAGGGATAGGATCCCTGTGAGTACACTATGAAAAGATTTGAAAAGATCAATAATATGGAGATTTAGCTGGGTGATGCTATTCAGGGTACATCTAGTTTGTAGCCCATGCTACATACACAGAACTCCTTTTTGTCTGGAGAACAAACATTCACCAAGTTTAGGTATTTCCCCTCTGGTGTGAGCTCATCAATAAAACCTATCAAAATCAGCCCATAAATCTAACTTGTAATGTCTCTTGGTCTCTGTCGAGCCCTGAATTCCTTGTGGATCAATTTGCTCTTCATTTTCAGCCTCATAGCTTGGTAGCAAGACTTAATATATTGGGTAGCTGTTCATGCTCTGGATTCGGTTGATATATGTACATTGGGTAATTGAAATGGTATTCTTTTAGATCGAACTTTATAGATATGCTGTTCTGGTAGGGACTGTTGTTAGTTAGCCAACTGTGCGAAAAGATTGTTTCATTTTCTAAGCATGTTATACGTGCTTGCCTTTCTATCTCTTAAATCCAAGTCCATAGTCATTAATTACGCTTATGTTAAGGTCTGGTTAGCATTGTATTGCTTATGCCTGCATAATATTTGCTCCTTGTGCCCTTATTGGGTTACTAGTCAGATCTTTGCCAATTGGTGGATATCGCCAGTCTTTCCTCTGAATATTGAGTTATTAAGCTGAGGTAATAGGGTTTCTGGCGAAACAATTTTCAACAAACAAGCTACGGTCTTATCATGTTGGTTTCTTTGGGTCATTATAACTGCCATGTCTTTTTTTTATGTAAATATGATGATCTCTGTTGTCCTTCTTGTTCTTTTCTTTTAGCATTGAATGATGCACTGAAAGAGGAAATCCAGCATTTGAAGTTACTAACGGGACAAGGCATGGCCAACGGAGGACAAATGATGAACTTCCCTCCTTACGGAGCGAGCCAGCAGCAATACTACGCCAACAACCAGTCCTCCATGCATACCCTTCTAGCCGCCCAGCAATTCCAGCAGCTCCAAATTCAGTCTCAGAAGCCGCAGACACAGCCACAGCACCACCAGTTCCAACAGCATCACCACCTCCATCAGCAGCTTCAGCATCATCAACAGCTACAGCAGGAACAGCACCAGCAGCAAGCCGGGGATTTGAAGATGCGAGGTGGAGCAGCGTCTACTATGGGCTCATCGGTGCAGAAAGATAATAATGGAGCGGATCTCCTTAACCCAGATGGGAAAAAGGATTGATGAGACGCGAGAAAGCCGACAAAGATGAAGAAGATAACTAACAATTTGATTGATTGCCATTTGTTTGCTAGAGAGATTTCCAGATTTAGGGATTTGCTTTCCCTTGTGGAGGCAGGCTTGTTATGGTTCTGGTATGTCAGTTTAGTCTCTTCCCCATTCCATTTGTTGTTAGCTGCCAGTTTGGTTCTTTCTTGCTGTAAGATCATGATTTGTTGTTTTAGCTTTGCAGAGCCAAATGTTATAATGTTTTCATATACATGGGAGAGAGATAAGGATGTAGATTGTAGATGGTAAGTTTATCTTAATAGTATCTTAATATTACTTGTTGGTTGATAACATAGAATATGACACATCTCTGTCAGTTGGTTTTGTTTTAATACAGAGAATTTTAGAGACAGAATAGGCTGTTTGTTCAAGTAAAAGCTTCTCGTTTTCAAAGAAATTCTTGCTAATTTAGTAATTTAACCATCAACGATCCATGTAGCATACAATATAATGAGAAAACAAGAGCACGATTGAAATTCGTTAGTACACATTGATAAATTTTTTGTCTTGAAATCAACTATTTCCAAAGTTCTTATTTTTTTCACCCAAATTAACTTGTACTGCACGTTTCCCCTTGATTAACTACTTATTGGCGGATTATACGACAGTGTTGCAATATGGTTATGAGCCACTGTCCCAATCCAGAGCTTCCCATTCACTTCCCTAACTTCACTCACAAGCTTCATCACCATTCCCTTGGGATCTTCCATCACCTCCAGGATCCGGCCGTTCTCGTCGAATAGCGCGATGACGGTGTACATTTTCATCCCCATGATCCTCGCCAACAAGCTCATCCTCAGAGGCAGTCGAAAGTAGACGCTCCTCATCCATGGGTTCCGTGTCAACACCTCTTGTGGTGCAGTTCTGCAGCAGTCGATGGCTACCCAGTACTGCCCTTTGTCGTTGGCACGAACGTTATCTGGGAAGCCTGGTAGGTCGGCCACATGGTCCACCGAGCCAGCCTTTGGTCCCTCCAACCAGTACTTCATTAGCCTGTGTGATAGTTTGAGCACAAGAACGAAAACAAAATTGTTAAGTGACACTTTCAGATCGTCCCTAACGCGATCTCAGCCACTGAGAGTGTCGAGAGACGATCCAACCTAGGACGAAATCGATTGATTGAGATGTTGCATTTGACTAGTGACATGGTGGGATTATGAGGCAGTACCAACCTGCAATTAGTGGTCTCTGTGAAGAGGAGGAAAGTTTGGTCATGAGACAATTGGACACCATTAGGGAAAGCTAGCCCATCAACCACAACATGAGTTTGATTTGTGGGAGGATCATATCGTAGAAGCCTGCCCGTTGCTTCTCCTTCCAATAAGATGAAGAAATGGCTCCTATATATATGGTAGATCCATGGTGAGAAGAAGAACACATTGAAATAAGAAATTAATGTGTAATAATTAGTAACACAATGAAATAAAAAAGACAGAGACTCTGATTCGTTATGTTCGATCTTTCTGCATACGTAATCGACTAAGTCTATGTGAGCAATTCAAATGCGATGAATTCGACTCCCTGTTCGAAATCGGTCTGAATTCAAAAATCATAGTCACAAGCACATTCGCATTTCGCTGGCAACCTCTTCCAGAGTTCAAAACCTAAATGGACACTAAACTTGGTGTTGGTAACACAGTGTTCATTCATAATCATACGTAACAAATGAGCCATTAAATTCTAATAAGGTTGGGTGACGTTTTCGTAGAATAAAACGAAAAGTTGTAATACGCATTTTGTTATGCTTTAGAATTTTAGTGATTCTTTTGTTCGAAAGAAGACAATTTAGTGATCGATAGACCAAAAGAAAAAAAATCGGAAGAAATTTCCACTTACACACGGTCGTATCGTTTGCTCGTGTCCGTGAAGAAAACGGAGCCGTTTGAGTGGATGTCGAGATCGTTAGCAAACAGAATGGGCTGCCCGCCCACATCGTGCGTAGCCAAGGGCCTAGCTATTCCACCTTCGGGCCCAACCATCAAAAGCCCATAATAGGCGTCTGCAATGTACAGCTCGCCCGTCGCCTTGTTGAACCTCAGGCCCAAAGGCCGGCCGCATTGCTTCTCGTACTTCCATTGCTTCGCCGTCGTCGACTCCACTCCTCTCCCGCACTCCTCCTCCGTCCTTCAAGATTCACAAGGTTATTTACAATTTACTCCTCCATTTTGCTAAAATCTTTGGGTGATGATAAAATGAAAAACCAATGGGTGATAAATATGTAATTTACCATGCATCAGTGACGACAGCAAATGTCTCCCAACCAATTTGATCGCCCATCCATCTCACGATCCGACCGTCGGCTAGACCGGTGTACGGCCCGTTTCCATCGGCATCGAACTCCAACGATTCTGGGCCGAACACCTGATCCACAAACTCCAGCTTGCCTTCCTTTCCCAGTCGGCTCTCGTTGTCTTTGGGCCAATGCTGCATCACTTCATCGTAACTCGCAATCTCGTGCCTCACGGGCCGAAACTCGTGCTCCCCAATGGGCCCCATCTTGAAAGGATCGATTGCCAGGAAGCCCATCACAAAGCTCAACAACCCAACTCCAATTGGATGTTGCACAAGAAGAATCACCATCCTCCATGTCAACAACAGCCATGAATAGTAGTTGTTCTTCTTCTCCTCCATCTTCTTTTCTTCCTATATCGTCGTGGCGGAAATACAGACTTTTACCTATCTATCCGTCGTTATGCTTGGTGCGGAGAGTTTCTGTCGGAGGTTTCATCTCAGAATTCGTCTAAGATTAGCCCACAAATTTGCTTATTATCACCCACCAACAAGAAAGATCAATGGTCATGCATAGTTTGTGACCAAGAGTTCAATATGTTTTCCGGTTGAGGATTAGGTTGACTCTTGTTAGCCATGCGCATGTTACTTACACCATTTCTTCCAATTCCTTTGTGTTCACAACACTTTGCCTTTCTACTTATTTTTCATTTATAGTTGGGAAAAAATGAAAAGTTTGCACCTTGGAATTTAGTGGCAAGAGTTCCTTTGCAAACTTCAAATGAACTTACTTCACCGTAACGATATATTTTTTTTTTTTGAATAAAATGAGTGTAAGTCTCAAGAGTGTTTGGAGCGGGTGATATGAAGTGAAGTTGAAGGCTTTGATGAAAGCAGAGGGTGTGCAAAAGAGTTTACACCTAATCATGTCCAACATAGAGCATTCGGATATATGCATAACTCGCGACTAATATGAAGCTCAATAAAATATTGAGAATTTTCTGACTTTAACTTGGTAATGAACGAGACTAAATCACTAGGCGAGGAACTTAACCAAAGTGATGAGAGTAGCTTCATGAGAACTCCTGATGACTGATGATGAGAATATCAATAACGTAAGACAACAATAAAGCTTATCATCAAATGATAGTAAAATAATGAATGGTCTCTCTAAAACATAAATAGTCATAGAATGGGAATTGAAGTGTCAAACTACGATCGGCGAGGTTGTTTAAACCCTCTTATTCACTTATAACACAAGCAAACCTGAATTTTCGATCCATCTCCCATATGTGTACTCGACTACTATTAGTATGATTTTAAGAACACAACAATCGAGCATCGACGTGTTGTAGAGGCCATTTGTATATAATGCATTGTGCTACAATATAAAAAGACAGATGAAACGTGTGAGCTTCTTCACCTCATCTTCTTGTTCAATTTACACTTGAAATGTGATAAAAAAACAAACAAAACTTAATAGAAGAAGAAAGAAAGAAGGCAAGAATTGAGAAATCCTAAGACACAAAGCGTGGACAAAGCGTGTATGGACTAGAGAGGGACGTTACTTCACAGATTTTTGTCCATGATCAGCTCTCTGCTTTTCTCCATCCCCCCTAAGCCACTGAGAAATAAGTTACAATCCGGTTCCGCCATTAATAACCTCCCTCGAGCCCTTAAAGTTTTGATCTTTTCATTCTCTCCCTCAAGACCCTAACCCGCCCAAATCGGATTGATTGATTGTCAGCAGCCATTTCTTGGCATCTTTGGTTCCCAGGTAAACCCTTCAACTTTACTCTGTTTTTTGTCGTCTCTGCAAACTCAACCCCGATAATTCTCGTCCACCGCTAGAACTTCTCCCAAACCAGAGCTTAGATTTCAGAATTCCTCTATTGTTCTCAAGAATTTCATCAAGTTAGCTCATTTATGCTGTAAACCAATTGCAGTGGGAGAATCGAGGTCGAACAACTTTGCCGCCAAAATTCCGGCATGGCTTCTCTCTGATTTTCAGTCGATTGAATCCGTATCCGAAAGGGGGTTATAGGTTTTTGATGGCGGGAGGCATCTGGGAGAGAGAAGAGGACGAGGAGAAGAGAAAGAAGGAATCGTGGATAGAGAGAGTGAAATCAGGAGGAGCTGTTCCACTGCTCGATCCGCAGAATTGTGCCAATGGATGGGCGTCACCGCCAGGAAGCAAATTCATGGTTCGAGGCCCTGATTACTTTAAGACCAAGGTCAAGATTCCAGCTGGAGAGTACCTCCTGAAGCCGATCGGGTTCGACTGGATCAAGGGTTCGACCAAAATCTCTGAAATTCTCAAACATCCAACCACTAGAGTTAGGAGGGCTCTCGATGAGGCATTCCCCCAAATTGAGGGAGGAGGAAACCCTAACCCTAACCCGAAACCATTCGTTTGGGCATTCAACTTGCAGGTACCCAGCAAGGACAACTACAGCGCGGTGGCTTATTTCGCCTCGTTCGATCCTGTCCTGGAGGGATCCCTAATGGATAAGTTCTTGAAAGGGGACGACGCATTCAGGAACTCGAGGCTGAAGCTGATTGCCAACATTGTGAAGGGACCTTGGATCGTGAGGAAAGCAGTGGGGGATCAGGCGGTTTGCTTGATTGGCAAGGCACTGCACTGCAAGTACACTGTTGGGGAGAGGTTTATGGAGGTGGATGTGGATATCGGTTCATCGGTTGTGGCGAATGCGATAGTTCATCTCGCATATGGGTACATTACTAAGCTGACTGTTGATATCGGTTTCGTGATTGAAGGGTTAACAGAATCTGAGCTTCCGGAGCAGCTCTTGTGTGCGTTTAGGTTCTCTGAGCTCGACCCGGGTTCTGCCTCGATGCTGAAACCCTTGTCGAATGGCCTGCAGCAGCAGTCTTCGCTGTCGACTAGGTTGTGGAAGTCGATTGGGCTATGAGTTTGTCTGATGATCCAAATCAAGAACAGCAGCAGCAGCAGAAGAAAAGGTTTTTGAAGGATAGGGTGGTTACCCTTTTTTAGGTGACCCTAATTTTAAGGTACTTTTGTTAAGTTGCCATTTGCAGATGGTATGATGGGTTATTTTGTGTCATATCATTGAAAGGGATTCACTAATTTGAGCACAGGCTAGCCTACCTGACGAAAGTTAGTGCCGAGTTCGTTGCAACCTTTCGTTCTTTGGGTTGTCACTCATTTCTGGGATTTGTTTCTTGCATCTTATTCAAACGCTAATTAAGAAGCCAACTACGGGTAACACAATCTTCTGTATGTGTTTCTGTGAACCAAGTTGTTCGATTGGCACATCATGGTTGGTCATATTAACTGCATTTCCTTCCTGTCAGACTCAAGAATTGGTAATCCAAACTGCATAAGGAAAACCCCTGAATGATCATTTGCTTGTTGGTTCATGTTGGGATTACGGTTCGTCGCGTTGGGATCGCCTTATTGACTCACTAATACAAAAGGGAACTAGTTTCTGTATAAATCAAACATGTACCGGTCAGTTCGTATCAAATTCAATCTCTGGTGACACTGAACTGCTAAACCATACCAAATCATGCCAAACAGTTTCCACTTTCTACCGAATTCGATAAAGTGCCAAACACCAAACTAGTACATGCAACAAATGGTTGACTGGTTGAGTATTTACCATCTCTGTTTCTCTGCTCGGTATTGACAAAACAGCAGTCTGGTCAAGCATGAAAATCGTGTACTTACTTTCTGCAAAAGGATCATACAAGAATTTCTCAAGAGAAACCTATCCATACAACAAAGGTTACCTGTATCAAAAGAATAGGCGACTCGGTTTTCCTTCGGACAATTACAGTAAGTACATTAATAGTCCAGTGGAAGAAGAGACTATCAAATATCAAGCTACGCCACAAAAGGATTGATACAGAGGAACTTGATCGATCATCAAAGAGCAATATAACATATTCAGGATCACACAAGTTCTACACCGGCAACTGGAATTGAACCCATCTGCAAAACTCTACCATTTCCAAGAAACCTCACAGAAGGCAACGAAGGATCTGTTACAGACTCGATCTCGAGAAACTCGAAATCACAAGCTCCAGACTTCTTCAGGCTGATCACGAAAACGACCCCGATCCAGCCCAGCATCGATATAGCCCAGAAGTTGTTCATCCCACCGATCAAGCCCCAAGCAATACCATACCCCACGATGATTCCAGACAAGTGGCCAAGAAAACTCGCTTGAGGAACAATTATCGAAGTGAAGATCAATGACTCGAATGGCGCAAAACTGATAGGAAGAGAGAGAAGTCCAAAGAGATTCAACTTTGTGGAGGGCTGCTTCGCAGAGAGAATTGTCATCCACCCGAAGACAACACAAGAGTACCCGACGGCTGTCACTCTTTTGAAATACTCCAGTTTGAATCTATTAATCAGTACGTGGTACATTGCGATCACTAGCCCGCCAGATAAGACAACCAACACGAGTGAGTACTGAAGATAGTACAGTGAGCCAAGGCCCATGTGGTCCAACTGTTCGACTATTCCGAGACTCCAGAGTGCACTCATGTTGAACACCAGATGAATAATGCTGATGTGTGAAAATGCTGAAGTGATTATCCTCCAATGGTGGCCTTCCAATGCTGTTTCGTAACTCGAGCCGACATGTGAATAGCCGAGGTTTTTCTTCTGTATGTAAAACCACACTGCAGTGCAGAATGCTATAATGCAGCTCGTGGCTGGTTTTTCCAGTATCTCGTAGAAAAGTGGCCTCCCCATCAGCAATAACTCTGTTGAGTTCCCTTTCTATTAGTTGGAAGTATGTCTCAAAGACCAGGCTTGGGCTTACCTTCTCGAGCGACCATGGCAGATCTTACAAACGAACCTGAAAATAAGTAAGAGACCCTTTAGTTCCAGACCATTGTTTGTGTAACAGGAAATAACAAGTCTCCTACATAAAGAGAAAGGGCAAAGACATATGCTTGTCATCGTACTTCTTTTCTATCAAGACCATGGATTTATGCGAATATATGACAACCGGTAACGATAGGACACAGCAGGATACAGCAAAAGAAAGTAATGAACACAGAACGCAAGCAAGTTACAACAGCATAGGATTGTCCATAACTCCCTGAATTCAGTATAGGGATCAAAGGGGAGAGAAAATAAGCAGATTGTTTCCCTTCTGACTGAATTCTAAACTAACTACAGTTTGTAGAATCCACATTGAAATGCAACTATAAGATCAACATGCCATTCGAGTACAGAATCGATACTAGTACGCCAATTCCTGAAGCCACTGTCACTTCTAAGACTGGTGTTGGCATTGAATCCAGCAAATTTAGCAACACTGAATCACTAACCTACTACCCACAACAGCCATAATCCACGAGGCCTCATTGAATCGAGCAAAACGAGCCTTCAACTTCGAATTCTAATTTGTGCTGGTTCACAGATTACGATCTCATTCGCTAACCAGTGAACAGTTCTTGTTCTCGTGAATCAAACAAATAAAATTCGTTAAAACGACCAAACGAACCTCTCAGGGATGCAGACGCTCGATCAGCGGCGGCAATCGACAGTCCCCTCCGGCCACCTGCGCGGATTATGGCGGGAAGCGATAAAGGCCAAGCAGCGGCGAGGATTGCCGGAGCTGCCCTGCCTTTTCTACTACTACTTCTTCTTCCTCCTCCTCGCTGCCTTGTTTCCGATCGAACCGTCACCAAGCTTCGTCTTCAAACAGACACAACCAGCGACAGGGCACGGAGATACCGTGACCGTGAGAGTAATCGCCGGGTGAAAAGATGAACTTGAAGTTCTAGCGCAATCTTGTTTCCCGGGGAAGGCCGGTCGCTCGTTTTTCTCCTGATCCGCCGGGTCTCGATCTTTCTTCCTTCTTCCTTTTCTACTTCCTTCGACGTTCGATTTTTTCGGTTTTTACTTTTTTCTTTTTCTTCGTTCTTCTTCGGGTAATAGTTGAACAAAAGACCAAATGGTCACTGGACTTTTTTTTTTTATTTATGATCATACTGGTCACTGAACTATGCATTGGCCACTAAAATTAGGGGTGGCTATACGGTCCGGTTCGGTTAAATTGGCCCAAATTGATCCGGTCCAGTCCGGTTTTTTTGAAAATATAAGCACCAAAGATTGGATTGGATACAGTACGGTCTTGACCCGGTCCGGTCCCAATTCGCTCTTGATTTTATATTGAGTTTGTGGGGATTTGAGTGGCTTAAGGTCTGAAAGGGTGAGGAGTTGGTTAAGTTTTGTACTAAGTGCAAAGGTTTGTGACCGTTTATGCAAATTACCCTTAAGTTTTGGGTGTTGAGCTCTCTTATCCGGTCTTTATCCAGTTTTTGATCCGGTCCCAAACGGTTTTTTACCTCAAATCTAAGCCCAAAGATTGGATTGGATTGTTTACTATCCGGTCCCGGTCCGGTTTCGGTCCGGGTTATATGGTCCGGATTCGGGTAAACCCAAAAAACTCGGACCAAATAGCCAGCTCTAACTAAAATATGTTGAGTGGAATGAAGCAACTCTTCTCCGGACTGGACCAAGTCGATAAGAGGACCAATTTATAAGGACTTGTTTACTATAGGCAATATCCGTAAAGAAAATGGAGAAGATGTCTATAAACATCTAATTGATTTTTCATTACTTTCACATATCTTATTTTTTTATCAGATATTAATGAAATCAATGATAAAAATATTTTGTGCTTGAATTATAATTTAATGTTTTCTACCGATAAAATCTTATATTGATTTGGAATTTGATAGTCAGTTTTTTATTTATTGAAATGAATCGTAACATAAGGTTTAGTAAACACCGATGTTGTCGACTTCTCGTGGTGGTATTAATGTATGCTTTGCTATTTGTTAATATCCATCAAATCATAATTTCTTAGCCACAATCATCCATGGCTTCTCATCTATAGCAAGTGGAGGAGCCACGTTATGACGAGGAGATGTTATAGTTTTTTTCTCAACTTCTAGGTATAGTCATAAATTCAAAAGGAATTTTGTTAAAAATTTGAAAATCAGAGTTAATCAACAAAATTTTAGAACTTAAAAAAATGTTAACCTCTCTCGCTCCTGATTTCTACTTCCGCCACTGCCCGAAGCAATAACAGCTGGCCATGACTTCCTTGCCTTGTGAGTTAAGGCACCAACCAATTCAAATGAACACCTCAAGCCCAAATATACCCAAACTAGAAACAAAAGAAACGCCATTGACAAATACCAAGATGATCAAGAAGACACTCCTAAGCTAGAAAAGCATTCTATCAAAACAAAGAAGTTGATATAGAACGAAGATAGAACAAGTCAAATTTCAATCTTGTTCGCCGTCCCAGGCATATACGACTCGCACTTCAGAAGAAACACGCTTACATCGCATCACCTCCTTCATAAACTTGGTAACATCATCATAGCACAACAGCCGAGAAGGCCTGATCTGAATCTTCACCAATTGTGGAGCTGTGGCCAGTACGAACCTCGCGAGTTCCAGATCGAGCGGCGCCCCAAGGCCGCCTTCAATGGCAAACTCTCTGAGTTGCTGCAAACATGGTGGTGGTCCACCACCACTGTGGTGTTCTTCTTCTTCTAACAATCTCCCTATGCCAGTCGCCAAACTGTCCGCAGGCCGGTCCTCGAGCAGCGGGCTAACCTCGCGCTGCAAGAATCATTTTACCAATTGGAACTTAACCGGGTTAATTAGGCGGAGTACAAAGAACCCTTTGTTCTGCAGAATTATGCAACAATGTCGCGACAGAAATTAAACCAACAGACCCGTATAATGAGGGTTTGTAGGTTGGGAGAGCTCATGATCAGACAAACAAGAAGGCGCTCCATCTCGAAGCTGTCGAAGAGCGCACGAGGCCGAGAGATGAGGAGGAACTGCAGCCGGTGAAGCGGCGTGGGGAGCCTGCTAGGGAACATCATCACATCATGACCTCCTTTAGCAGCTACCTGAGGGGAGGAAGTGCGGCAAACATTAAACGCACAATGTAAGAAAGTAAAAGAACATACAGGTTTACGTGGCTCGCTAACACGCGCGATGTGTATTAGCTAATCCGCTAACTGTCACGAAAAGGAAAAGGTTACAGACCATACCCTGTGACGTTCCAGGCAGATAAATTTGTTTTGGGGAACTTACATTGATGGGATCAGATAATAGACACAAGTTCTGGAGTGCAGGCAGAGAAGCAAAAGAAGCTACCAGCTGGTTCACTTTTTGGACCACATCCAAATTGAGGATGAGTACTACCAGAAGTGGAGCAGACTTGAAGCAGAATTCCTGCAATTGATAATCCCCTGCAAAGGAGAACATCTTGAGCCTTGGAGCATCCAGTTCAAGCTTTTCAATGCCACTGCAATTGTCCATAACCAGATACTGGAGCAGAGGACACTTGGGAAGGAAATTCTCAAAGAAATCAGCCTGCAGGCTCACTCTACACAACTCAAGATCTGTAACCTTACTGAACCCAACAAACCATGGCGGTTCACTAAACAAGCAACATCCCAGTTTCAGGCGATTGAGGTGAAGAGCAGCAGTACTGCTGAACAAGGAAGAAGGCAGCTTGTAATAAAGGTTGACAATGGCTTCCCTGGAAAACACAAGGGTGAGTTCCTGTACGCCTCTGCTGCAGAGATGAAGAACGATGTGATCAATCTCGTTGCAGGGTGTCATTCCAGGAACTGCAAGCACAAACTTGGCAATTGGCCCCTCATGAACCAGGAGAGACTTGTAAATGTTCAGAATTAGCTTGTTCGGCGCAATCCGCGATCCGTCGAATCGTCGTGTTGCGAAACCATCGTCGTGGAACACGAGCTGAGGGATGCTTCTCCAATGGCGCCTCCATGTGCTTGACAGGATAGCTGTTCTGGCTGCATCTTTGTGATAAGGACTATTGACTCAATCAACTTTCTGTTACATTCCACCATCTTCTGTTCCTATTTTACAGCCATGTTTCTGTTCTTGGCTTACTGTAAACTCGGTAGTCTGTTACCAAAGTGTAGTATATATTCAGCATATCAATAATACAGAACTCAAGGGGTTTCACAACATTTACATGGTATCAGAGCTTCCTGCTTAACAGCCTACAGATCTAGGAACCCTAAAACCTATTTTTTTCCTCCTTCTTTTGCCGGCGAGATGAGTCCAAACTCACCCGGTTGCTTATCCCTTCAGTAGATCAAATTATCAAACACCCTGCATACCCCTACTTTCCCACCACCAGCCACTTCCTTCTTCCTCACATCTACTTCCCATGTCCGATTCACTCCTTCTTCTTTGTCGTCTCGCGTCTGCAACAGTCCCCTACCTCCGGCCGTCAGCCACCGCATGGCCGGTCTCCCCCTCTCCTCTCTATTTCTCCCTGCTGTTTCTACCACCGACGAGCGTAGCTCAGCTGTCGCTCTGTCCTCTCCGCATCTTTGTTGCCGCCATGCCGGCCATCTCCAAGCCGGCCAGATTCATCCCGGCCATAGTCCATGTCTCTGCCTCCGACACGACATCACCTCCGTCGCGTCGCCTCTCCTGGAACGATCACCACTGCTGCGCAGCTTCTCCCCAGTCGTCCCTTTCCTATGTACTCTCTTCAAATCCCTTACTTCTTCCTCTGCCTCTTCAGTTCCGTTTGAAAGAAAGACTAAGAAAAAGGCAAGGCAAGGCAAGTATAATGGTGTCTTTCCTTTATTTCTCTCCCAATAAGGCAATCACCACCCCTCTGACTTTCCCTCTTCTCTCCTTCCTCTCTCCCACGTGTCCTCTTTTCCCTTTTCTGATTATAAATTCTTTCCCACCAAATCCCATCCCCAGTCCAACAGTCAACCCCCACATATTTCTCTCTTCAAATCCCCTACTTCTTCGTTCTCACTGAATTTCTTCCCAGCCAACCACTGAATTTCTTCTTTCTCTAATGTGGTTGGTCAATTCCCAAATTGCTTACTTTCCTTCTTTCTCCAACCTTCTTTACTCAATTTGTTTCTTTCCCAAATTCTTTCATACGATTGATAGTGCCCCACCACTACCACTACCACTACCACTACCACTACCGCTTTCCCTTCTTCTCCCTTCCTTTCAAACCGCAACAGCAAGTGTCCCTCACCAAACATCCTTTAATCCCTTTCCCTCTGTGATCTCTGCTTCTCTCCATTCCTTCCTTTCTTCCTGGCTAATCCCCTACTTCTCTTAATCTCTTCCCTTTCTTCCTTTTCATGCGATCCCTCGGCCATGGCCGCGGGCATCTTTTCCTCTTTACGCCTCCTAAAAGCATATTTCTTTCTTCCCTGCTTCATATATTCCCCGTCACCCATTTTATTCACTCCTAAAACCTCTTTATCTCTCTCTATCCCTTATGCGGCAGAGTAATCCCTCAACAAGATTTCTGATTCAGCTCAATCTCTCCTCTCTCTGTACTGGCTTACCATGTCAGTCACATTTCTTCCTCCCTCCCCCTACCTTCCCCCTTTAATCCCTTTTCTTCGATGCCCGGAGAGATTCCCGACCCAGAAATTGGAAACAGAGGAGACACGAAACAGAGTGCCTACAGAAAAGAGAACCAGCCATGGACTGGAGCTTTCTCTGCCCGGCTCACTACCCTGAGCAGTGAGCACAGAAGTTCTACCAGGCCGTACACACAAAGCCCTCATCTTTCAAGTGTAAGAAGACTGCCAACAGGGGTGGCGGGTGTGTGCCCGACGCGACGATTCCAAGCTACTCCCTTTCAGCAATTATGTTCCACGTTTCGCCTCTCCTAGGCTTCACTTGCGGGGGCATGATAAGGACTATTGACTCAATCAACTTTCTGTTACATTCCACCATCTTCTGTTCCTATTTTACAGCCATGTTTCTGTTCTTGGCTTACTGTAAACTCGGTAGTCTGTTACCAAAGTGTAGTATATATTCAGCATATCAATAATACAGAACTCAAGGGGTTTCACAACATTTACACTTTGATGGGTAACAGCGTGAGGATGGTATGCATCACATTCTCGGGAAGCTGGCTGATTAATCCGTCGTCGGCGCGACTCGATTCGGGATCCTTCTTCTCCATCCCTCTCCACCTGCCTAGCTATGATATAGCTTAGACAACAAGTAACTCAAAAGGTTCTTAGTTATCGCAGAGCTGCAGCTATAGGCATAGGTGCCTTATACATAAAAACCGGGGGGAAGAGTTACCTTGTTGGACACGGAAAGGCTGTGACCTAAGACCTAGGCCCGCATACACGACAAGTGATTAGCATAGATGGGCTAGGCCCTCATGCTGCTGGATGATTGGGCCTAGGTATCATATGATATGAAGAGACGAAGCCCATCCTTACTATCATTCCATACCAAGTCATATATGATCTTGGCGTTTTAAAAAGCACGTCTATATTGAATCACATCTTAGTGCTTTTCAATGAATTTGATAACCTTTTGAGTGATCAATTAATGGTTTGGCTTAATTTCATCTTTTTCTATGAATTGTGATAACTTTTTGAGTGCTCAATTAATGGCTAGGCTTAATTTAATCTTATATCATTCTGATATTGGTTTGACTTGGTCGTTTATGATCACTTTTATTAATCGATGGAATGGACTTCCTTTACATGAAATAAAAACAGAAATCAATAACTAAAAGAAACACTTGTATAAAGCTACACATTGCACTTTTATTCTTTTATAGTTTTAGTTATTGTTTTTCTAGTTCTCGTTATTAAACCATTCGAGATAAACGGGTCTTTAATAGTAATAACAATATATTGATTTGAAATGAAGGGATTGGGCATGCATTTTCATGCCAGAAAAGTTCTTTAATTACTGAACATTCCACTAATTAGTTTAATTTCTTGTAATTTGGAGGGAGTCTAGCTCTTGTCTCTTGATAGTTGGACACATTGTTTACAGCCATTTTCCCTTTTCCTTGAAAGTGGAACATGAACCAAACATGATGAAGATTGAATTGAAGATGGGAAAAGGACCTTTCTTTCTTCCCTATCAAAAATGAAAAAAGCAAAAACAACACATTGAATTGACCTATAATATGAAGATTTATGACAGTTGGTGGGGAGTCGGCCAGAGAAGAAGAAGCAAGGAGAACCACACAGTGGGATTCTCTTTCTGTGGTCGTGGGACCCCAACAATGGTGTGCTGTGCTGTGCTGTATCGCCCACATCTCTTCCTTTTGATTCTTTTTCTTCTTATTAAATTTGCTTGGGTGTGATCAATCCATTGGGAAAGAAGCAAAATCCTTATCTAGTCTCTAATCGCCGTGCTGTTAGCTCCCATTCCCATTCATTCCATGGCTTCTCTTCTCCTTTCCTAAACTCTCCCCACCAAACTTTCTCTTGGTTTCTGCTCACTCCTCATAAACCTTGCAGCTTTGTTAGGTAACTTCGCCAAACAGATAAGATAAAGCTCGGTTCTTTCCTCTTTACCTGCGTTTCTGGCTTCTGGGTTCCTCTCAGATCTTTGATTGAGCAAGTGGGTAGCTAATAGATTGGAGTTTGTCGGAGTCGGAAGATATGAAGATTCAGTGTGATGTGTGTGAGAAAGCTCCGGCGACGGTGATATGCTGCGCCGACGAAGCAGCGCTCTGTAGCAGGTGCGACGTTGAAGTTCATGCGGCCAACAAGCTAGCTAGCAAGCACCAGCGGTTGCTCCTTGAATCGTTGTCCAACAAGCTTCCTCCCTGCGATATCTGCCAAGTAAAGCTCCTTCCTTTTTCCCCTTTTCCCCTTCTTAACACTTAGATTCTTGTCTAATTTTGGGTTCTGAAATTCTAGAGTTGTTCATGTTGATTATTTTGTCGTCTGTTTCCTTCTTTGGATAAGGTCTAGGACCTCAGTAAGTAGTCTTGACCTGCGATTTGGGTTCCATTAAGTACCTAGTCAGTTGGAAGAAGCATCTTGAATTTGGTTCAAGGGTTTCAAAATGCTGGGATTGACTAATTGATGATAAAGCAAATGTTTCTTAATTTGGGTCTTGTCTGGTTTTGGGTTCAGAAACTCCCAGAGATATCCATGCATTCGTGGTGATGATTTTGTGGTCTGTTTCCTTCTTTGAATAAGGGTTTAAGGCCTCAGTAAGTAAGTTGTCTTAGGCTGCGATTTTGATTCCATTAGTACCTAGAAGAAGCATCTTGAATTTGGTTCAAGGGTTTCATCAAGTTGAGATTGACTTATTGACGATGAAACAAATGGTTGGCAGTCCTATTGTGCGAGCACTGAGCAGTCCGAATCATTGATCACGAATCGATGCTTGGAGCTTGTATCTCTGTATTGATTAATCATTTCGAGCTAACTGTATTATTGGTCTATTCATCTTTCTTTCCATAGTACCTCCTTCTAACTGCTGACCTCTATTACATGGTGCAGGAGAAAGCGGCATTCATCTTCTGTGTTGAAGACAGAGCTCTATTCTGCAAGGATTGCGACGAGCCGATCCATTCTGTTGGTAGTCTTGCGGCAAACCATCAGAGGTTTCTAGCTACAGGAATAAGAGTGGCATTGAGCTCTAGTTGCTCCAAGGAGGCAGAGCAGAACTGTTTAGAGCCACCGAATCACAGCAGTGCTCAACAAGTGTCTGCAAAACTGCCTGTACAGCAGCAGCAGCAACAGCAGCAACCACAACATCAGTCGAGCTTCTCGTCCCCATGGGGTGTTGATGATTTGCTTCACTTCTCTGATTTTGGATCACCTGCTGACAAAGTAAGCTTGAAGTTCTTTGTAGGCTTCATTGCTACCTTTGCCATATTACTTAAAACATCTTGCTTAGACCAGCCCAGCTGCAGAAGGTCATTTGAGCTTTTGTAAAAGTCCATATTGGAAGATTTCAAGTGTGACCAAACATTATTTTCATGTAGCAGACTTCTGGTTCTGAAGCTGATCTCTTGATGTCAGGTCATTAACATTCACTCCCTTTTTTATCTATTACAGAAAGAGCAATTGCAGCTTGGAGAGTTCGAATGGCTGACCGACATGGGTCTCTTTGGCGACCAACTTACTGATGAGGCTCTCGCAGCTGCTGAAGTTCCTCAGCTACCCGTTTCACCAACAGTCAGTGTCACCTCATACAGACCCCCCAAATCCAGCATGCCATACAAGAAGCCAAGGCTTGAGATCCCTGACGAAGATGACGAGCTTAACTTCATGGTGCCTGATATCGGCTGATCTTCATCACAACTCTGTCTCTCTCTCTATTCGATCTCGTGTTAAGTAGTTCGGTATCTATGTAGTACATATATCGGACCGAGGGGGCTCTCCAGAGGAAGAACACAATTACTTTTAGGTTGAGATTCAGATCGTGTACTTTGAGGAAGAACTCATTGATGATACTGAAAAGAGCATGGCTTTGTTCGTTTGCTCGTAGCTTATGAAACAATGCATCTTTGCGATGCTTTGTGTATGTGGAAAAGAAACATAGCAATTTAGCTGAACTGCTATAATGGTAGTATTACTTAATGCATGTTCTTTGTTCTAATGCCTCGATCATCTTCTGAATTACACTTACATGCATCAAAACTCCAAGCTTCTTCCATCGGAAATAACTAGCTATCCATATTGGCTCCCCAGAGCAGACAAGTAAATCAAATGTGTTCATGTAACGTTTTCGTAATAACTTCACGTTTTAATATAGGAGTCATTGTTACTTACGTCTTTCGACAATTTTACAACGCATTTAATGACTAAACTAATCTCAAGTAATAAATGTAATGTATAAACTAAGATGTGAAATTCAAGGTAAAAATACGAACTCCAAACCTACATGCTACATTACGTGAAACTGTTCAAGGCGTACTTATTTGAAATATCTCGATCCGATTATGAAATGAACTGGATGAAAAAACTTAGGGTAAAAGAAGATATTCCTCCCCTAACAGACCCTCTTTGAGAACCCTATTATTCCCATTCTACGAGCATGTCCTATGCCTGATATTAGGATATTGTGACAGACAAAGAAGCGCTGTTGAAGGCAGAGCAAAAGGGGGAAAATTTTAAACACGTTTTTAGTTAACAATGGCGGAAGCTCTCTTTGGCCATGCCACGAAGGTTTCATGACGCCATCTTTTTATGGGGGAAACAAACAAAAACCCTTAAATATAAAACAAACCCAAAACACAAACAGAGAGAAACGCCAATTGTTACTCTGTAGCTCCCAAAAAAACTGCTCCTTTCCACCACAAATGGCCAGAAACAGAGGGCACTCTGTTTTTCTCCTCCTCCTTGCAGCATCAATCCTGGCCCTGGCTTTCCTCCCGAACCCGGTCGAACCGCTAACCGGAGTCACCGACGTCCAAGCCCTCCGGGCAATCAAGGAGTCAATCGACCCGGTGACCATCACCCCGACGTCGTTCCTCTACAGCTGGGACTTCAACGTCGACCCCTGCGACAGCTCCGGCTCGTTCCTCGGCGTCCTCTGTTCCTTCCCGCTCGACAATTCGAGCAGCAGGGTGATCGCGATCGGCCTCGACGACGCGGGTTACGACGGGTTCCTGAGCCCGCTGATCGGAAACCTGACCGAGCTGGTCACCCTCGACCTGACGAGGAACAAGTTCCGCGGACCGCTCCCGGAGAGCATCATCAACCTCAGGCAGCTCACCAAGCTCCTAATTTCCGAGAATCTCTTCACGGGCCAGATCCCCGACGCGATCACCAAGCTGAAACTCCTTCAGGAAGCCGACCTTTCCTACAACCACTTCTCCGGTAGCGTTCCGGCGAAGATCGCCGTGCTGCGGAGCTTGAACCGGCTGATCCTCTCGAACAACGCGCTCTCCGGAAGGCTCCCTGATCTCTCCGGGCTGTGGCAGCTCAGCGCGCTGGACGTCAGCTCGAACAATCTGTACGGGAACATCCCCAGGCTGCCGTTGAACCTGAAGACTCTGTTTATGAGCCACAATGTGTTCTCCGGCCACGTCTCGCCGGTCAAGCACCTGCAGAAGCTTCTGGTTCTTGACGTCAGCGACAACCGGTTGTCGGGTCGGGTCCTGCAGCAGGTCCTGACCCTCTCGTCGGTGGTCCGATTGAATGTGTCCAGGAACCATTTCACGGCGATGGATCCGATCGATTTCCCCGGGATTGAGACGCATTTGCAGTCGCTGGATGCGAATGACAACCAGCTCCGGGGACATTTGCCGGTGACGTTGGCCGGGCTCGAGAACCTGACGGCGCTGGATCTGTCGCACAATTACTTGTCCGGTTCGATTCCGAGGGAGTACGGGGCCAAAGTGGGGAAGCCGTGGAAGTATTTGTACTTGAATGACAACTTTCTGCAGGGGAACCTGCCGCCGCAATTGGCGGCGGCCGGAGGAGGGGAGATTAGAGGGAGCCTGGCGAACAACTGCTTGAGATGCTCGAGCAACATTCGGCTCTGCCGCGGCGGTCAGCGGCCGCACGCCGTTTGCACCGCGCAGAGGCGGCGGTGGTGAAGCTTTGCCGCTGCCGGCGGCGGCAGGGGGTTTTTAGAATTTGTAGTACTTAGCCGGAGATGTGTGATCAAGAATTCTTAATAACATGTATAAGCTCCCTAGAAATCAATAAGATACATATATAGTAGTGTTTGGAATTTGGATGCATTGAATTTGACACGGTGGCTAATTCGAGTGATGTGATTGGTTAGATGCTGCAATTAGGACTTGGGCGATGACCCAATCCGATCACGGACTAGACTCGAGTTGAATTCACATGTTGCCCAATTCGATTTGTTCTACATTATTTAATCGATTGTACAATTCTAGTCGAATTAAGTTACGAGATAAAGGCTTTTAACTCTCAACAATGATAGCGACTTCAATATTATATCAATTTGGTTTTATTGGAATGAAATGTGATGAGATGTAATGTTGATTGAATTTCTACATACAATGTAGTCTTGTTACATCATGTGAAATCCAAATCTATGGGAATGTGTATAACTATTTATCAAGGCTACAACTAGCATTACTTATAGCTCTCGATGTAGTAGCGTGGTACAAAATCTAAGTGTCTAGAATTAGATCAAAGCAACTACTATATATATATATATGTGGTTTTTGGTCTCTGATATTACATTGAATTTGTTTGAATTTCCATGTTTTACAAAAGCAAGGAATTGATTTGTGGAAATTGAATAAAATTCATGTTTGGATAGGGTTAGTTTTGTGGGAATTGATGGTGTGGAATTTGGAAAAAGAAGTAAGAAAACGTGGTAATGTCAAACTACTAGGGGAAGGTGTAGTATTCTCAATTACCATGAATGTGGTAATTGAAGCCAATTTCCATGGTCCAATTCCCATACTCTTTTTGCTCTCCCAAACGTGGGTTTTTAACCCAATTACTGCATTATGTGGTAATTGGATCCAATTACTGCATTACATTTCCACATCCAAACGACCCCTGAATCATTTCGACGAAACAACTTAATTGAGATGGATGAAATTTTACTGTTACAACGTTATTTAATTTGTTTCAAATTTTTTGACGAGTTTGCTAAAAAATTGAATCGAGTAACTAGTAAACCCAACAAAATATAGTGACTGTTTCTGTAATTCACCTGAAAATTGGGAATGGAGGGAGATGTAACAACAAACAGAAGCCATGGAAGTTGGAACGATAAGATGGAGGGAGAATTCAGAATTGCAATAGCTGCTAGCAATAAATGCACACACCTACAGGCTACATCCACCACCTTCCCCTTCTTCTCTCTTCCGTCTTCCCCCATTTTTCAATCAACCCAAAGGCCAAAGCATTCATTTTCTCTTCCTTTCTTTCTTGAGCTCACCACCCCCACATTTTAGTACTCCATCTCTCCCTCTCTTTCCTCCTTGAATTCTACTCCACTCCACAGGCAGTAGTGTAGATTGTAGACCCCCAGAACCTTGCCGACCGTTCCTCCTTCTTCCCGCAGCTGCTGTCCGCCATTTCCATTGCCCCCACCACACTCCACAGCATTTCACGTAATTATGCCCGAGTGAGAGCTGAATTCCGCTTGCCGCCATGAAACCCACTTCCGCCCTCCCGCTTTGGTTACTGGGTAGCTCTCTGTTCATCTCGACCCGAACTCCAAACGGAGCAGGTTCCATTCTTTCTCTTTTGTCTCTCTGAGCCTATCTAGTAGCTACTGTTTGTTTAAATGCCCCAGAGAAAGAAATGCGAGGAAGAAAGGGGGAAAATTGGGAATGTTCTGCCTTGGTTAGTTAGTTTGGTGTGTTTCCCATTCCCAATTTCTATGCAAGTAGCTCTGTCTGAAGAACCTCGCTTTTGTTGGTTTGAGTTTGACCATTGCCAGAGCATTGTTGACCGGTTCTCTTCATCCTCCAGCCACATGTTCCTTCAATATTCTAGTAGTAGAATTCACTGCTCTTCTCTGGAATTGTTCGCAGTCCAAAACCTAATGCTTTAGCCAGGCTGGGGATTTACTGCATTTGTCACTGGGCTAGATGTAGTGTGACTCATAATTGAGTGTTGCACTAAGTTCATGTGCTATCTAAAGGTAAAGATGGAAACTTCGGACATCAGTCATTCGATTCTAGTTGCTAGCCTTCTGGTTCTTTCTCACACATTTCAGTCAATGTCAGCACTGGGATCAATGTCATCAATAGCCATTTCCTACGAAGAAAACGGTCCTGTTTTCTGCGGCCTGAAATCAGATGGTTCCCATTTGGTAACATGCTATGGCTCAAACTCAGCGATAATCTATGGAACGCCAGCTCACTTCCCATTCACTGGTTTAACCGCTGGCGACGGCGTTGTCTGCGGGATGCTCATAGATTCCAATCAACCTTACTGCTGGGGAACGAGTGGGTACATTCAAATGGGTGTCCCTCAACCTATGATAAAAGATGCTGAGTATGTAGAAATCAGTGCAGGAGATTACCATTTGTGTGGTTTGAGGAAGCCATTGACAGGCAGGCTTATAAACAACTCCCTTGTAGATTGCTGGGGCTACAACATGACCAAGAACCACGAATTCGACGGTCCAGTGCAGTCAATTTTGGCTAGCTACGAGTTCAACTGTGGGCTGTTTGCTTTGAACAGGAAGGTTTTTTGCTGGGGTGATGAGACCAGTAGTAGATTGATTAGCTTGATCCCCAAGGAAATGAGGTTTAGGGAAGTTTCTGCTGGTGGGTATCATGTTTGTGGGATTTCGGAAGGTGTTGATTCGACCCCGTTCTGCTGGGGGAAGAGCTTGGACTTGGAGGGAGAGATGGCGATGGAGATGATGGAAATGGAGAATTCTTCTGGCGAGGTGAATGTGGATTTGGCTCTAAAGGAGCCTATGGTTTCAATTGTTGGAGGAAAGTTCCATGCTTGTGGTATCAAGAGCTATGACCGTGGAGTCATCTGCTGGGGGTTTGTTGTTTAGAAGAGCACCCCACCTCCTAGTGGCATTAAGGTTTACCAGATTGCAGCTGGGAATTACTTCACCTGTGGAATCCTCGCCGAGAAAGACCTCTCAACAGTTTGCTGGGGGTTTGGATTCCCTACTTCCCTCCCACTGGCTGTCCCTCCTGGACTGTGTAACACTGCTCCATGTGCTTCTGGAACCTACGAGCTCAATTCTTCTGAAAATATCAATAACGTGCCTTGCAAGGCTCTTCCTTCGGCTTCTCATGTATGCTTACCTTGTACCAATGGCTGCCCTCCTGAGATGTATGAGAAAGCTCAGTGCACATCGAAATCGGATCGACTATGCGAGTACAACTGCTCAGCTTGCTACTCTACTGAATGCTTCTCGAGCTATTCTTCTGGGGAGAAGAATAAGAAGGAGAAGAAGGATGAGAGGGGTTGGTCGATTCAGCTGCTTGTGATTGTTGCAGAGGTTTCATTTGCTGTGTTCTTGGCGGTCTTTGTGTCCGCAACTGCTGTTCTGTACGTTAGGTACAGGTAATAACGTAGTTGAAATCTCTATTTAGATCTTTCATAGAATATCAAAATGTTACATTTACCATTCAACTTCATGAGTATTTATTCCATTTTCGATTTTGAATCCATGGATACAGGTTGAGGAACTGCCATTGCTCATCAACTGCCACAACCTCTAACCCAAAGAAAACCCAACAAGGGAGAGGAGGAGCCTCCTCATCATCACTAAAAACTCATAGCTTAAATGCCAAAATCAGACCAGAAATAAGAAGAGCACAGACCTTCACGTACGAGGAGCTCAACAAGGCAACAAACGGCTTCAAAGACGAATCCTTCGTCGGCAAAGGCAGCTTCTCACGTGTCTACAAGGGAGTCCTGAGAAACGGCACCGTGGTAGCAGTGAAAAGGCCATGGTCTCTTCAGAACAGCAGAATAACTCCAAGGAGTTCCACACGGAGCTCGACCTTCTGTCGAGGTTGAACCATGCTCATCTGTTGAATATGTTGGGATACTGTGAAGAAGATGGCGAGATGCTGCTTGTGTATGAGTTCATGGCTCATGGCTCATTGCACCAGCACCTCCATGGGAAGAGCAAAGGGTTGAGAGAGCAGATGGATTGGGTTAGGAGGGTGACCATTGCGGTTCAGGCAACGAGAGGGATTGAGTACTGGCATGGCTATGCTTGCCCTCCTGTGATCCACCGCGACATTAAATCGTTGAACATTCTGATTGACGAGGAGCATAATGCAAGGGTGGCTGATTTCGGGCTCTCCCTGCTTGGACCAGTTGATAGTGGTTCTCCCCTGGCTGAGTTGCCTGCAGGTATAGTAGTTAGTAGTCATATTCATGAGTTTGCTAAAGAAAATATTTGTTTTGATTGTGTAAATTCCTTTAAATTTGATCCTGATTGCATTACAGGTACATCAGATACCTTGATCCGGAGTACTATAGGCTCCATTACCTCACGACCAAGTCCGACGTCTACAGCTTTGGGGTTCTGCTGCTTGAGATACTGAGTGGGAGAAAGGCCATTGATATGCAGTTTGAGGTAGGCAACATAGTGGAATGGGCAGTGCCCTTGATTAGATCAGGAGACACTTCATCTATCCTAGACCCAATTCTGAAGCCACCATTCCGACCTGGAAGCACTTAAGAGGATAGCGAACGTTGCTTGCAAGTGTGTGAAGATTAGAGGCAAGGAGAGGCCATCAATGGACAAAGTAACTACTGCACTAGAACGCGCCCTTGCACAGCTAATGGGTAGCCCCTGCTACGAGCAGCCGATACTGCCAACTGAGGTGGTGCTGGGGAGCAGCCAGATGCACAAGAAATCGTCGCAGAGGTCATTGAACCGGTCTGGCTCTGAGGCAGTTACCGAGGTGGTGGTAGCAGCAGCAGAAGGGGAGGAACAGAGGATCGAGTTCAGAGCTCCATCACGGATAACATTCCCCAGTGTGACTTCCTCTCAGCGAAGGAAGTCGTCGGTGTCTGAGGCGGATGTCGATGGCAAAGCTTCGGAAACAAGAAATGCTGTATGTGGTGCGGGTGGGAATGCGTTGAGGAGTTTGGAGGAAGTGATTGGTTCTGCTTCTCCTCAAGCGAATTTGTACCTACAGCATAATTTCTGATGGTGGTAAATGTTCTATCCTTTGTATCTTCTTTCTTTTTGTCTTTGTCCTTCCCCATGGTTTTTTTTCTAGGCTAGGAGTTTCTGAAGATGATATTAGTAAACTAGATGATTGGAGAAATAGAAAATGAAGAATGGGATGGTAATCTCAGGAGATATAATTTTTTGCAGGAGTGTTGCAGAATTTTCCTTTTGAACAGAAAGAGGCATTCATTCATTAACTCATTCATCGACGAGTTGAGAAAACAAGAAATAAGATCAAAGATCACAAATCAACCCAGAAAGAGGGAATTCAAAGCAGCGGATCGAAAGAGACCAAGATCTATGGTCTATTAGCTAATTCTGCTTCTTTTTCAACGTCAAACAAGTCTCCTTTGGGCTCCCACACATATGCATCTTCCTGGAACTGCACAGACAAGCCAAGGTGAGCCATCATCAGCCATACAAAGGTGATGAGCTCTCCTCCTTTGCTCAGTTGCTGGGCATGGGCAGTCTTGTCACAGTTGATTGCAGCATACGACAGCAGCTCCACCCACACTTTCCCGACCACTTCCCATTTCTCCGTCTCCAGTTTCTGGAGCTCTTTAGCCAACCTACTTGCTGTAAACAACACAACATTCTCCTTGTTGCTATTACTACCCTTTGATGCTGCGGGAGCACGAAACTCTGGCTTTGCATTCAGGAGTTTCTTGTAAGCACTCCTTATCTGGTTTCGGCCTACACCCCATTTGTCAAACAACTTCCTGACATTTGAACAAGTGTCCTCGAACCTCACCTTGCCAAACCCTGACACGGTTGACATCATTGCAGGTTGCATGATGAGAAGATACAACAAATAGTCGGATAAGGTCTTGCTGAACTCCTTGTAGTCGAGTTCTTTGTCTTGGCTCTCATCACTAGCATTGTTGTACAAGAGCTCCGTGGCTACGTGCCATAACAGGAGGCTTTCGTCATAAGGAATGTTGACAACGGAAGGCATTAGATCAATGCAGCCCTTGTCCAGGCCATATTTCTCCATGACACCCTCCCCTCTGGTGGAACACGCCTTCCTCACGCTGTCCACATCTTTGGTGGTGGCATACTTGTTTGATTTCTCCTTCAGCTCAAGGTAGATGAATTCCCAGAGGTCCTCCCTCAGGGGCTTGCTTGACTTGAACAGCCACTGGTCTTTCACCAGACCCTGAAGGCCAAAGCCAATCTCATACCGATTGAGGCTGTAAGTCATCAAGTTGAAACCGGACACAGATGCACACCACTCCTTGGAGATCACACGGCTCCCTTGTGGTAGTGTATGTTGATCCGGCCTTCTAATAAGATGGCCATAGAAACCAGTCACCACATGGTTTCTCCACCAAGCACTGAAAGCAGTATCAGTAGCAGTACCAGTAGTGGGATCAGAGAGACTTGACTTGAGGATGGCCAGCGCCTCCAAAGCTACAGCACCGAACAGCAAGGTATATGTGACTGTAACATCAATGTCATCGAAATCGGAACTTGAGTTGAGATAGAAGGAGAAGAGTGCCAGCAGTACTGCAGCCACAGCTAGAACACGAGCAATTTTGCCCAAAGCTGAGCGCACAATTAGCAGCTTGGTGTAGAGTACTTGGTAGGTGAAGCCGAGTTCCACCTCCAACACCCTTAAGGCGTCTCGTGCTGATATACCCTCGAAGAACTTGCGGCTGAAATCTCGAATGGGAAGTCCTAGAATCATGTCTGCCAACAGTGCCTGCTCGATTTCCAACAGCCCACCAGCCCTTGTCAGTACATCTAACTCACTCAACAGAGGCTGCTCTTGCTCTTCTTGGTGCTGCACTGTTCTGGCTGATACTGGCTCTGGGTGGTCCAGTATCTCTTGCCATTTCTTGGCGTATTTTTCGGTCTTGTCGTGGTCTGGCTGCAGGGCAACATCTCTGTTCATGTAGTCTCTGAACTTATTCTTGCTGGCCAAGTACATGGAGCAAGTCCTCTCCAAGTACTTGACAAACCCGGCAAGAAACATGAGCGAAGTGGGGAACTTCAACCTGTTGCTGGGGAGTGATAGGAAGAAGAAATAGAGAGTAGTACCGGCCTGCATGAAGAAAGTGATCAAGTGCCTTATCCACAGCTGGTTATCCTCCAGAGCGAAAGCGGTGATGGTATCAGGGCCGCCCAGGTGCACCAAAAGGAAAGGAGCCCAAAACGAGAGGAGGTCTGAGGTAGGGGAAGAAGAAGAATCACCATTATCGGATTGGTTGACGTGGTGGGTCTTGGAAATCATCCCGATGGCAAAGGTTGCGACAGTATCGGCTAGCAAGTAAGCTAACCAGATGAACAAGATTGTTATGCTGCTTGCCGTCCTTCTCCTGTAGGGAGAAGCCAGAATCAGGAAAATCTGGAGGCAGAGGCTGAAGAGAACCGCACCTCTAATGTTCCATTCTGACCATAGAATCTTGAGGATGTCCACGATTGATCCCAACATTTTGTTTCTATCCTCTGCTTTCTCCACAGCACCCTCGCAAAGACCGGAGTGGATCAATCCCCACCTCTTCTACCTCTACAAACGTTTTTCCTGCTTCATCTTTCTTCTTCCTGTGCAGTGAAGTCAACTCCACAAAATAGACAGTCTTTCTTTACATTTCCTCGTACCTGGTACCTTCCCAGTTCCCACCTGCCTGAAAAACCAAACCTCAATCAATTAAATATCTAAGGAAAAGTTTTATATTTCATATCTGCGTCATTATGCTGAGGCGAGAGTGTACAGTACCTTCACTACCTGCTGATTAAGTTATCATCCCACTTGTTACAGGAACGATGAGTTATGTTGCTGGAATCACAGTGATCAATATGGCGAAACAGGTACTTGGAAAGTCAACTCCACATGATACTATGATAGTCTTTCTTTTCTTTGCTTTTCTTTTCTCCGACCTGGTCCGTGGTACCTACTACGTACCTTCACAACGGTCGAAACCTCCAAACCTTGAAAAGACAAAACAATTATCTGTCAATCCCGTTCACATGATCAGTAGTTAACATATCATTATACTTGCCGGAAATGAATTTCCAGGAAGGTCCCTTGTGGTCGAGTGTTCAACGTCTTGCATTGCATTGCATCAACCAACCCATATTTGTGTATGACTATTAATTGCAGAGTTTGACCGCGGATCATGTGAAACAACATCAACGTGTCGCCAAACTTCAATGGAGTTGATAGTAAAACTGATTATCTTAGGTGTCACCACCACCATCCCACTTGCAGGCAGCGGCGCGTTGACATTTCCAAGTTGTGAAGGCAATCTGAAGCTTAAAGGTCTGCCTGCCTGATCACTATTCACTAGTTTCACCATCCATCTCATCTATCAACCTGTGGGAACTGGGATATCTCTCTGGAATCCAGCCACAGAAAGAAAAAAACAAAAATGACCCATCTGGCCAAACAAGTACTTTGCAGGATGGAGGACCTACTCAATATGCCGACCCCGTTCCCATGTACCTTCAAAGGCGAGCTCCGGGAACTCAAGTCCGCCGTCCTCATCATTCAAAGGGTTCTCCACGACGCCGAGGTGCGGCTGGTCTGCACCCATCAGTTCAGGGACTTGGTGGAGAAGGTGGCGGTTGTGATATATGATGTCGATGACTTCCTCGACGAATTTTTCTCCGAGGCTCACGCCTCAGCGATGAAAGACTGCGAGACGACTACTTGCTGGAGCGCGGCATGTTTCTTGGTCAGCTCCTTCCCCGCGTTGTTGTATGGCATCAAAATGGGCCGTGCTATCAAGGGTATCAGGGAGAAGTTGCGTTATCTGGAGAGAGATTGGCCCTTGTTCATGTGGGAAGTTCTTCGCGAGAAACCACCACCGTCTGTTGCTCTTCCCTCGGGAGCGGTGGACGACGAGATAGTTATAATCAGGAGACGAGTAGAAGAACAAGCAATCACTGATAAACTAATGGATGTCGTCGATTGCGAAGAAGCTGCTGACATTTCCGTTGTTAGCATCGTTGGCAAGAGCTTACGGGGGAAGACCACTCTCGCTAAGCTCGTTTCTGAAGACGAGCAAGTGAAGAACCGGTTTGGGAGATCAATTTGGGTGAACGTTTCAGCCCGTCTCAACGCCAGAGATATTCTGACAAAGATGTTGCAGTCCATAACCGGCCAAGGCCATGCTGGGCTTCGGTTAGCTGATCTGGAAGTTCTGCTCCACGAAGAAATAGGCGGTCGACCGTTCTTGCTCGTGTTAGATGATGTGTGGGGGGAGGGAGTCGAAACCTGGAAGAAGCTAGGACAGCATTTGATGGCAGCTGGTGGTGCAGGTGCTGCTGGCAGCAAATTATTGGTGACCACCCGGAGCAGCAATGTGGCAGAGATCGCAAGTCAAGCAATGGCTGCGACACCATACTTCTTGAAAGGCTTGACACCCCACGAGAGTGTTGAATTTTTGATGAGGAAGGCACTTCTTCTTCATGGAGAACGCGCACAAACCGAGCAAGTTGAAGGAATGGCGGAAGAGATAGCCAAACTATGCAGTTGGGTTCCTCTTGCCATTCGGGAGATGGCCACCTTATTAAGTTTGAAAGATCCAGAAAAAGAGTGGCCGTCGATTATACGAGCCCTCCAGAGCGACTATAGGGAAGAAGATGATGGAATGTCCGCAATCCTCCAGTTATGTTTCAATTCTATTCCTTCCCATCTTAAGCTTTGCCTTTCTTGCTGCTCTTTGTTTCGAAGGGGTCATGTATTTGATATTCAGAGTTTGACTCAACTTTGGGAAGCACAAGGGTATGTTAACCAGTCCGGAGAAGAAGGCCCCGGAGGTATGCAGCAAGGTTTTCAGTGTTTCGAGATGTTAAACAAGAGGTCATTCTTCCACGATGTAGAGATGGATGAGTTTGGGAATTTGGCAACATGCAGACTGTACAATTGGGTGTATGATGTACTGTCACTGGGTGAGAATGTCCGCCACTTGACATTGCCCGGTATTCGTCTGGGCGGCCGGGAGTCAAGTTCAAGTAGCACATCCAGCAGATGGGAATTTTCCCTCTTTCCATGCCTCAAGCCACGCTCACTTGATGTTCACAGCTCAGGAATTGAGCAAGTGCCATATTCCATCCAGGACCTGACAATCTTAAGGTACCTTGATGTTTCTGGGAATGATGCCATAAAAGAACTCCCAGAATCTATCAGCGAGCTCTGGCATTTGCAAGTCCTCAAGCTTTCTGGCTGCACACGGCTGAAGCAGCTACCAAGCAATATCAGGAAGCTGGTTAACCTGAAGCATCTGTACTCTGAAGGATGTTGGAGCTTGACCCATATGCCTCGCGGGATTGGGGAGTTAACTTCACTGCTCACCTTGACGTGTTTCGTGTTGCCAAAGCAGAGCTCCCCCTCAAAGCACATGGCTGCCGGGCTGAGTGAGCTGGGTAGCCTCAAACACCTGAGGGGTCGACTAGAAATCAGAAACCTCGGAGCTCATAATAGTGGTGGGACGGAGCTTGAGTGCCGTACAAGTTTCCTGATAGAGAAGCAGGGGCTCCAGTCATTGAGTTTATGCTGGGACATGGATGATGGAGCAAATGCAGATGTCAAGCAGCAACATCAACATACGTTAGAGTGTTGCCAGCCGCCCCCAGGACTCAAAGAGCTAGAGATCTCAGAGTATGGAGGAGAGAAATTCCCCAGTTGGCTTTCTTCTCTCAAGGATCTCATCCGAATAAAGATACTCGACTGCCCAAGATGTCGTTCTCTCCCACCCTTGGAGGAATTCCCACTTCTCCAATCATGTACTATTGATAGCTTACCAAAGTTGGAGTACATTGACAGCTGGTCCAAAAGGAAGCATGATTCCCCTTTGTTCCCATCCTTGAAAGAACTCTATCTATCCAACTGTCCCGGGCTGAAGGGGTGGTGGGAGGAAGATGTCGATGTTACATTTCCCACGTTCCATTGCCTTTCTAGGTTGGAGATTCGTGATTGTCCGAAGCTTGATCAGATGCCACTGTTCCCCACCCTGGAAGATAAGCTTCTGCTGGAGTATTCCAGCTTAGCTCCTCTGCAGCAGACGATCCAGCATCAGGAAGAGACTTCATCTTCATTTTCGCCTCTCTCCAGATTGAAGTCTATGTGGATTTTGTCAATCGAAGAGCTTCAAGTCCTTCCAGAACAATGGCTGCAGAAGTTGCCATCTCTGCAAGAGCTGCTAATCGAGTTTTGTCCAAAACTATCGTTCCTGCCTCCAGGGATGCGTCGGCTGACCTCTCTGCGAGTGTTGGATGTCCACAGATGTCCCCAGCTCACTCAAAGATGTGGAAGCAACAAAGCAGTGGACTGGCCAAACATAGCTCACATCACAAACATCAGGATCGACAAGAAACTGATTCAGCTGGGTGGAAGGTATCAGTTGTCCGAAAAGGACTCAATTGCAGCAATAGCCAACTTCTCCTTTGTCCATCCTCTCTCCAAAATCACTAGTGTCACGGTAGAGAGCCTTGAGTCTCTACCAGCGGAATGGGTACAGAATCTCAGCACCCTGAAAGAGCTCAAGATTGTCAACAGTCCAAGTATTGACTCCTGGCCGCAAGAGCTGCGTAGTGTCACACATTTGGAGAGGTTGCAGATCAGTGGATGCGCCATGCTGGAGGAAATGTGCATCGAGGACAAGGATTGCTCCGCCATTGCCCATGTTCCTTTTGTGCAAGCTGGTGACAGAGTCGTTCGACCACTACCTCGCTAGCTCTTGCTGCAGATCACTCAGCCGTCTCTTGTTCGTGATGGATATCTGCTGGTACAGGGAGCATTGTCATCCCCTAGTGATAAGACATCCTACATGGTTGATTAATGGAAAAGCTTGGGAGGCAAGGATTACAGTGAGACCATCTGCATCGCCTTTCATCTCACCATTTCATTGGGGACGTGGCAATTACAAATGCTATGTCATGGTTGCAGCACTCATTTCAAATAGTGACAGCTTTCACTTGGGGTCGTTTGGATGTGGAAATGTAATGCAGTAATTGGACCCAATTACCACATAATGCAGTAATTGGGTTAATGTCATCAAACTCAGCGGTAATCTATGGAACGCCAGCTCACTTCCCATTCACTGGTTTAACCGCTGGCAGTGGCTTTGTCTGCGGGCTGCTCATAGATTCCAATCAACCTTACTGCTGGGGAACGAGTGGGTACATTCAAATGGGTGTCCCTCAACCTATGATAAAAGATGCTGAGTATGTAGAAATCAGTGCAGGAGATTACCATTTGTGTGGTTTGAGGAAGCCATTGACAGGCAGGCTTAGAAACAACTCCCTTGTAGATTGCTGGGGCTACAACATGACCAAGAACCACGAATTCGACGGTCCAGTGCAGTCGATTTTGGCTAGCTACGAGTTCAACTGTGGGCTGTTTGCTTTGAACAGGATGGTTTTTTGCTGGGGTGATGAGACCAGTAGTAGATTGATTAGCTTGATCCCCAAGGAAATGAGGTTTAGGGCAGTTTCTGCTCGTAGGTATCATGTTTGTGGGATTTCGGAAGGTGTTGATTCGACCCCGTTGTGCTGGGGGAAGAGCTTGGACTTGGAGGGAGAGATGGCGATGGAGATGATGGAAATGGAGAATTCTTCTGGCGAGGTGAATGTGGATTTGGCTCTAAAGGAGCCTATGGTTTCAATTGTTGGAGGAAAGTTCCATGCTTGTGGTATCAAGAGCTATGACCGTGGAGTCATCTGCTGGGGGTTTGTTGTTTAGAAGAGCACCCCACCTCCTAGTGGCATTAAGGTTTACCAGATTGCAGCTGGGAATTACTTCACCTGTGGAATCCTCGCCGAGAAAGACCTCTCAACAGTTTGCTGGGGGTTTGGATTCCCTACTTCCCTCCCACTGGCTATCCCTCCTGGAATGTGCAACACTGCTTCATGTGCTTCTGGAACCTACGAGCTCAATTCTTCTGATAATATCAATAACGTGCCTTGCAAGGCTCTTCCTTCGGCTTCTCATGTATGCTTACCTTGTACCAATGGCTGCCCTCCTGAGATGTATGAGAAAGCTCAGTGCACATCGAAATCGGATCGACTATGCGAGTACAACTGCTCAGCTTGCTACTCTACTGAATGCTTGTCGAGCTATTCTTCTGGGGAGAAGAATAAGAAGGAGAAGAAGGATGAGAGGGGTTGGTCGATTCAGCTGCTTGTGATTGTTTCATTTGCTGTGTTCTTGGCGGTCATTGTGTCCGCAACTGCTGTTCTGTACGTTAGGTACAGGTAATAACGTAGTTGAAATCTCGATTTCGATCTTTCATAGAATATCAAAATGTTACATTTACCATTCAACTTCATGAGTGTTTATTCCATTTTCGATTTTGAATCCATGGATACAGGTTGAGGAACTGCCATTGCTCATCAACTGCCACAACCTCTAACCCAAAGAAAACCCAACAAGGGAGAGGAGGAGCCTCCTCATCATCACTTAAATGCCAAAATCAGACCAGAAATAAGAAGAGCACAGACCTTCACGTACGAGGAGCTCAACAAGGCAACAAACGGCTTCAAAGACGAATCCTTCGTCGGCAAAGGCAGCTTCTCATGTGTCTGCAAGGGAGTCTTGAGAAACGGCACCGTGGTAGCAGTGAAAAAGGCCATTGTCTCTTCAGAACAGCAGAAGAACTCCAAGGAGTTCCACACGGAGCTCAACCTTCTGTCGAGGTTGAACCATGCTCATCTGTTGAATATGTTGGGATAATGCGAAGAAGATGGCGAGATGCTGCTTGTGTATGAGTTCATGGCTCATGGCTCATTGCACCAGCACCTCCATGGGAAGAGCAAAGGGTTGAGAGAGCAGATGGATTGGGTTAGGAGGGTGACCATTGCGGTTCAGGCAACGAGAGGGATTGAGTACTGGCATGGCTATGCTTGCCCTCCTGTGATCCACCGCGACATTAAATCGTCGAACATTATGATTGACGAGGAGCATAATGCAAGGGTGGCTGATTTCGGGCTCCCCCTGCTTGGACCAGTTGATAGTGGTTCTCCCCTGGCTGAGTTGCCTGCAGGTATAGTAGTTAGTAGTCATATTCATGAGTTTGCTAAAGAAAATATTTGTTTTGATTATGTAAATTCCTTTAAATTTGATCCTGATTGCATTACAGGTACATCAGATACCTTGATCCGGAGTACTATAGGCTCCATTACCTCACGACCAAGTCCGACGTCTACAGCTTTGGGGTTCTGCTGCTTGAGATACTGAGTGGGAGAAAGGCCATTGATATGCAGTTTGAGGAAGGCAACATAGTGGAATGGGCAGTGCCCTTGATTAGATCAGGAGACACCTCATCTATCCTAGACCCAATTCTGAAGCCACCATTCCGACCTGGAAGCACTGAAGAGGATAGCGAACGTTGCTTGCAAGTGTGTGAGGATGAGAGGCAAGGAGAGGCCATCAATGGACAAAGTAACTACTGCACTAGAACGCGCCCTTGCACAGCTAATGGGTAGCCCCTGCTACGAGCAGCCGATACTGCCAACTGAGGTGGTGCTGGGGAGCAGCCGGATGCACAAGAAATCGTCGCAGAGGTCATTGAACCGGTCTGGCTCAGAGGCAGCTACCGAGGTGGTGGTAGCAGCAGCAGAAGGGGAGGAACAGAGGATCGAGTTCAGAGCTCCATCATGGATAACATTCCCCAGTGTGACTTCCTCTCAGCGGAGGAAGTCGTCTGTGTCTGAGGCGGACGTCGATGGGAAAGCTTTTGGAAACAAGAAATGCTGTATGTGGTGCGGGTGGGAATGCGTTGAGGAGTTTGGAGGAAGAGATTGGTCCTGCTTCTCCTCAAGCGAATTTGTACCTACAGCATAATTTCTGATGGTGGTAAATGTTCTCTCCTTTGTATCTTCTTTCTTTTTGTCTTTGTCCTTCCCCATGGTTCTTTTTTTCTAGGCTAGGAGTTTCTGAAAATGATATTAGTAAACTAGATGATTGGAGAAATAGAAAATGAAGAATGGGATGGTAATCTCAGGAGATATAAATTTTTGCAGGAGTGTTGCAGATTTTTCCTTTTGAACAGAAAGAGGCATTCATTCATTAACTCATTCATCGACGAGTTGAGAAAACAAGAAATAAGATCAAAGATCACAAATCAACCCAGAAAGAGGGAATTCAAAGCAGCGGATCGAAAGAGACCAAGATCTATGGTCTATTAGCTAATTCTGCTTCTTTTTCAACGTCAAACAAGTCTCCTTTGGGCTCCCACACATATGCATCTTCCTGGAACTGCACAGACAAGCCAAGGTGAGCCATCATCAGCCATACAAAGGTGATGAGCTCTCCTCCTTTGCTCAGTTGCTGGGCATGGGCAGTCTTGTCACAGTTGATTGCAGCATACGACAGCAGCTCCACCCACACTTTCCCGACCACTTCCCATTTCTCCGTGCCCAGTTTCTGGAGCTCTTTCGCCAACCTGCTAGCTGTGAACAACACAACATTCTCCTTGTTGCTGTCACTACCCTTTGATGATGCTGCGGGAGCACCAAACTCTGGCTTTGCATTCAGGAGTTTCTTGTAAGCACTCCTGATCTGGTTACTCCCCACGCCCCATTCGCCAAACAACTTTCTGACCTTCGAACAAGTGTCCTCGAACCTCACCTTGCCAAACCCTGACACGGTTGACATCATTGCAGGTTGCATGACGAGAAGATACAACAAGTAGTCGGATAAGGTCTTGCTGAACTCCTTGTACTCGGGTTCTCTGCCTTGGCTTTCATCACTAGCATTGTTGTACAAGAGCTCTGTGGCTACGTGCCATAACAGGAGGCTCTCGTCGTAAGGAATGTTGACAACGGAAGGCATTAGATCAATGCAGCCCTTGTCCAGGCCATATTTCTCCATGACACCTTCCCCTCTGACGGAACACGCCTTCCTCACGCTGTCCAGATCTTTGGTGGTGACATACTTGTTTGATTTCTCCTTCAGCTCAAGGTAGATGAATTCCCAGAGGTCCTCCCTCAGCGGCTTGCTTGACTTGAACAGCCACTGGTCTTGCACCAGACGCGGAAGGTAAGACCCAATCTCGTAGCGTCTGAGGCTATAAGTCATCAAGTTGAAACCAGATACAGAGCCACACCACTCATCCGAAATCACAGGTCTTCCTTCTGGTGGTGTAGCCTCCTCGGGTCTTCCCGTAAGATGGAGGAAAGGCTTGTAGAAAACGACCACCGCAAGCTTTCTCAACCAAGCCCAGAAGAAAGGCTCACAGCAACCTGCCACCACATGTTTTCTCCACCAAGCCCTGAAAGTCGTAGCAGCACCAGTTGTGGGATCAAAGAGACTTGACTTGAGGATGGCCAGCGCCTCCAACGCTAATGCACCGAACAGCAAGGTATACGTGATTGTAACATCAATGTCATCGAAATCTGAACCATAGTTGAGATGGAAGGAGGAGAGTGCCAGCAGGACCGCGGCTACAGCTAGAACACGAGCGATCCTGCCCCAAGCTGAGCGTACAATTTGAAACTTGGTGTAGAGGACACGGTAAGTGAAGCCGAGTTCCACCTCTAACACCCGTAGCGCGTCTCGTGCTGATACACCCTCAAAGAGCTTGCGGCTGGAATCTCGAATGGGAAGTCCTAGAATCATGTCTGCCAACAGTGCCTGTTCGATTTCCAACAGCCCGCCAGCCCTTTTCAGTACATCCAACTCGCTCAACAGAGGCTCCTCCTGCTCTTCTTGCTGCCGCACTGTTCTTGCTGCTATTACCTCTGGGTGGTCCACTATCTTTTGCCATTTCTTAGCATATTTTTCGGTCTGGTCATGGTCCGGCTGTAGGCTGACATCTCTGTTCATGTCGTCTCTGAACTTGTTCTTGCTGGCCAAGTACATGGAGCGTGTCCTCTCCAAGTACTTGACACATCCAGAAAGAAACATGAGCGAAGTGGGGAACTTGAGCCTGTTGTTGGGGAGTGATAGGTAGAAGAAATAGAGAATGGTACCGGCCTGCATGAAGAATGTGGTTAAGTGCCTGCGCCACAGCTGATTATCCTCCAGAGAGAAAGCGGTGATGGTATCAGGACCGCCCAAGTGCACCAAAAGGAAAGGAGCCCAAAACGAGAGGAGCTCTGGGGAAGGAGAAGAAGAGGAAGCATCACCGCTATCATCAGACTGATTTCCGTGGTGGGTCTTGGAGATGAGCCCGATGGCGTATATTGCGACCATATCAGCCACCACATAAGCTAACCAGATGAAAAAGATGATAATGCTGCATCTTGTCCATCTCCTGGAGGGAGAAGCCAGAATCAGGGAAATCTGGAGGCAGAGGCTGCCAAGAACCGCACTTCTGATGTTCAATTCTGAACATAGAATCTTGATGATGTCCACTATTTCCGACATGTTTTCCACTCTCTCCTCTCCACAGCTTCCTTGCAAGGCTAGAGTGGTTTAATCCAAAATCAATCTACTTCTGCACAACTGTGAAAAGGTTATTCTTCTTTCCAAGTGCAGTGAAGCCAGCTCCTCCTCAATAGACAGTCTTTCTTTACATTTCCTCGGACCTGGTCCCTTCCCAGTTCCCACCTGCCTGAAAAACCAAACCTCAATCAATAAAAAATCAAAAGTAAAATATAATATTTCATTTCTGCGTCATTATGCTGAGGTGAGAGTGTTTAGTGGGGGGGGAAAAAACTATCTGCTGATGTACTTGGCTTGTTCAATTCTGATGTCCGTCTCTCGAATGAAAAGGTTCTTCTTTCCATGTGCAGTTAAGTCAACTCCACATGATACTATGATAGTCTTTCTTTATATTTCTCCTACCTGGTACCATCTACCTTAAAAAACAAACAGTATTTGTCATATCGCCGGGTTCACATTATCAGTTGTTAACATATCATTATACTTGCAGGAAATGAATTTCCAGGAAGTTCCCTTGTGGTTGAGTGTTCAATGTCTTGCATTGCATATACTAACCAATATTTGTATGGCTATTGCAGCGTTGACGCCGGATCACGTGAAGCAACATCGACGTGTCACCAAACTTCAACGGAGTAATAGTAAACTAATCATCTTAGGCATTACTATCATCCCCACTTGCAGGCAGCCGTTCACATTTCCAAATTGGTGAAGTCAATCTGAAGCTTGCTAGCAAGTAAGCTAACCAGATGAACAAGATTGTTATGCTGCTTGCCGTCCTTCTCCTGTAGGGAGAAGCCTGAATCAGGAAAATCTGGAGGCAGAGACTGAATAGAACCGCACCTCTGATGTTCCATTCTGACCATAGAATCTTGAGGATTTCCACGATTGATCCCAACATTTTGTTTCTGTCATCTACTTTCTCCACAGCACCCTTGCAAGACTGGAGTGGATTCAATCCCACCTCTGCCACAGTGCCACCTCTACAAACTTTTTTCTGCTGCTTCTTTCTTCTTCATGTGCAGGGAAGTCAACTCCACTCGATAGTCTTTCTTTACATTTCCTCGGACCAGGTACCTTTCCCAGCTCCCACCGGCCTGAAAACCCCCAATCAATAAAAAATCAAAAGAAGAATATAACACTTCATATCTGCGTCATTATGCTGAGGTTAGAATGTTCAGTACCTTAACTACCTGCTGATGTAGTTGGCTTGTTCGATTCTTCTTCTTTCCATGTGTAGTGAAGTCAACTCCACATGATACTATGATAGTCTTTCTTTACTATTCTCCTACGTGCTACCATCTACCTTAAAAAAACAAACAATATCTGTCAATCTCGAGTTATCGGGATCTAAAGGGAAAGTCATATTGCCGGTTCACATGATCAGTTGTTAACATATCATTATACTTGCATGAAATGAATTTCCAGGAAGGTCCCTTGTGATTGAGTGTTCAATGTCTTGCATTGCATCAACCAACCAATATTTGTATGACTATCGCAGAGTTGACGCCAGATCATGTGAAGCAGCATCGACGTATCACCAAACTCCAATGGAGTGATAGTAAACTAATCATCTTAGGCATCACTGTCATCCCACTTGCAGAAAAAATGGCGTCAATTTTGGCCTACCAAGTACTTCGCAAGATGAATGACTTGGCCTATGTGCAGAGCGGCTACCGACTGTCGGGAGCACAAGTCGACCTCTCGAAACTCAAGGTATTATCAGTAGTTAGAACGTCACTAGCCATAGCCATTTAAAAAACATATCACCAAGACCCTTGACCTGGGCTTTAAATATACTGGTTTCCGGGAAGGTCACTGGTTTAGGTTAGGTTACATCAACCAACAACTACTTGTATGAGTTTTACTGATATTTAATGCTGCGTCCATGTTGGTTCCGATGATCATCACAGCAACAAATAAGCACATTATAAGTCGATTAATAGTCTGATTAGTTATCATCCCCACTTGCAGGCAGCGCTTGATATTTTTCACTACCCATCTCATCTATCAACCTGGGGAGATATCTCTCTGGAATCCAGCCACAGAAGAAGAAAAAAAAATGACCCATCTGGCCAAACAAATACTTGGCAGGATGGAGGACCTACAAAATATGCCGACCCCCTTCCCATGTACCTTCAAAGGCGAGCTCTGGAGACTCAAGGACTCCGTCCTCGTCTTACAAGCGGTTCTCCCTGATGCCGAACAGCAGCAGGTCTACTCCCATCAGGTCAGAGACTGGCTGGAGAAGTTGTCGGATACGATGTATGAAGTTGAACATTTTCTGGACGATTTATCCGTCGAGGCTCACTTGTCAGCGATAAAAGATGGCGAGACGACTTTCTTGGTCAACTCCTTCCCCGGGGCGTTGCTGTATGGCGTCAAAATGGGTCGTGCTATTAAGGCCATCACGGAGAAGCTGGATTTTCTAAGGAAAGATGTGCAAATGTTCCACTTGCAGGTTGCTGATCGTCTCGAGCAACCACCGCCTGTTGCTCTTCTCTCGAGAGCTGTACTGGACGAAATAGTTATCGGGAGACAAGAAGAAGCAGCAGTAATCACTGATAAACTAAGGCGTTTCGATTTTGAAGCTGCTGGCGTTTCCGTTTTCAGTATTGTTGGCAAGGGCGGACTGGGGAAGACCACTCTCGCCAAGCTCATTTCCGAGAACGAGGCGGTGAAGGAACATTTTGGGAGACAAGTTTGGGTGAACGTTTCAACCAGGTTCAACGCCAAAGAAATTCTGGCAAAGATGTTGCAGTCCATAACCCGTCAAAGCCATGCTGGGCTTCGGTTAGCAGATCTAGAAGTTGTGCTCCAAGAAAAAATAGGCGGTGGGCGGTTCTTGCTCGTGTTGGACGATGTTTGGGAGGAGGGATTCGAGACCTGGAAGAAGCTAGGACAGCATTTGATGACAGTTGGTGGTGCAGCTGGCAGCAAAGTGTTGGTGACTACTCGGAGCAACAAGGTGGCAGAGATGGCAAGTCGAGCAATGATGGAGCCGGGCACAAGCACAAGCATGGTTGAGACGCCATATATCTTGAGAACCTTACCGCTGGACGTGAGTTTTCAATTTTTGATGAAGAGCTCACTTCTTCTTCACGGAGAAGGCGCACAAACCGAGCAAGTTGAAGGGATAGCAAAAGAGATAGCCATGATATGCGGTGGGGTTCCACTTGCCATTCGGGAGATGGCCTCCCTGTTAAGTTTGAAAGATCGAAAAGAGTGGCCGTCGATTGTACGAGGCCTCCAGAGAAACTATAGGGATGGAGTTGATAGCATGTCCGTAATCCTCCAGTTATGTTTCAATTCTATTCCTTCCCATCTTAAGCTCTGCCTTTCTTGCTGCTCTTTGTTTCCAAGGGGTCATGTGTTTGATATCCAGAGTTTGACTCAACTTTGGGAAGCACAAGGGTATTTTGAAGAAGGCGGCTCGGGAAATAGGCAAGGTTTGCAGTGTTTCGAGATGTTAAACAGGAGGTCATTCTTCCACGATGTAGAGATGGATGAGTTTGGGAATTTGGCGACATGCAGAATGTACAATTGGGTGTATGATTTAGCTTCAATGGGACACAATGGCCGCCACTGGTCATTGTCCCCTAATTCAGAATCTTCGTCGCGGTTCCCAACCAATATCCACCCAAGTTTACTGCGGAGTATTCTTTTGGGCGGCCAGGAATCGAGTTCAGCCAGCAGACGGGGATGGTCCATGTTAAAACCCCTCTTCCCAAGCCTCAAGTCCTTGAGCGCACTTGATGCTCACAGCTCAGGAATTGAGCAAGTCCCATCTTCCATCCGGTACCTGGCAATTTTAAGGTACCTTGATGTTTCTGGGAATGATGCCATGGAACAACTCCCGGAATCTATCAGCGAGCTCTGGCAATTGCAAGTGCTCAAGCTTTCTGGCTGCACACGGCTGAAGCAGCTACCAAGAAATATCAGGAAGCTGGTTAACCTGAAGCATCTCTACTCTGAAGGATGTTGGAGCTTGACCCATATGCCTCGCGGGATTGGGGAGTTAACTTCACTGCTCACCTTGACGTGTTTCGTGTTGCCAAAGCAGAGCTCCCCCTCAAAGCACATGGCTGCCGGGCTGAGTGAGCTGGGTAGCCTCAAACACCTGAGGGGTCGACTAGAAATCAGGAACCTCGGATCTCATAATAGTGGTGGGACGGAGCTTGAGTGCCGTACAAGTTTCCTGATAGAGAAGCAGGGGCTCCAGTCATTGAGTTTATGCTGGGACATGGATGATGGAGCAAGTGCAGATGTCAAGCAGCAACATGAACAGACGTTAGAGTGTTGCCAGCCGCCCCCAGGGCTCAAAGAGCTAGAGATCTCAGAGTATGGAGGAGAGAAGTTCCCGAGTTGGCTTTCTTCTCTCAAGGATCTCATCCGAATAAAGATACTCGACTGCCCAAGATGTCGTTCTCTCCCACCCTTGGAGGAATTCACACTTCTCCAATCATGTACTATTGATAGCTTACCAAAGTTGGAGTACATTGACAGCTTGTCCAAAAGGAAGCATGATTCCCCTTTGTTCCCATCCTTGAAAGAAGTCTATCTAACCAACTGTCCCGGGCTCAAGGGGTGGTGGGAGGAAGGTGTCGATGTTACATTTCCCTCATTCCATTGCCTTTCTAGGTTGGAGATTCGTGATTGTCCGAAGCTTGATCAGATGCCACTGTTCCCCACCCTGGAAGATAAGCTTCTGGTGGAGTATTCCAGCTTAGCTCCTCTGCAGCAGACGATCCAGCATCAGGAAGAGGCTTCATCTTCATTTTCGCCTCTCTCCAGATTGAAGTCTCTGTGGATTTTGTCAATCGAAGAGCTTCAAGTCCTTCCAGAACAATGGCTGCAGAAGTTGCCATCTCTGCAAGAGCTGCTAATCGAGTTTTGTCCAAAACTATCGTTCCTGCCTCCAGGGATGCGTCGGCTGACCTCTCTGCGAGTGTTGGATGTCCACAGATGTCCCCAGCTCACTCAAAGATGTGGAAGCAACAAAGCAGTGGACTGGCCAAACATAGCTCACATCACAAACATCAGGATCGACAAGAAACTGATTCAGCTGGGTGGAAGGTATCAGTTGTCCGAAAAGGACTCAATTGCAGCAATAGCCAACTTCTCCTTTGTCCATCCTCTCTCCAAAATCACTAGTGTCACAGTAGAGAGCCTTGAGTCTCTACCAGCGGAATGGGTACAGAATCTCAGCACCCTGAAAGAGCTCAAGATTGTCAACAGTCCAAGTATTGACTCCTGGCCGCAAGAGCTGCGTAGTGTCACACATTTGGAGAGGTTGCAGATCAGTGGATGCGCCACGCTGGAGGAAATGTGCATCGAGGACAAGGATTGCTCCGCCATCGCCCATGTTCCTTTTGTGCAAGCTGGTGACAGAGTCGTTCGACCACGACCTCGCTAGCTCTTGCTGCAGATCACTCAGCCGTCTCTTGTTCGTGATGGATATCTGCTGGTACAGGGAGCATTGTCATCCCCTAGTGATAAGACATCCTACATGGTTGATTAATGGAAAGCTTGGGAGGCAAGGATTACAGTGAGTGGCAATAGGATCTTGGAGGAAGAGACTGGTCCTACATCTGTGTGCATTTGTACTTGCTGCATTATTTCTGATGTTATTTTCGTTCTTTTCTTCCATAGGAGTTTATGAAGATGAAATTAGTTGAGAGATGAATCGGAGAAACTGGGGAAACAATGGAGGATGTTGATGTAAATTTCTGGCTGGTAGTAGATCTCTATGAATAGTGATGGGGTCTAACGTGGCGGATTTTTTTAATGTAGCGGTTTGAGTATTATTTTCTGGTTTCGGATTAAAATGAGGTGACTCAGCATTTATGTCAGTCACGTTGCAAAAATTACGGATTGTGCTAATAGAGTATGTCGAGAGCATGGTCCATGAAAACGTACCGTGTCGGCGGTTCAACTCAAAATATCAGTATCGGAGGCTAAACCGATAGGTGGTATTTAATAGTACTAACGGTTGAACTACGATTAAACTACGATTTTGTCATAAAATACCTTACCGATGACTTTTTCGGTACGGTCTCCGGTACGGTTTCATGGACCAAGGCCGAGAGTGAACTACCAGTGACTAAAATTCAAATAATAATTAGGTTATAGTGACCACTAATACTAATACAACGCAACTAAATATTTAAGTGGTAAATGTGAAAGAAACAAGTTCAACTAGTAACCAAATCTGCTATTCACCTAATAATTCTGAATAATTAGTTAATTACCCATTAATTATTGCAGACGCTCATTTTTTCATCTAATTTCGCCGAATAATTGTTTTTTTTATTTATAAACAGCAATTTAATAATTAATTGTTTGAAAGAGAGAGAATAGAAGAGAAGAAAAAAGCCAAAAAGGGCGTCTGGGCTGGGAGGCGAGTGACATCAAAGCACCCACTCCGTCCTCCCTCCGTCCCTCTTCTTAATAGCTGTTTCTCATCATCCTTCCTCTCCGCGGTAAATTCAATTCCCTTCAAGCTAATTTCAATTTCTAGGGTTTGATTGCTGGGGGCTCGGACAATTTCACTTTTTATGATCAATGATTGGGGAATTCCGTTTTTTTCCTTCCCCCGAGTGGTTCCCGGCGACTGATTCATTGAATTAAAATGCTCGGAGTTTAGTGTTGATGAACTTTCCGGGATTCCATTAATTCGTCTTCTGAAGCAGGTTGCTCTTGCTTCCACTGCGGCCTTCTGCATGATTTTCTCCAGATCCTGATCGCAGCAGCTTGTTCTTTCCCCGGTGAGCATAGTTTCTTTCCGCCTCTTCTTTGGGTTAACTCTGTTGCTTCATCGATCTTGACTCTTGCTGCTTTTGGTCTTGTATTTTGGCCGAATTCCCGTTTGATCTGTGTTATTGGGTCTGTAGTTCCCGATTGGGTGTTGATAAGTTCATTTCATGGGGAATTGTTGGGCAACTGAGCTGTAGTGGAGGGTTTTTGGGTAGATGCATTTCTGAATTTGGGGGTGTATGGTCTTTACAGGGTGAGGTGGGGGGTTTCTGAATTCTCAATTGGGGAAGGATGGGGGTTATGTCGAGGCGGGTTATACCCGCCTGCGGTAACCTCTGCTTCTTCTGTCCTTCACTGAGAGCAAGGTCAAGACAGCCAGTTAAGCGGTACAAGAAGCTCCTTTCTGATATATTCCCTCGGAATCAGGTGATTGTGATATTTCAAGTATGAGTTCTGAATTTACCCGAAAAACTGTGCTTAGCAAGTGTTGTTAGTGCTTCCAGAGTGGTGACAGATTATTGGTCGAGAACTTAAGATTCTAGCTATTGTTAAGTACTTCCTGTTCCACTGTATGTTTCCATTTTTCTTGTTTGGTGTGAAGTTCACTTACATCACTAATGGATAGTCAATGCATGTCCTAAAGAATGATCTGTTCCAGTTGGGATGGAACATCTTTTGTATGATAAAAAATCTTAAATGTTTATGCTAGTGTAGTCAGGTCCTATGGTTCTTTATCTACCAAAATCATCCCAATCACTCACCACTGTTGATTTTATGTTTCTTAGTTGGAGGATGAAGCTGCGTATTGCATCTTGATTTGCTTCTAATGCAGTTTCTTTTCTTATGTAGGAAGCTGAACCAAACGATAGGAAGATTGGGAAGCTGTGCGAATATGCTTCAAAAAACCCACTGCGGATTCCTAAGGTTTGCCTTTGTGATTGGAAGGATATATTTTGGTGAATGATGGAGATGGTGGAATATATCATCTGTATTTGTAAGCATTGCTTAAAAAGTTATGTTAAAAACTGTCATATATCTTCCATTGTCTTCTGTTGTCATCTTCTACTTTGTTATGACTAAGTGTCATAATCATGGCCTTTATTCATAATGCCGTTCTAATATCATCTTGATTGGAATTCAAATTTAATGTTATTTTGCCTGCAAATGACTTACGGGTTTGATGGGTGCAAAAGCAGTTGAATTTGAAAGGTTGCATACCGAGGGGTTTAGCTCAATGCCACCTAGTTAGTTACTGGTTTCATTTTCATTTGCTTATTCCGTGTGTGGTCTGCATGTTTTTGTGCACAGATCACTGAGACTCTGGAACAGAGGTTTTACAAAGAGTTGCGCCATGGACGCTTTGGGTCTGTAAAAGTCGTTGCATGTATTTACCGGAAAATGTTATTTTCCTGCAAGGACCAAATGTAAGTGTGCATATCTTTTTTCTTATATTTGTCTCAACTTTTTTAAACCGGGAGAAGAATGAGGATGGAGGACAAAAGTGGATACATGGATATTTCACACAGTACTTTACAGAGATAACTCAAAAGAAGAAGTTCAAACTCTAGATGGACATATACTTTGATTTGTTTATGTAAAGTTGAGCTCATTGATAAACTGCGATATCATTTGAGCTATCTGATTAAATACAAATAATTCACCTGAATCTTTTTTCTACAACTGAGACCAATGTTCTTTTTTTCTTCGTTAACATTTGCTTGAGCTATGCCTTGCAGGTCATTATTTGCCAGTAGTTTGTTAGGAATCATGCAGACATTACTGGAGCAGACTCAGCGTGTTGAATTGCAGACCTTGGCTTGCAACACTTTCGGTGATTTCATAAGTAGCCAGGTTTGTAGTTTGTGGACCTCTAAGTCTGACGAGAACTGTCAACTAGATTTATTTAACCCTTAGTTTCTGATATTGACTGGCAATCAGTTTACTGTCTTTTATGTCCACCCATATTGTTGGAACTGCTCTAGCTTGTCTAAGTGAACAAAACGAAATAGGAATACCCTGCTAATGATATACGATTCAACAGATTTCTATTGGACCATCTGAAGAACGACAACAAGTCGTTAGAATAATAATAAAAAATTATCAATGAAAAAACAAATAGTTAGGCACGAGACAGTTTCCGTGTTTGACCCCTATTGTGCGCAACCTGCGATGTTCCCCCTTCCAAGGTACTTGAACCGGGCCCAACCGGGCTCGGCTTACCTGGTCTAATGGTTTTTCTGGCTCACTGGGCCTGGGCCCTGGGGTTTGCCGCTGGAGGTGGTTTCCTCAGCATAAAGAAAAAATTGATTCCATAGATTTTGTCTTCGGTAATCATGTACGGTTGATGTAGATATTATGTTTTAATATTCATGCTTTGCTTATTAAAGAGATACTGACTTGTTGATAGGTAGATGGCTCATATATGTTCAACTTAGAGGGCATCATTCCTAAGCTCTGTAGATTGTCTGAAGGCGAGGGAGACGATGAAAATGCTCTGCGTTTGCGTTCTGCAGGACTCCAAGCTCTTGCTTCCATGGTATGACAGCTTTTCCTCCCCATTTTCAGTGTCCGGTTTTCTTCCACTTTTGAGGTTTCTGCATGGAAGTGGGTAGCATGTTCATAAAAAGTACTCTTATATAATATACGGGCCTTAACTTCTTCGAACAAGAATTTATGTATTGATCTAAATTGCTTTGTTGATTTAGTCATTAGACCATGTGATTTTTCATATGTTCTTTTCCTCTCTATTTTCTCTTTCTAATTAGTATGTTTATACTCCGTAGGTGTCTTTCATGGGAGAGCACTCTCACATATCGATGGATTTCGACAATGTGAGTTGATTATCTGTTTTTAGGATGAAATAATGTGGATGGATCTTAAATAATGCTAATGAGAACTTTTTCTTTCTTGAACTAGATTATATCAGTCACTTTGGAGAACTACATCGATTTCGAAATGAATGCAGAAAATAGTGAAGAAGATCATTGGACTCAAGAAGTGCGAAAAGCAGAAGATAATGCTTCATCTTTCCCCAATACCAGTAAGAAAGTCACCTTTGCAAATGTGGATACCAAATCTCAACTGGTCCCCACTGGGTAAGGCTCACCTTACTTTGTAGCATCTCTTTGGGAAGGAACATTTTGGTGAAATTAACAGGTTTTTACTGTTCTTAATTGCTGAGCAGTGACACGTCAAAAAATCCATCTTACTGGTCTCGAGCTTGCTTGTGCAATATGGCCAAATTGGCCAAAGAAGCATCAACAGTCCGACGCATTCTTGAACCTCTATTTCACAACTTTGATGTCAATGATCGTTGGTCCCTTCAAAGTGGAGTTGCATGCTCTGTCTTGATGCAGTTGCAATCCCTTTTGGAGGAAACAGGTTAGAGTGTGCATGTTTTACACGCTTCTAATTCTAGCTGGGTACCAAGCGGGTGTGCTTAATCTTCTTTCATGCTATCCATAGGTGAGAACTCTCATCTCTTGTTATCGGGCCTGATCAAGCACTTGGATCACAAGAACGTTGCTAAGCAACCTCTTGTGCAGATAGATATTGTTAACATTGCTGAAAGACTTGGACAGAACTCAAAGCAGCAGTGCACTGTAGCTCTTATTGGTGCAATATCTGAGTTATTAAAACATCTGAGAAAATGCTTCCAAATTTCAAGTGGATCGTCCAGCCAAAAGGATGACCCTGATAAATTAAATATGGATCTTCAGTCTGCACTAGAAAAATGCATCTTGCAGTTCTCCAACAAGGTTTGTTGATGCTTCTTCTGTTATTTCTTTATTACTTCTAGGAGCTGTATTGGTTCCATCTGCTTTATAATAAGTCATGGTGTCCAAGCTTTATGCTTTATAATATGTGGTATATGTCGACCTAAAGTCGTTTCTTTGTTCAAGGGTTTATATCTAAGTTGCCGTTGTCTTTTGAACTTTGCAGCCTGTGCCAGTTAACTTTATTTATTCTGTTTGTTTGTTTATGTGGAACTTAATCGGATGAGGAATCAGAACAATAAATAGTTCTGTAGCATAATATCAATCCTACTTAATCGTCCAAAGCAACCCACGCTTCCCCGCATTCCTCTGTCCATAGACTTCTTATGCAAGTCTTTCAATTGGTGTCTTCTCTGACATTAATACTATATACCATTTTGTGATTAAATAATAGGTCGGCGATGTGGGGCCCATACTTGACATGATGGCTGGGTTCTTAGAGAATGTTGCACATACTGCTGCTGTAGCCAGAACAACAATCTCAGCAGTTCTGCGAACGGCTCATATTATAGCTTCTGTCCCTAACATGGTATACAATAAGAAGGTAAGCCACTCTTATCATTGAAATATACTTCTGAATTCAAATTGTTGATATAAAATGATCTAGCACTTAGAAGTTTTGTTTGTTATGTTCCAGGCCTTTCCCGATGCTCTCTTCCACCAGTTGCTTATTGCAATGGCCCATCCAGACCATGAAGTACGAGTTGGGGCACACACTATATTTTCCATTGTGCTTATACCGTCTCTAGTTTCTCCTTGCTCATATCAGAAGAATACATCTGAGGCTATCACTAGAAGCTTTGGTTCATCGACAAGGAAAAAGACTGAAAGTTTCTCTATTCGGCATGCCAGTGATGATAAAGCGGAATCCGCAAATGGGGAATCATCAGGAGATATTCAATTGTCCATTGTTGCTGAAAAAACATCTAAAGAAATTCAGGTGCTTGGTCATCCAAAGATCTTAAAGCAGGCTATCTCTGACGGGAAAATGGTACCAACTTTTGACTCTCTGAGTTAAACGGTTTAGTTGTGGGGTGTTGGCTTATATTCTGAAAGTTGTATGCAGGTCACGTCTCTCCGATTGAGCAGTCATCAAGTTAGTCTTCTGCTTTCATCTATATGGATGCAAGCAATAAATGCAGAGAATACACCACTAAACTTTGAAGCCATGGCTAATACTTATCACATTTGTTTGGTCTTTAGCAGATCTAAGGTAAGTTGGCTTATAACCGTTCTCTACTTCTATCCTTCTGGCCTTCCATTGTTTCTCAAGTCTTGAGTAGATTTTATATCTGGTTGTTGCTTTTGGATTCCAAAGGAATTGTGGGTACTTAAAGCTAGCATTGTCAAGTGCCTGATCCTATTTTTTCAACATCTACCTATATTGATACAATAATCTAGTTTGGGGGACAGTGGATAAAATGTGCTGGAATTGTGAACCCACTCATTTAGGTTTCTATAGGACTCGTATTTAACTGAGTGAAAAGTAAAAAGTGTCTCTTTCTTATTTAATAAATAATAAGGGTGTTGTGTTGTCATGCATGATGAGTTTGTGTTTAACAAGCTTTTGAAGGTTTCTGAGGTGCAGGTGGCCTTAAATTTTTGTTCCCTGAATAAAAAGAAAACATTAGTTATTCATTCGCAAATAGATCTGTGTTTTGAATTTCACACCCAGTCTAACTGTTGCTTGTTGATGACAGACAGCCAGTCACATTGCCCTAGTTCGATGTTTTCAGCTTGCCTTTTCTCTTAGAAGCATCTCTTTGGACCAAGAAGGTAAATATATCTGCTAGCTACAAAGTGTATGTGCACTTACTGAATTTGTGAGATTTGTGGATTTGGCACATTATCCTTGATGCTGCATTGCTGTAATATATCCTTCAGACTCCATCTAAGCAATATGCTTACTCAATAGTTTTTTTAGCAAATCTTTCCAGATCGCCCCCTATTTGAGGCAATAGCTCCAATTTGTTGGATGAGGTTGTAGAATGAAAATTTTGTATCTATCTGGTTCCACTTCCTTGTACTACATTCACTGCTGCGGATGTAGTTTACCAATTTTTCTTCTGTTGTCCATCTTGATGTTGTAGCCGGATCTGCTTCTTGTTCTTCAATTTACTTCGCTCCTCAAGTTTTCTTAGCATACTAACTAGAACCACTTTCTGATATTTACTTGTCTCTTGCATTTTCAGCAGGTCTGCTACCTTCTCGGAGAAGGTCTCTCTTCACCTTGTCATCATGCATGCTTTTGTTGTCAGCAAAGGCAGGAAATGTTCAGGAGCTAATTCCTTTTGTTCAGGCGTCTCTTAAAGCAGAAACAGTTGGTTCTCCTTTCTAAATATTTTAGTATAAAGCACATTCTATATTATCGAAATTTTTGGGTCCAGCATTTGTTACTGTCTTTCTGCATATTGTAACTAGATTGATTCCAATCCTTGTAACAGGTTGATCCTCATCTTGAGTTAGTTGAAGAAGTCGGGTCGCCGAATGTTCACTTGGCATTGGATGGACCAAAGATAGCATATGGTTCAGAGGAGGATGATGTTGCTGCTTTGAAATCACTCTCTTGTGTAGAGGCAAATGATAATTTCTTGAAGGAAACTGTGACATCCCATTTTATGACCAAGTTGTCAACATTGTCAGAGGTGCTAATCTAGCAACTGCCCTTCCATTATCTTCAGAGTAGAAATGATGCACTGGTTTGATCCATTCAAAGTAGAAATCATACATTTTGACTTAAAGTTATTATTCTTCCAGTTTGGTTCATCATATTGAAACAATGGAGGTTCTCATTCTTACTTTCTTAGTGCACTTTGTCTTCCAGTTTTTTGTATCAATCTTAAGATTCAATTTACCGGCATGATTTCGTAAAAAAATATATATATATATACCAGCATGATGTCTGCAATGGCAGCCTTGTTTCTTTTGATAACTTTCCCGGTATGGCCATGAGGCTCATTTCATATATATAATCCAATCTTTCAGGAGGAATTACTAGACATCAAGCAACAACTTCTACAGGGATTTTCACCTGATGATGCATATCCGTTAGGTGGTCCATTATTTATGGAGACACCTCGGCCATGTTCTCCTCTTTCTCAACTGGACACCAATTCTGTTGAAGAGGTAAATATAAATAGAAGCCTTCTGTGATTTTCAACTAGTTTTAGTGATTTTTAGTAATGTGGTAAGTGCTCCACATTCAGGACATAGCTGAAGCTGCTTTGACAGATGATGAAACTCTAACTGAGGCTAATGGGAGCCAGTCAGATCGGAAAACGTCTCTGTCCAACAATACGGTAGACATCATAGGTGTTAATCAACTTCTTGACTCGGTAAGAACAGATCCTTTTTACTAGAATCTGGTAGCCAAATCGTTTACGCTTGACCTCTTTTGATTACTGTCCAATATAGACATATGCTTTATTTCAATATGAGATGCAAGTAAATTTGGTAGTCCACTTAAGTTTCTGGTAACAGAGCGTTCATGAAATGAGGGAACTAGGTCTTGAAAGTCGCCTCTGAAGGATTTAATGCTAGTGGATATGTTGTATAAAATTGCCAGAATGTTTTATTACGCCTTGTTTGGAGATATTTACTTGTTGCATGGGAACCTAAATTGAAGAAAATGACACAGTGAGCTAAAATATCATGTCTTTTTATAAGTCCCGCCATTTTGGTCTCCTTTTTAGCTACTCTCTAGTAAAATAACTCAGAATTGTTGGTATGGATAGATTATTACTTAGGAATCAGGATAACTGCTCTGTAATAGTGTAGCATGTGTGAGAGGATGCCTTGCTAGTTGCCAAATTTAGTCAACCCACTCGAAGTAGTTGTAATTTTTTTCGAAGGTAGGTAACTTTTTGTTTATAGGTGATGATTCCAAGGTTTGAACCCAGGTCGAATGTTGTTTTAGACAGGTGAAAACTTGATGTATGAGTAGGTGTTAAAGGTGCTTGTGATGATTCTACCCACCATTTCTTCTAAGTGCGTTAGGTGAAAACTGTGCTGTAAAATCTGTAAATAATAGGAAGCACTGTGCTACATTCATCTAATCTGTTATTGCATTGTGCGGATCACTGTTTTGAGTAATGTTTTCAACCTGTTGTTTGTGTACTATATCTGCTGTTGCAACCATGCTGATGGGTTTTTTCCTTTTTCTTTGGACTAAACTGAAGGTCTTGAAAACTGCACAGCAAGTGGCAAGCTCCCAGGTTTCCTACACTCCATTACCTTATGATGAAATGATGAGTCAATGTGAAGCCCTTGTATCTGAAAAACAGCAAAAGATGTCAATGCTTCATAGTTTCAAGCATCAGCATGACACCAGGATTTTCCCCAGCGAGGACGAACCCAGAAGCAATGCGGACCTTGACAGAGTGAGTTAATTTACCCTGTCAAATGCTAATTTTTCTTGGGTGTAACTGTAGGAATATTTTTCTAGTCCTAATGTTGTTTGAACAGCATAGTAGAACTAATCATATTAAGCTTGCTTTACGGATTTTGAGAGATTGACGCTACTTTGAAACATTGTAATTGACCCTCCTGTTTGCAGTTATCTCAAAGCAGTCACCACTCCGATGATAGCGATCAGAGTCATGCATCCAATCAGCTCGTAGTCTCTTCCTCCATTTCTTCTCTTGGATGCGGCCAAAATTCGTTCAGGTTACCACCTTCGAGCCCGTATGACAAGTTCCTGAAAGCAGCCGGATGCTGAAGAAAATAGGCGAGAGACCGCCCGCTTCTTCGTCAATACTGTACACAAATGTAACCGAGGCACTGTATGTCTTCTTCTCTCTTTTCTTCTCAAGCGGGAGGAATCTGTCCATATAGACCTGTATACAAACGCACACACAAACACCAGGTTCTTGCTCTTACAGCTTCTGTCCATTCTTTTGCGATCGGGTAAATCCATATATGATTCTTTTAGAAGTAATCGTATCGATGATATCAATGATCCAGTTTGTTTAAGTTATTCAAATTGCCAGCATTCTTGTGCAAATGCTGTGCTTGGAAGTCCTGGGGGGAATAATGGGAGAGAATAATGTAATATTGTTTGTGTTGTATTGCTGGAATTGTTTGGCAGTGTGCTCTCTCTTACTCATTGATTTGTAAAAGAAGAAAATAGTTAAATTATAAGGTGTTCTTTTGATTGACATATTGTTCGACATGGCAAGCAGGTTGCCTGCCATGTGGCAAGGCTCGATATGCCCCTCGACGTCATAGGTTCTCAGGGAATCCCTGAGCACCACGTGTCCCATAATAAAATTGAACTTGTTGGCGCCTCATTTGGTTAAAGTACCAATGAAGTCATATAAATTGCACATATTGTCAAATTGAACATTAAGCTTTCTTTTGAAAGATGTTTAAATAGGGTTATCATTCACTTTGTGTCCATAACCATTCGAGGCTTTGTTAATTGTTGGATGTTATTGCCATGTAGTCATTGATAGGTATGGTATTTGTCACGGAGGAGAAAGCGACTCAATCAACATGTTCAAACTATCGTATGTGTATGTAAGCAATGCAATTGTCCGTCTTTTGATAACATATATTTTTGTGGTTTAAAGCATCATGACTGTAGTGTCCACAAATAAGTGAAACTTGTAAAGATAATAATAACAACGTTGGTGTTTAGTTTTACAAACATCAATCGTACGACCAATTTCTATAGAACTAGCAAATTAATCGTAAGTGTTTCCCATGATCTAAACAGTGGAAAATAGGTCATCTCAAGGTCCTTACTTGCGCTTGGCATAAATTTCTAAGTTTATTACGACTAGTCGAAATTCTTCTGTGCTTTTATTCGTCTAAATAAATTCGTTAAGCGTCTGGACTCATTTAGTATTGTAAAATTTTCTTCCATCAAATTGGCATTGTGAATTTTCATATGGGCTACATTATTATTCGTCATTAAATATTTCATAATTTAATGCTTAAATACAAAATTTCGACTACACAAAAGGTTGAAGAAATTTTGTTGGGGAAAAGTTGGGAAAACAACTTTTATCAACCAAATGAAATTTGGTGGGACTTATGTGGTACAAAAAACAAGTTTGAGGATCTATTTGACACTAAATCACTCATCCCTTCCCGTGTTGTTAAAAACTCACCGAGTCGTGACTCGGTGGCGAGTCGTAGTTTAAAACAAAAGGAGGAAATAGGAAGGGGGAAGAGAAAGAAAAGAAACTCGTTCTCTGTTTCTGGCATTTTAGGTTTCTCTCTCTCTATATAGTCCGACTGTGAAGCATTTTCCCTCTGGATTTCCAAAACCTCCGCAATTCCTCCCTTGGGTTTCTTGCAGCTCTCCCTTCTTCGAATTGCTCTGGCAAGGCTCTTCTCATCGCCGTCGCTCGCCGGTTGGATCTCTTGTCGATCAGGTAGGCGAACAACCTCCGGCTGTTCCCTCTGCTTCCTCTCATTCTTTGTCCCCGGTGTCTCATTTTTCCGTTTAGCCCGTCGTCCGGCTGTGAATCCGTCGACTTGCGTGCATGAATGAGGAATGCGGCTGACGTCGAGATTCCAGTTCTCTTCGGGAGGGAAGAAATCCGCAGTTGACTAGATTTTCCGTCTGTATCTGCTTTTATCTGCTGTAATTTCTTTTTTCCTGCTCTGTTTTTTTGTCGCATGCAATGTCGCCTTGTGTGAATTGCTTTGGTTTTGAGCTGATGATATGGAGATTAGGTGTGGGTGTTTGGAATTTTTTGCAGTCGTTCTAGGGCAACAGGTTCTGGAATTGGTTAAGAACTGTAGAGTGTGAATTGATAGCTTCAGAGAATTAGGTACTGTGTAAGTGCATGAGAATAGGAGAGCTTAAGTTGTTGCCTGTTTGTGAGTTGTGACTGAATGAATTAGAACTACAAGCTGGAATTGATTCATCTGCGAACTGTGTCGATAAAGGGGAATGAGTGGAAGGATAGAAGATGCATGATTCCCTCTGTTTGGTTTCTCTGTTGTCCTTAACTGGGCTATCCAGTGCATTTTGAAGCTTGAGTCGATCTTCTTTTGATGTATCTAATAATATTCTAATTCCTGGTTTCCCCCTTCCACAAATTTCTGTTTGAGGATAGGCACAGTTCAATTTTTGTATGGGAGAGGGGAATCGGCAGAGCTAGCATATGTACCCAACACGTCCTGTTCCAGGAGATGGGCCTGTTTCGAGGCCAGTACGGACTAGTGACAGACCTAGGAGAAGACCAAAACCATTTGGTCGGACATACTTTTATTACCCGGCAACTGGTGTTCGAAGCAAGAAATCCAAGAGCAAGGGGAGGGCAGCAGCTTCTCGGATTGCAAAAATGCTGCGTCCTGGTAACCGCCCATTAAGAACCACAAGTGCTAATGTAAGTGCAAATATTTCCTTCCTTTCTTGGGATTGTGGTGTTCTCTTTAGTGAATTATCTAGGTTTTTTTTGTGACTTTGCCATTATGGTGTTATTACTGTATTATAAATTTGAGTTTCATGGCAGAAGAATGCATGTGAATAAGACTTGTGGTAGTGTACTCTAGAATCTTTGTACTCCCAATAGCCTCGGAATTTTCAAAGCTGCTAAGCTGGGATGTGAATGTAGAAGGACGGAGTGGTGATTATAAGGGATATGACTTGTGGATGTTTATTCTTAAATGTTAAATAAGCAATGTGATATATATTTCCTACTGAAGAGTGCACATGATAAGTAGCAAGATGTTGTCTTGTTAGGCAAAGGAACATGGAAGACGTTTCTAATTGATGCAAGCTGTTTAGAGTACTCAGGATTGTCGCTTTCTCTCTATGCAGTTAGTCAGCACTAATCTTCGACGTTCTACTAGAAAGAGGAGGGTTCCTTCAAACCTTGATGGGTATGAAAACACTTCTGGATCGGAAGATGAAGATATAATGGTGAGGTTCCTTCCTGATGAGGCATACATACTGTTCCGTAGGTGTCTAACTTCATTATCTTCTCTAGTGTGTGGATCAAGCTTGAAAACTCCGGTAGGAATTCCAGGCTTTTGACGTTTAGGATGAAGATTGTGATTCCTTAAAATGTTCCTGTTGCAGAAACCACGTCCTCATAGACGATTGAGGAAGAAAGGTTTCTCTGGAGTCAATCGCAATGACTTGTCATCTCCAAAGTCCAACAAGATTGATGAGACCAAATCAACTCCCAGGCGTGAAGGACTGCGCCCGCGTCATTCTAAAGCACTTGGCAGAAAACTCCTGAACTTAGATTCAGGTGATGATAACGATACTTCTGATGACAAGGTGCTACAGGATGAGGCAGAAAATGGAGAGGAAAATGATGCAGATGATGGTCGGGATGAAGAGGATGAGGGTGATGGAGATGGAGAGGATGAAGGAGAAGAAGACGGTGACGACGAGGAGGGTGAAGAAGAACAGGAGGATGGAAGAAGGAGGTATGATCTCCGAAATCGTACAGATCGTGCAGATGTTCGAAGGCTTCCCATGATGGATAAGCAAAGGCAGAGATCCCCTCGAAGGATATTGCATCAAGGACTAGGGACCAAGATCAACAGGGACATGAGAAAGGGTGGATCGCGGGTACACAAGCGCCATCGTCTAACAAGGGTTGATGATTCTGATGATTCTCTTCTTGTGGATGAGATGGACCAGGGGCCTGCATTTCCTTGGGCTCGAGGTGGTGCTAGATCTGGACCACCTTGGCTCTTTGGTGGTCTAGACATGCATGGAACTACATCTTGGGGACTGAACGTTGCCGCTTCTGGGTGGGGTCATCAGGGTGAGAGTTTGGGTGGTTTAAGTTCTGGTGTACAAACTGCTGGGCCAAGTTCTAAGGGAGGGGCAGATATTCAGCCCTTGCAACTTGACGAGAGTGTAAGTTTTGAAGATATTGGTGGCCTTTCCGAGTATATAGATGCTTTGAAGGAAATGGTTTTCTTCCCATTGCTATATCCGGATTTCTTTGCCACTTACCACATCACCCCACCAAGAGGTGTTTTGCTCTGTGGTCCTCCTGGCACCGGGAAAACCTTGATTGCCAGGGCATTAGCATGTGCTGCTTCAAAGGCTGGGCAGAAGGTTAGTTTTTATATGCGTAAAGGTGCTGATGTTCTGAGTAAGTGGGTTGGGGAGGCTGAGAGGCAGTTGAAACTTCTTTTCGAAGAGGCTCAGAGGAATCAACCTTCCATAATCTTCTTCGATGAAATAGATGGTCTTGCGCCTGTTAGGTCTAGCAAACAAGAGCAGATACACAATTCCATTGTTTCCACTTTGCTGGCTTTGATGGATGGCCTGGATTCTCGTGGACAAGTTGTTTTGATTGGAGCAACTAACCGGGTTGATGCTATTGATGGCGCTTTGCGCCGTCCTGGTCGTTTTGATCGCGAATTTAACTTCCCATTGCCAGGTTGTGAGGCACGTGCTGAGATTTTAAGCATTCATACTCGGAAATGGAAGCAGCCTCCTACAAAGGAGCTAAAGTTGGAGCTTGCAGCTAGCTGTGTTGGATATTGTGGAGCCGATTTGAAGGCACTGTGTACTGAAGCTGCCATCCGTGCTTTTCGTGAAAAATATCCTCAAGTTTATACAAGTGACGATAAGTTTCTGATTGATGTTGATTCAATCAAGGTGGAAAAGTATCACTTTGTAGAAGCCATGTCCACCATAACTCCTGCTGCTCACAGAGGTGCTCTAGTGCACTCTCGGCCATTGTCCCTTGTAGTAGCTCCATGTCTGCAAAGACACCTTCAAAAAGCTATGAACTGTATATCCGATATATTCCCACCACTTGGTGTGTCGGCAGAGTTCACAAAACTTTCTATGCTTTCCTATGGTTCTGCACTTTCTCTGGTGTATAGACCTCGGATTCTGCTCTGTGGTAGTGAAGCTTCTGGGCTGGTAATTATCTTTATGCTCAGTCCTTTGGTACATTGATAAACAATGGAACCTTAAACTAAATATACTTACTGATTTAGTTCAACAGGATCATCTTGGCCCAGCAATTTTACACAAACTGGAGAAGTTCCCTGTTCATTCTCTTGGGCTTCCTTCTCTTCTTTCGGATCCAAGTGCTAAGACTCCAGAGGAAGCATTGGTCCATATATTTGGAGAAGCCAGAAGAACAACACCGTCAGTCCTTTACATACCTCATTTCCACCTTTGGTGGGAAAATGTAAGTACTCGTTGGTCTTATGATATTACTAGAATAGTTGAGATATAGTAGTTATACTGCATATTTAGTTCTTTAATATTCCATTCGTTAGATTATTATTTATTTTGATGCCTTTGATGATGCAGGCACATGAACAACTCAGGGCTGTTCTGCAAACGCTATTAGAAGAATTGCCATCTGATTTACCTGTACTGTTACTTGGGACTTCTTCTGTATTACCTCCTGAGATTGATGGGAATCCATATTCAGTTTTTCCTCTCCGTTCGATGTAAGTCCTGAATTCATTCTAACTGCTCCTATGGTCTTCTAGCTCTACTGCTGATGAATCATTTAACTTCACTTTCGCTGGATTTTTGTATGGTTTTTTTATTGATATAGACTTGCATGGCTTTGCTCTTCAAGTAAATAGTTTTCGTACTTCATACACACAAAAGCTAGACTTCCTTTTCTATTATGAATGGTGATGGACCAAGGGTAAATACTTCTAAGACACAGGCATCAACTCTTAAGTTGATTATTTTTCCAACTTCCTGTAACCTGGTGATGCTGAGAAAGAACCTATGGACTGTGGATAATAAGTTTGCTGTCACAATGACTTGGCAAGAATGTTAATGCCTGCTTTATTACAAAGACCTTGTTATTCCTCCTTTCATGTTATTCTTTTGTGTGCTTATGCAAGATTTATATCAGACATCCCTGGAGCTCATTTATCTTTATTATCTGGCAAAGAATTTCAAGAAATTTAATACAATGCAGATTTCTTGGATGCTAGAACATTTATACACATTTCTTTTCTTATTTTCAAAATTTGGTTTTATATGCTTCCCTGTGGTTTCCTTTCTCAGACATCAAGTTGATTGTCCATCAACCGAGGATAGATCAGCGTTTTTCAGGCAGTTAATTGAAGCTGCTTTATCAGTCGTGCTAGAGGGTGATACCAAGAAATCTGGACAATTAGAGTCTTTGGATGAACTTCCTAAGGCTCCAAAAGTGGCAAGTGGTCCGAAGGTGTCTGAGTTGAAAGCTAAGCTTGAAGCTGAGCAGCATGCACTTCGCAGAATGCGAATGTGCCTAAGAGATGTCTGTAATCGGTAAGATCACCTGCATCCTAAGATATTGTCGGGCTTGTGAGAGGCTACTGCACCTGTACTTGCCATCTAATGTGCTTTGCATTGGTCTGTAGTTCACCTGACTTCGCTCAGGTTACTGTGATCTTTGTGGATTATCAACCTTCTCTGTAAGGGCTGGGTTTGTTGTAGCTTTTGATTTAAGTTGTGATCAACTTGACAGAAAAGTATTCTTGATTCGGTTTCAAAAAAATTTGAGTTGATGAGATAGACAGATAGTTCGTCTAATAATAAAGGAATGAGTGAGTTTTGAGAAATGACTATTGTGGTATCAGTTTAAGAATGGTGTGGTGGATCTTAGATACAAATAAATTGTGGGATATATGGTGAGTAATTGTCTCTAAAAAAATTAAGATTCAAGAAATGTGTTTGTTGTAGCTTTTCACTCGAAGTTTCTTGAGAAGTTCATTGTTTTTAGCCACAAAAAATGCACCCTAGTTAATGCTCTATCCGCAGTACTTAATGTGACAATGGTTATCTTATTGTTTCTCCTACGAACAGGATTTTGTATGATAAAAGGTTTACTGCCTTCCATTATCCAGTCTCGGACGAAGATGCTCCAAATTACCGGACAGTAATCCAGAACCCTATGGACGTGGCCACTCTTCTGCAGAAAGTGGACTCTGGTCAGTATATTACGTGTTCAGCATTCCTGCAAGACATTGACCTCATTGTTATGAATGCAAAGGTACTTATCCCTTCTCTTTAGCTGTTTTTTAAGTTAATTTGTTAATGCTTTACGACGGGTTCATTGTTTACCTAGTTTTCATATCTTGGGAACAAGATGTTGGAAACATGGAATCTTGTTCGTAACTCCTGGCATATTATTATTCATCTTGTAAATAATACAGGTTTTCAATGGAGATGACTACAACGGCTCCAGGATAGTTAGCAGAGCATACGAGCTTCGAGACTCTGTAAGTTGTTCATCTGATACTCTTTTGCCCATTCCACGCTTCGTCCAATTTTTCATCAACGCCACTCATCATGATTACCATTTTTCAGGTGCATGGGATGTTGTCTCAAATGGATCCTGCGCTGGTTGCTTACTGCGACAAAATCGCAGCCCAAGGAGGGCCAATGCAGCTGCCTGATGACATAGGGGGGACCATCTTTCCTTCCACACCAGTTGTGCAGCTGGGGACTGCGGTCACGAGAGCAAGTGCCCGCCTTCGAAATGTGCAGCCGGAAGTCAATCTTGATCAAAGCTACGAGGCTCTGAAGCGGCCACGAAAAACTGCCGATTCTGCTGCTGCACATCCAGGTAATTGTAAATAAATTGGATACACAATCCATTAAGTTCTGATAAGTTTGGAATAACTAACTTATCAATGCGTGTCAACTCAAATGAGTAAGGAAAAAATGTCAGGGGAAACGGTTGGGATAGTTTTCCTAATATGCGGCTAAAATTGAGCTGAATTAAGTACGGTGTAAAATGAGTTGTTCATGTCGGCTAATTAGAATCAATTTGGCTCTTCTATTATCAAATTTTGGCTAGTTTACACGTTAATGTGGTCAATTGGACTGAAAATTCTGACAGAGGTAGACAAAGTGACTTATGTTAGCTATTCCAAACTTACAGTGAATCAAACTTCAGTGACTGAGTTGTCTGTAAAACGTGAAGTTTAGTTTTCACCTTTTCGAAGAGTAATTATTGGGGATTTTCATTTGGTCAGTAACCTCAGCTGAAGACGAAGAACAGTATGATCAATCACCTGAAGAAGCTGCTTCTGCCGATGCTGCCATGGTAGTCGACCCAAACCCTGGGAAGCAGCAGGCGCCAGAATCGCCTCCTACTGCCCCCTCCACAGCTGGGGTAAGTCATCAGCAGCAGCACGAAAATTGCAACGGCTCAACTTCCAGGGTCGGTTCATCAGAAGATGTGACAAGGTCTGATGGAGATATTTCAGCTGAGGTGGAGCACGTGAAGGAATTCTTCTTGGAGCGCTCAGTAGACTACGGGATCCCGCAGCTAGAGAGGCTCTACATGAGGGTGATCAAGAGCGTTTTCTCGAGCAAGGATGCTGAAAAAGGCAAATTAGGTCCCAAGAGGTCAATCTTGATGTGTTTGCTCAAGTATGTCCAGGATGATCATAATTTCTCGTGATAACTATTCAAAACACACAATGAAAACCAGAAAGAGTGAAATCTTGCAGTTAGGGTAGTCCTCTCTCCTCTCACCTAAAGAAATGATTAGGAAACGACGATCATTGAGGCTTGATTTTATGCGGATCTTGACGATCATTGAGGTTTGATTCCATTTGTATCTTCCGTCAACAAATGATAAATCGTCACATACTAGTAAACTACAATCATAATACTGCCAGAATTCGAACATATTACACCTATATCCGATCCCTTTACGCTCAGCCAAAATGTGCTATCGAAACTGTAAAGAGACTACATGTTACAGCTGCTGCCTAAGCGTGCAAAAGAGGTGTGCCTTGTGTTAGCAGAAAGAAGCTATATATTAGCTACCCAGAAACAATGTTAAAAACTGTTTTTTTCTCAATGTTCGATTGCTGTAGTGATGGTGGTAGTGCTGCTGTTGCATATCTTCTCCAAGATCTGTGCTGCGACTGACTCCCTAGCCTCCCTGGGATCGACACATACTTCGCCACCAGTTGAAGACCACTCTGTTTGATCCCCTTTCACGATCACGCTAGCCACGAACCCACCTTTCATGGAAAAAGCCACAACAAAGTTACTACTATACAGATATATACTGGTATGACTACAAAAGCTGCTGATCTAGGGGGGCTCGCTCACCGTTAACTGACAGGAGGCGGTAAGTTGGCAAAATCCAGTTGTTCTTGTAGCATACATTGTCCAATGCCTGCAAGCAACCCACCAATGAAATCAAGATTAAAGCATGGCATTGGAAATGAGTTACTTGGCGTGGGAACTTTGTTTCGGTATGGTTTGATTGGGAACTTACTACACATGGTGTATGGCTATTGTCTTCCTCGTGTCCCAGCATCGTCACCATTTCGTTACTTTGGGCTGAAGGTTGGTTCTTTCTGTTCACAGTTCTCAGGAACGATGTGTTGTTGACAAGTTCGAGGAAGCATTCTATCTTCAGTGCCATATCATCACCACCTAGGAAACAGTTTCTACTCTCTTTAGCACCACTCTATTTGGAAATTAATCCTAGAGCAGCATAACATACAATACTACACTCAAACTAACGTCAACTTCGTCATTTTATACTCAAATCAACGAGAGGAAACGAATGGCAAGAGATAAAGAACTATACCATCCAAAATTCTCTGGATCTTCTTATCATACTGTACGATCTGATCTTCTATATCTCGTTGCTGAAATGACTGCAGAATCACATTCAAGACGGCAGAATCTAATGGTCAAAATCCAGACTAACTTGATTACTGTTGTCTTTAGAATGAACAGTACATGCGTAAAACGCTGGAGGGGTTCGGACTCATGCAGCATCAAAGAAAGAAGTAGAGAAAGAACTAGTACCAGTTGATCTCTTTTTCTCAGGAGCACTTTGAGTGCTGCTTCAGAGAGTTCCTTGTCTTTTGAAGCTATAATAGAGAACATTTTCTCAATATCTTGAACACTACAACTGTACTCAACCAAAGGAAGATGATGAACTGCAGGCTTTGCATCTGGATCCACAGCAATGTTGTTGCAGTTCTGATCAATTATCACAACATTTCTACATATATCTTCAGTGATTACCTGAGTACTTGGCTTCTCCACCTGCACAATTCAGTAGTCCTAACAATGGCTGGCATCAACGAAGTAGACACGTCTATTAACGAAGCACAATTCAGAACAAGTGGAAAATTCATCAAGTACTTTCCAGAAAATATTAGATTGATAGTTATGGAAACCAATAGTTCAGTAGCAGATGTTTAGCAGTGTAGCCAGAATATAAAGACAAGACATCATATTAGCTAAATTGTGACTGGACATTAAGAAATCTTAACCTTAATAGTTCAGTAGCAGATGTTTAGCAGTGTAGCCAGAATATAAAGACATCATATTAGCTAAATTGTGACTGGACATTAAGAAATCTTAACCTTATTAGAAACTGTCAAGCTTTTTGAGCTCTTAAGCACAGAGTCCTCAATCTCTGGGTTGGCAGGTTTGATGGCATTGGCAACATTTGCACAAATATCTTTTTTCCCCGACTTAATGTCTGAGGATGCATTCACTTCCATATGGTTGCAGTTCGCTGCACTCACGATCACATTTCTACCTCTTCCTTTATCAATCTCCTGGGTCATCAGAGCATTTGGCTTCTCCACCTGCACAATTCGACAGTCCTGCCGATTGGCATCAACAAAGTGAGCAAAAGAATCTAAGACTCCACTCCAAGGAAATGCATTCCATTCTCAGCAGGTGCATAAGATGACACTTATAGATAGTTTGACATAGGTTCCTAAGAATTATGAGTTAAGAGTCGATTTGGCAGGACAACAAAATTTGGGGATATGGATTCAGGACGACCTTAAGAGTTCATCAAATGCTTACCATCAAGACTAGGCTACCAGTTATCACAACCAATAATTCAGTAGCCAGAATATAGCAAGTTCCACAAACTTGAGAGTAACTGGATTACATCAAGAAATCATAACCTTATCAGAAATTATCAAGTCATTTGAGCTCTTATGGACAGCGCCAACGACCTTGTGGTTGACAGGTTTGGCATTGGCAATATTCGCACCCACATCTTTGTTCTGCGAATAGATGACTGGTAATGGATCCACTTCCATGTTCTGGGGGGCATTTAAATTAGCCGGACTAATCCTTGAACTTTCATCATTCTCGTTCTGCTTTTCTGTCTCAGGATGATGCGCCGAGGTCTCAGAATTCACATTTTCATCCTTCTGCATCAGTACACTAGAGTTCGTGCTACTATGATCATTCTTCTCCGATGATTTTGAGATCATGCCGCTGCTGTCAAGATAAACAACTTGAGGTCATCTCGAGAAACATTCATCCATGAATCATATTTTCACCATGCAACTTAAGTTAATTATAGTATTATGTTTATTCCCCATCATGCAACAGTGACAATACTAGTAATCATATAACTGCTGTCAGTCACATCACATGAGCTTCAATACATTAAATGATCACACATTCAACATTCTCAGGAATGTCTCATTCCCTAATCAGACCTGTGGTCGCATGCAGAGTTCATCCAGTCTGCAAGAATCTGAGCAAAAGGAAGCAAATGAAAGTACTCAACAACAGGTGTGATTATCCATCCATAGGACGTTTTTGAGAATAGCGGACCCTGCAAGCTGCTCCAAAGACAAGGCAAAGGTGGCATTAGAAGATTGAACAGTAACAGTTGATCATTTGCGGAACCGTTAATGGGACAATAGAATAAGTTGGTAGGAAAAGTAGTACAGCATCGATAACAACCTTTTAATCAAATCTTGGATGGGAACTTGACACAGACTATTGTTGTTCTCTGCTTGAGTGTACTGTGAGATGTAAAAGCGCATGCCAGTATTTTCTTTACTTGCAGAATACACAATGTGGCTTTCCAAAAAACAAAGATCATCCTGGCCAATTCCTGTACCAAAAACAAGAATTAGATTAAGGTGGCAATCCTCCTTCTCAGCCATGGTTTTGCACAGCAAACATCACATTAATCAAGAAAATCATTCTTCTAATGCTCCACACTAATAAAGCAGAAGCTAGATCAAAGTAGTTTCATTTTAAGTTTCATGAAGAAGGCATACCAGTGGCTTCATTGACAGCTAACATAGCTGCTTTCTTGAGGTCAACTTCAGCAGTACTTTCCTCTCGTTTTGGAGGAGGTCCTTTAATAACCCTTCTCTTTTTGTTAGCTTGATTTGAGTCACCAGAAGTTCCCTTACTTTGATCAACAACCTCCACATCCTTCTCAACAGCAGACCACACACCATCAGTGATTGAGCCAAACTGCAGCAACGCTTTCTTCTTTGTAGAGTCCACAAGAAGGACCGCAACTCTGGAAACTGCAGATCCATTTACAGCTGGAGCCTCTTTGGATGCATCCAAAGACGTAGCAATGCTACATGCATCCATAACTTTCTTCTCAGTCAAAGAAAGCTGATTTTCACGATCAACCAACACGGTATCATTAGAGCATCGTGTCAGCTTCATGTATGGTAGAAGATTAGGTCGCAGCATCACAGCCAACTTGCAGAAACTCTCGAAATTCATGAAGTTCAGTTCGGGATGCTGTCTCCTGTGGTAGTAGTTGTACAGCAACACAACCGCATGAACCTGAAGAAAATCATCAAAAGTAAAGGAAACTATTAGATGACTACATTACAACTCAATAAAATCTCCCATGTAGTGATTCTTACTTACTTCTAAGTCTTTAGTATTATGATTTCCACAAGTAACTTTCCTCAAACTGGAACTATGGAGCAAGCTTAACTTAGACATAGTGACACATTCCCTTTTATCCTTCTAGGTATGACTCACTGATCCAGAAACATAACCTTAGGACAGAAAGACATAAAAACACCTGTTTAGCTATGTCTTCTTCATGAGCTAGAGATGGTGTGAACCCGGATCCAGATTTTGCCGGCAGCTTGAGATCAACCAGATTTTCAAACAGTGCAAGAATGGCATCCTCGGTCTGGCAAACTTCAGTTCCCTCCATGATCCAGCCACAGGGACACTCACCCTACAAGAAAGTGAAATTTCTGATCAGAAAAAAGTAGAAAAGACTAGATCACCTAGCACATAACAGCAGCAGGAGACAGTTTAGCACGATGGAATTTCATCTTCAAAACAACTTATCAGAACGGGAAAAGGTAAACCAAACCCTATAAAATTTCACTACCCACAACATCAAAGCAACTGGAAACAGAGCAGTAAAAACGGGTTCCAACGAATTCTCTCAAAAGAAACAAAAAACCAGGGGGCGATGGTGAGATAAAACAATCTACGAACCAGCTTAGCTCCTAAACCCCAGAGAAATCAGCAAACAGCAGAAAGATCGAAACTTGCGTTCTGGGTGGGTGCTTGAGAAAATCAACGTAAGAACAAGAGGGGAAAAAAATATACCCAAATGAACAGAGATTTTCCCGCCTTCGGGGATGGACGTCGATAAAGTATCCAAAACAAACGAGAATCCGAAAATGCAGCCGACTGAGTGATCTATTTCTCTATTCCAACCTTTTGTAAGAAAAGCCCAGTTCCTTCCTTCCTTCCTTCCTTCCTTCCGTTGGTGTTTGATCACCTTTCTCGTTTGTATGAGGCTTCAGGAGGGAGACGAATCGACGATGAGTAAATAGAAAACAGAGGGAGAGAGAGAGAGAGAGAGAGAGAGAGAGAGGAAGTAAATTAGTGCTTGTTGCAGGGCAGGGGAGGGTGGCAGTGTGGCAGGGAGAACTGACAAAGCTGACCATAAATGGTTCAGCTGCTGGGTGTTAGCCTGTTGCCATAAGGACAAGCGGAAAGCCTTCTCATCCAAGTTTGGCCTTAAGTGGTAAAAAAACTCTCTACAAACAAAATATTTGTTGATAAGATGATCAAAATTGATACATTTTCCATTAATAGGAGCTGTTTGGTTGAGCTGTTTTCAGTCTTGTCTGGAAGCAACCCATCTCATCAAGGAGCAGAGACATTATTGTTTCACTGATGTGGAGCTGAAAGCAATAAATAGGTTGGAAAGCAAGAAAAAAAATTTGTCCTTTGGAACAAAGCTGTGGGAAGATTTTCTCTGATTTCTCTTTGGGCGGCAGAGCAGAGCTTCTCTGCTCTTGGCCTTGTCTGCATATTGTCAGGTTTCCAAATAAGAGCAAACTTTATTTCCTACTTTAGTAAAGGAGATGATCCTTTTTCCCTATCCAAGCTTTACCTTGGATTTTTTTACTTCTGAGGCAATAGACCAGAATCAATGGGACTATGTGACAGAGAGCATGATACCATTTTTGTTTGGAATCCACAAGAGGAGTATATCTTGTGGTTAACGGGTTTAGGAATGGTGGAAATTTGAAATTCTCAATACATGGAATTTTGATGTAATTTTCAATGTAAATAACTAAATATATGAAATGAGAGTACATAAAACTTTTTTTTTTTCTTTTGCCAACAAAGAATTACACTACAAATGGCTTCTATCGTACATTGAGTAAAATCTAGGAGAATAGCCTCACACCGAATCTGCGATATGTAGCACTCAAAATCAAAGGAAATTGGCCTTCGAAAAATTACGAAAATGTCATCCCCTAATAAATTGGCACAATTATGTGCTTAATGTACGAAATCATCGGTGGAGAATATGATCAATATACTTCAATATCGGTGGAGAACCTAATAAATTGGCACATTCTGTGCTTAATGTACGAAATCATCGGTGGAGAATATGAACAATATACTTCAATATCGGTGGAGAATAGCCCTGTGCTAAAATCGTGATATGTAGTCTCCAAAATCGAAAGAAAATAGCATTTTGGAAAAATCGTCAGAAATCAGTGATGGTACCCCTTTCGAATCTGCCAAAAATGGTCCCGGAAGAAATCTGACCAAATCGGTTCTGAATGGACTTTCATCGTTGAACAATAGCCTCAAGCTGAATCCGTGATATGTACCTTCAAAATCCCACGAAAATTACCTTTTGATCCATCTATCGCCCAAACAATTACGAAAATGTCATCCCTCAATAAACTGAATGGCTAAATGTCGCCCTAAATTTTTTATTATCGCCCTAACTTAAAACAGACAATTACTAAATTATCCTTCATTAATCTAACTCAAATCAATGCACCTACAATTCCGAATCCTTCTTCAACGAGAGTCACTAAATTGAGTACCATCCGCCGGCGCAACCCCTGCACTCCAAATGATCTCCGCCACCGACCACCTTCATTTTTGTCCTCGATGGAGTCGATACAAATCGTTTTATGTTTTTATCATAACAGAATGAAAGCAAAAAAGGTCCAAGCGACCATTTCTGAAGAGAATGAACATACAGTTTCATTCATTTGTCTCCAAAACGGCCTGGGATTTTATACAAAAGCTCACCATCACATACAACGTAATTTTTGCAATATACAATCCTGTAAGGCTACAACACAACCACCATCAATAGTAGAAAGAGAAATAGATCCACTTGATGCAACTCCTCAAAATCAACAAGAAACAGAGGGGTAAACCGGAACTCAAAACCGAAAAACAGGGATGGTGGCGCCGTGGCGGCAGATAATGGGAACGGTCGGGATGACGGTGGTGGATAATGGCAGAGTCCGTTTATTTTGTTATTGGTGGAAGGTTGATTGCGTTTATTAATAGAATAATTCTTAATATAAAAAAAATAAAAGGATAAATAGGTAATTTTAACTTTCAAGTTAGGGCGATTTTAGTAATACTAGGGCGATAATTAGCAATCCCCTCAATAAATTGGCCCAATTCAGTGCTTAATGGACTTAATCATCGTTGGAGAATAGGATCAATAGACTTCATTATCGGTGGAGAATAGCCTCGGGCTGAAACCGTGACCTGTAGCCTCCAAAATCGAAACAAAATGGCATTTTGAAAAATCTTCTGAAATCGGTGATGGTACCCCCTTTCGAATCTACCAAAAATGGACCCAAAGGAAATCCTCCCAAATCGGTGCTTAATGGACTTAATCATCGTTGAAAAATAGTCTCATACATAATTCGAGATCTGTAGCCTTCAAAATCCAAGGAAAATGGTCTTTCGATCCATCTATTGCCAAAAAATTACGAAAATGTCAACCCAAAATAAATTGGCCCAATTCGGTGCTTAATGGATTTAATCATCGGTGGAGAATAGGATCAATAGACTTCATTACATGTTGAGAATAACCTCGGGATGAATCCATGATGTGTAGCGTCCAAAATAGAAAATACGGCATTTTTGAAAAATTGCTCGAAATCGGTGATGGTACTCTTTTCGAATCTTCCAAAAATGGACCCGGAAGAAATCCGCCCAAATTGGTGCTTGATGGACTTAAACATCATAGAAGAATAGTCTCAGGCCGAATCCGTGATCTGTAGCCTTCAAAATCCAAAGGAAATGACCTTTCGAAAAAAAACACCCCAAAATTATGAAAATGCAATCCCAAAATTAATTGGCCAAATTCGATGCTTAGTGGACTTAATCGTCGGTGGAGAATAGGATCAATAGACTTCATTATCAGTGGAGAATAGCCTCGGGCATAATTCGTGTTCTATAGCCTCCAAAATCAGAAGAAAATGACATTTCGGAAAAATCGACCGAAATCTGTGATGGTACCCTTTTGGAATATGCACAAAATGGACCCGGAAGAAATCCGCCCAAATTGGTGCTTAATGGACTTAATGATTGTTGAAGAATAGCCCCGGGCCGAATCCTTGATCTATAGTCTTCAAAATCCAAGGAAAATGGTCTTTCTAAATAAAATCGCCCAAAAAATTACGAAAATGTCATCCTAAAATCAATTGGCCAAATTCGGTACTTAATGGACTTAATCATCGATGGAGAATATGATCAATAGAATTCATTATCAGTGGAGAATAACATCGAGCTGAATCCGTGTAAGGTGGCCTCCAAAATCGAAAGAAAATGGCATTTCGGAACAATCGACCGAAATCTGTGATGGTACCCCTTTGCAATATGCCAAAAATGGACCCGGAAGAAATCCGCCAAAATTGGTGCTTAATGGACTTAATCATCGTTGAAGAATAACCTCAGTCCGAATCCATGATCTGTAGCTTTCAAAATCCAAGGAAAATGGACTTTCAAAAAAATATTGCCCAACAAATTACGAAAATGTCATTCCAAAATTAATTGGCCAAATTTGGTGGTTAATGGAGTTAATCATCAGTGGAGAATAACATTAATAGACTCATTACCAATGGATAATAGCCTTGGGTTGAATCCGTGTATTTTAGACTCCAAAATGAGGAAAGAAAATAGAATTTCGGAAAAATCGCGCGAAATCTGAGATGATACACCTTTGGAATTTGCCAAAAATGGACCCCGGAAGAAATCCGCCCAAATCAGTTCTTAATGGACATAATCATGCTTGAAGAATAGCCTCTGGCCGAATCCGTGTTCTGTAGCCTTCAAAATCCAAGGAAAATGGTCTTTAGAAAAAAAAATCGCCCAAAACATTACGTAAATGTCATCCCAAATTTATTTGCCAAATTATGTGCTTAATGGACTTAATCATCGGTGGATAATAGGATCAATAGACTTCATTACCAGTGGAGAATAGCTTCGGGTTGAATCCGTGTTCTGTAGCCTCCAAAATCGAAAGAAAATGGCATTTCGGAAAAATTGCCAGAAATTTGTGACGGTACCCCTTTGGAATCTGCCAAAAATGGACTCAGAAGAAATCCGCCCAAATCGGTGCTTAATGGACTTAGTCATCGTTGAAGAATAGCCTCAGATTGAATCCGTGATCTGTAGCCTTCAAAATCCAAGGAAAATGAATGGTCTTTCTAAAAATAATTGCCCAAAAAATTACGAAAATGTCATCCCAAAATTAATTGGCCAAATTCGGTGCTTAATGGACTTAATCATCGGTGGAGAATAGGATTAATAGACTCATTATCAGTGGAGAATAGCCTCGGGTTGAATCTATGTTCTGTAGCCTCCAAAATAGAAAGAAAATTGCATTTCGGAAAAATCAACCGAAATTTGTGATGATACCCCTTTGAAATCTGCCAAAATTGGATCCGGAAGAAATCCGCACAAATCAATTCCTAATGGACTTAATCATGGTTGAAGAATAGCCTCGGGTCGAATACATGATCTGTAGCCTTCAAAGTCCAAGGAAAATGACCTTTCAACAGAAAATCGCCCAAAAATTATGAAAATGTCATCCCAAAATTTATTGGCCAAATTCGATGCTTAATGGACTTCATCAGTAGATAATTGGATCAATAGACCTCATTATCAATGGAGAATAGCCTCGGGCAGAATCCGTGTTCGGTATCCTCCAAAATATAAAGAAAATGGCATTTCAGAAAAATCGCCCGAAATATGTGATGGTACTCCTTTGGAATATGCAAAAAATGGACCCTGAAGAAATCCGCCCAAATCAATGCTTAATGGACTTAATCATTGTAGAATAATACCCTCAAGCAGAATCCGTGATCTGTAGCCTTCAAAAATCCAAGGAAAATGGTCTTTCGAAAAAAAAAATCGTCCAAAACATTACGAAAATGTCATCCCAAATTTATTTGCTAAATTTGGTGCTTTAGGGACTTAATCATCGAATGAATAGGATCAATAAACTTCATTATCAGTAGAGAATAGTGTCGGGCTGAATCCGTTTTCTGTAACCTCCAAAATCGAAAGACAATGGCATTGCGGAAAAATCGCACGAAATTTATGATGGTACCCCTTTGGAATCTGCCAGAAATGAACCCGAAAAAAATCCGCAAAAATTGGTGCTTAATGTACTTAATCATCGTTGAAGAATAGACTTAGACAGAATCCGTGATAAGTAGAATTCAAA